TGTTCTGCGGCACGTGTGTATCGTCAGCAATACCCTGAAGAGATATGGTGGTTTCGATGCTAGAACTGTCGGAGATCTTGTGCTTCACAACTAATTTCGACTCAAGGGGGTCGCTGGAAACAGACAAAATCTCTCCTTTGGTCAAATAAGAGAACTTGTTGAGTGAGTATATCTCGGTGTCCCAGGCGGGGAAGCTTAACGGCTCATCATCAAAAAGCACGAATTGATTCCCAACACCACCTGTTTGCTTTGTGGCTGTTTGATCAATAATCTCTCGATCGGCCTTCAAATCATACAACGATTTGACTTCACCGTTTGCCGTTATCTTTGCTTCAAGGAGCCCATTGGTTAGAATAAATTCCTTGTTATCAACAGCCTTAATCGAAGCAGGGTACTTAAGCCCGCCTTTTTTAATAAAGCTGTTTGTACAGGTATCAAACCCAAGCTTTATTGTGTCTCTGTCTTCAATTTTTAGCAACCTGTTGTCGAGGTTCAAAGATTCAATTTCCCTGTGCGGTACTGAAATCAACTCGGTTCGGTCCCAAGGCAATGTGTTGATACCAACAATTTCCGCTCTTTTTTCCTTCTCCATATAGGAAAGAGCATCTTCCAAAAGCTCATCCAAAGTCTTCATTACTTTGGTGAGCATTGGCTTCACTTCCTCGTAGTAAACCATTCCAATGCAAGACCCAGGCAAAACATCATGGAATTGGCACAAAGCAATGTCCTCCCAAAGATCATGGATAGCTTTTGTTGGGTACTTGTAAGCTGTAGTGATCGAGAGAAGTGTGGCGAGGAGTTCCAAGTCGTGCATCTTAATTTCGGAGAATCTCATCCATTTCTTGACGTCTGCCTGTGTGGTGTAAGTTCCCCTATGAAACTCCAAGTAGATTTCGCCTGTCCAAGTAGGAAGGCTCCTCCCGTTATCGGATCTCTCTAAGACGTTGTCGTAGAACTCTTCAACCGTGTTTCCAAGGTGTACGGAAGGAATTGCAGCGTTGGTGTTTGCCATTCCTCTGCATCTTCTCAACTTCTCCAACATCTCTTCAGTGGGGCCGCCGCCTCCATCTCCGTGCCCATAGAGAAGAAGACCCGTTGGGACATCTCTCAAATTTTTGTGTTGCCCTTGGGATCTCACCACATCTCCAAAGTTGGCACTGGCGGTATACGTATTTGCTGGCGGCATATGGACCAACACTTGAGAACCGTCGATCGCCTTCCAGTTGAAGGTGGACAACGGGAAGGTGTTGATGTTGTTCCATGAGAGCTTCTGGGTGAGAAACTTCTCGATACCCGAAATCTGGCATATCTGGGGTATTTGCGAGGAATACCCAAACGTGTCCGGGAGCCAAAACACCGTAGAAGGAGCTCCAAATTCATCGAGCAACCACCTTTGACCCAAGAGAAACTGCCTGATAAGAGACTCTCCGCCGGGCATGTTGGTGTCGTTCTCTACCCAGGACCCGCCAATTGGAAGAAACTGATTGGTAACAAACTTTTTCTTGATTCTCTTCAAAATTTCTGGATGGTCTTGTTTCAACCACTTGAATTGCTGCATCTGAGATGCAACAAATATGTATTCCGGGTACTCATCGGCAATCTTGAGCTGGGTTGTCCAGGAACGCACAATTTTACGCCTAGTCTCTGCAAAGGGCCAGAGCCATGCCGTGTCAATGTGACAGTTTCCTACTCCATAGACATCAATTTTATTCAATGGGTTCACATGAAAAACCTCATCTGAGTCGATGTGGGCACCCAAGAATTTGGAGGCGATCTTTCTGCATTTCGCAATAGAGCCCCGGTCATTGGCATCAAAAGTATCCATAATTTCGGTTGCAACCAGCGCAGCCTGGTACTTGCTGCCACCCAGGCCCAATTCTCGGGCGGCATCGCCAATAATCCAAAAGTCCCAGAACAATCTACGGGCCTCCACATCAGGAAGCACGAGGTCGCATCTGTTGAGACGGAAATACCTGTTTGGGTCCGGGGTTCCGCCGTCGCCATTGCCGAACATACCATTACAGGCAATTTCCAAATAGAAAAGCTGTTTTTCGGTTTTCCAGAATTCCTTGGGTAATCTAAAAAGCGTACGCTCGCCACCCGTAAAGGCCTGCAAAGGCGTGCCGTGGGAGTCGTATATAAGCCCCTCATTACTACAGTCCCAGTCAAAGTCGATCTCCTCCGCCGCTGAAATCCATGACTCTGGAATCTTCCATTCAATTCTAAACCAAAACGTTTTCCATGAGGGCCCATAGTTATCGCCTTTTTTCGCGTTCTTCCACTCGATTTCATCGAATTTGATATCGCGGAATAAAGGACGGGCCGTTTTGCCATTTTCGTCCGGCACGCGCCACACTTTCAAGTCAATGGCGTCCGTGTTTGAGTCCACTCTTTCTAAATCATAGAACTTCGGCAAATTCAACGACAGGTACCTGCCTCCGTCGGTGAACTGACGCAACCTATTAAGAAATAGATTGTCGATTGGCTTGAAGTTGGGCTGCAAATTGATGGAATCGTAGCTCATAATGATGGATGGTCGCAACGCCGCAGTCTTTAGAAAATGTGTTTTTAATGTGTTTTATTTTTTTGCGTATTGCGTATTTTGTGAAAGAAGAAAGAAGTGAACCGTGTGGAATGACTAGAATATATTATACTGGGGCTAGAAATATGGGGTCACCGCAGCCAGGTTTGCGCGGCTGGGAGTGCACGTGGCAGGCAGAAGCATAAAGTGGAGAAGCCGGAGAAGTTGAGTGAATACAGCGGCAGACCAAAGATGACTAGTTGGCGCTTCCAACAAAAGAAAAAGTAACGATCTTTTAGTGATTTTCTACTTTTGCTCTTGTTTCTATTTTCTTTCTGCTGGTGGCTTTTTGGTCGTTTCTGATGGACGCCAGTGTTTGAGCAACATTTCCCTATGTGCATTGTGCAAGACTGTTCTCGACAATAATTCCGCTTTCGGGACGAGATAGCCTGCACGCGGGAAATGTCTGGTCTGGATGGAAAAGTAACAAGTTTGTACGGGATGATGGGGTGGATACTTTATGAATTTTGAAGGTAGAGGTGCTAGCGTGTAGATGAAGACGTGAATGTGAAGCTCGGGACAAAACTTCAACACAAGGACTACTTTCCAGCACAAGGACTACTTTCCAGCACAAGGACTACTTTCTAACACAAGTATTCCTTTCTAACATTTGCAGTGCAGTTTCCCTACGCCGACACGTCTGGCTCTAGCTATGTTCAGATTCCTCGGCAGCAGTCATGTTTGCAGCTGACGGTCTTTCCAATCGAAGGTGGTGAAACTACAGGTGGCAAAATAAGAATGTAGATATATTCATCTATAAAGTGGCCGAGCATCAATACAGTGAGGGGTCCGATTCTTGACGATTTCAACTGTTGGCTTTCCTAATTCATTGAATCTTGACCTCCTTGTCCTCTTCAATAGAATTCACGAGATGGTGGTTCTTGATAAAATCAGCAACAGGCTGGGTCAACTTCACAGAGAACCCCTTGATCAACGAGAACTCGTCAAGAATCACTCCTCCTTGTTCTGCGATCTTCAGCTTTAAGCTGTTCACATCCTCGGTGGATGCGGTTTCTTTTAATGTGACGATATGGTTTTTGGAAGACATTGCTTTAATTTCTCGTGTTTTGTGTTAGGAAGAGGGGGCTACGGAGGCGAGGAATCTGGGGACGGTGTTTATCAGAGAGCCAGCCGTGTAGTCTGCAGGAATGTATCCCATGTCCGGTTTCAAACAATCAAAGAGCAGACAACTAAACACGGGGAGAAAAGAAAAGAAAATGAACAGAATCAATTCTCATTTTTGCAATAATTCTATCTCTGCAATAGCCAGCGACATGGTTTCTCAGTCAACTCAGCTCTCTACGGATGAGTTGCCTCTGTATTATCTCTTGTAATCGGACTGTATACTGGGCGAGCGTTGTATGATAGGTATCATCTAGGATGCCTGGTACCTACGTCTCGCTGGAAACAATAATTCAACAGATGACGGTACATCAGAAATCAATTGCACTAGCATTGGTATTGTTGATTTAAACCTCTTAAGTTGTCAAAGTTGGCCCACTTGTCCAGAGATGTGTTCTGGCGAGATCGCAGCATATGCACAACAGCAAGAACCTCACTCGACGCGTGACCTAGTCAAGCTTTGAAATATGAGCCCAAAGAATGCATAGAGACTATGAGCTCACGTGTCCCTAAATGCTCGTCCATCAGAAGGGAAGATGCCTCATTTCTACTAGAATAAGTATCTTTCGCACGTTCCAAAAACTGGGTCTGGATAAGCCTGGAATCTGTTGAACAAGCGTCTCCCTGGAATGTATGTGTCGCCAATTGACCGCTTTTTGAACAGGCTCCGCAGGCCGGGCTTCTTCATTTATATTGGCCTTATAGTGGGAGCGCTCGGATGGACCTGGTGGGATATTCGACGCATGTCAAAAATGATCGAAGAAGAGAAGAAAAGAGAAGATGAGCAGCTGAGGGAGAAGCTGAAAAAGTAGCCAGTAACCAGGTTCAATCCTAGGTACGTGACATGCGACCAGGCTACCGTAGCCTGGTCGCACATTCGAGAGTCTCCGTGCAAGAGGCCCCAATTCAACTTGTGTATATATCCAATAACATGAGCCCTTTTCCCGACCCTACATTCCGAAGATGTCTCGCTGCTGCTGTCGATTTTATCTACTTTTTTAGGGCTAGCTTGCTGCGTTCGCCGTCCTTTATTATTTGCAATAAACTCTTATCAGGACCCGCACCGCACTGCCCTTTGAAATTGGAGCATCGCGCATCGTACCTGGCTTTAAGAAACATCGCCATCTTCTAGAACCCCTGTACCCCTCCCCAAAATGGACCATATGGCTTCCAAATACCCGCTATGGAAGCGTGTGCTTCATAAGTTCCAGGCGCGGAGAGATATCCCGTTTCGTAAGAAGTTTTTCGTCGGCTACGACCTCCATGGAAACACGTACTGGGAGTTCACAATAGATGGAAACATGCACCGTCTCCGTAGAAAGTTGGAGCCTTTCCAGGAATCGCCTTTCAAATCTGACTACTTCGAGACCGTGCCTCCACAATGGCTTCAGTGGCTCCGCCGGACAAAAAGAGATGCCCCCACTTTGCAAGAACTCATGGACGACCAGCTCAGGCAACAGCGGATCAAGATTTTGGCAATGCACGCCGACCAGAAATGGACGATGGAAAAGCAACGTTTGGAGCAAGAACAGGCGTTCAAGCTCCAGGCTGAGTTGGACAAGGTGAAACAGGAAAATGCTTCCTTCGAACTCCGGCAGAAGGAGACTATTGAGAAAAGCGATAGTGTGGCCAATGGACTGGCCCCAAAGCAAGACAAAAACCCGGATGTAAAAGCAGCCGATCCTTGGGCCGAGTCCGAGGCGAGAGCCAAGGAAAACCCAATCGAGTCTGCGGTTTTGAAACCAAGAAAGTGAGGTGCCCATGGAACATGTATATAGTGTGAGGTGCTAGTAGAATATTAAGGTCGGTAATCCCAAGGCGTTTGCGCCAGATCAAAGAAGAATCTTCTGCAACTCAAAAAGAAATCGACGCAATGTTGTCAAGACCTCGGGCTGAAACTTCTGTGTGTGCTCATTTCAGGGTCTATGAGAAGAGAAGTACGTCCCTTCTGAACTCACGGGCTTGCTTCTGGCTTACGCAGAAAACGTCAACTAGGTAGCACCGTATCAGAAATGCGTTTGTCTCAGAAAAGAACGGCATGTCCGAGTGCCAGACCAGGTATCGGCCCCAACGATATATATGTGTGCCAGCCTCGATGTACCAAAAACACCCAGGCCAGGGTCTATATCCATCGATTTATTCAGTTCAGATTATGTATTTTACAACGTCTTCAACAACAATTGCGCACCCTTGTTGTCAGTGTCACGCTCCAAGTCCTTTCTCAACTTCTTCACGGCTTTGCGGAGCTCGTCGGCCTTCTTCTTGTTCTGGAGAGCCAACACCTCGAAAACAGCAAGCACGACGAAAGAGCCCTGGCCGGTGACCCACTTCAGAAGCGCCTTGTCTTGCAAGAAAGCATCGCTCAATCTGACGGCAAACTCCGAGCCGACCTTCGCAATGCTGGCGTTTTCAACGGCCACCAACTGGCGAGTCTCGCTGTTCCACTTGAACTCGTTACCCTGGATCAAGGCCTTCAAAGTTCGGGAGAAGAACGGGGTTTTGTTGAGCAAGTGGAAGTCCTCCAAGATATCAGACGCGAACGTGATGTCGTAGATCGCGTCCACCAACTGCGGCCTCAACGTGGAGTTGACGTCGTCGTCTTCCGTCACTGTGAGCACGAGCTCGGTGACAAACTGAGCGGCGATATTCAGCGATAAGAGCTGGGCAAGGGTGGGCTCGCTGTCGGCCGACGTGGTGGCCAAAAGCGACTTGTAGATCAAGGGCAATGCCTTGCTTTGCAACTCGGCCAACCTCTGTTCCTGTGGCTTCTTGGTGGTCTTGGCGTAGGCCAAGGCCTCGTACTTGTGGAGCTCCTGCTTTATCTTCGGGGCAAAGTACTTCCCGGCCAAGCCCTTGAGCAAATACAACAAGGGCCTGCGGGCAAACTTGTCTTGCACAAGCTCGGGCAAAAGCTCCGGGGTGAACAACTCTGCACTGAAGGACTTGTGCACCAAGACGGTATCATCGACAGTCATGAACAAGGTGATCAAGACCGCGTTACCGTACTCGTTTTTGATCAACTCCTTGCCGTGGGCCTTCAAGGAGCGGATGATGATCTTTCTCTCCTTGGCGTTGGCAATGGCAATGAGCGAGGACGCCACCTCGGCACCCTCCTGCGTGTGCACCAACTCGGCAAACTGCTCGGCCAAGGCATCGATGAAGTCTCTGATCTGCAGGTCGTTCTTCTCGACGTCCGCAACCAAGATAGTCACGTAGTCCTTCATGGCCGCGTGCAAGATCTGGAAGCCGGTGGAGCCCTTGGCGATCGACGCGACAATGGTTCCGCTCAAGTTGGTCATGATGAGCTGCTTCTTCTCCGCAGACTCGTTGACAATGTCGAGGATGGTCTTGTCCTTGCCGGAGTCCTTGAACACGGCGTACTCGGAGCCCCAGAACTCGCGGATCATCTGCTGCTTCTGCTGCGCACTGGAGTACAACACGAACAAGTCCTCCACCACGTACGCGCCCTCCTTGTGTCTCATGAGCTTTCTCAAGTTGCCGTGGAGCTCGTCCACGATGAGCGCACGCGACTCCTTGGTGCCGTAGTGCAAGATCTTCACCAACAAGTACTTGCCGTAGGACGAGGTGGCCAACTTGTAGTAGTTGCCCTTGAGCGCCCGCACAATGGCCTCTCTCCGCTCCTTGGTCGTGTGCTTGATCAACGTCTGCACCACACGCGAGGCGTCGTGCTTCAACACCAAGTCGTGCACAATGTCCTTGGAGAGCTCCCAGATCTCGTTGCACAACTTCTCCTTGATCTCCTTTGGTGGCGGGGGCTTGGTGACTCTCAACTTCTCCCAGAGCGACTTGATGCGCTCGACCTCGGCTCCGGCCTTGCGGCTCAACTTCCTCTCTGCCAACAACTTCCTCTGCTCGGCGTGCTGCTCGGCGGACGTCTTTTTGTTGGGGTCCGCGGGCTTGGTCTCGCCGTCGGCCTTGTTGGCCTTGTCGCCACTGTCGCCGGACTCGGCGCCGGACTCGGCACCGCTCGACTCGTCCAAGTCGTCCAATTCGTCAGCATCACTTTCGTCTCCCGATGCCTTTTCAGGCTTGTCCTCGGTGTCGGAGTCCAAGTCGTCGCCCTCCGACTCGGACCCGGACCCGGAGTCTGAACCGGACTCGGACCCGGACCCAGAGCCAGAGTCGGACCCGGACCCGGAGCCTGCAGCCTTGTCCGAGTCGTCCTCGGCAGACTCGTAGAAGGTGGCCTCGTTCTCCGAAGAGCTCTCGGGCTCCGGCACGGGCTGCGGCTTGAACTTGGCTTTTTTCGCCTCGCCGCTGGCGTTGCCCTTGGCAGCAGCACGTTTGACTCCCTTACCCATGTTTTGTCTATGTGTGTGTGAACCGAGTGGGTGTACTAGTGGAGCTTAGCTTGGAGAAGGCATCGCACAATTAGAGGTGAAAATATACTGTGCGATGCGATCACGTGCGCCGCCGCCGGCCCATACAGTAGGGCAGCCCCAAGCGGCCATTCTGAGCGTGCTTGCGGGCTTTTTCGGCGCCGGCCCAGTAAGTGGCCGCTGAGGCCATGAAAGCTTTCGTTTGCCCTGAAAAAAACCGGGATTTTGGGCATCCCGTGGTGCCAGCGATTGCATGCGAATGGGTCCGGCGGGCCTCGCCCAGACATATATACAAGCCGCAATGCTGCTTGGCCTTGCCGTGGGGGTGCAAGCCTGGAGCACGCCCGGTTTTTTGGTCCCGCAGCCAGGCTGTCCCGACGGGCACCCATGTTCATTGATTCCCCCGGCCCAGTTTTTTGAAGCGGGCGTCCCTTTTTTTTTTCCAGCCACCCGCCATTTCGTGGCCCCGAATATTACACCGCGGGCACCCAGCTATTCTCAGCGCGCACCTAGGAACCATGGCCCCAATGAACCATGGCCCCAATGAATCATGGCCACCAGTGCAGTACCGCGAGCCGGCCCCACCATTACTAAGTCGCCATCCGGCCAGAACCCACCATATTTTCACAGTACACTGCTACAGTACACTGGGAATTGCCAACAAGCCAATAAAAGAAACATGTTCCGTCAAGCATTGAGAACCGCACAGCACGCGCGGGCCGGCGCCAGGCTCAGCACCAGGCTCAACTCCACGTCGCTGGCCGTGGCCGAGATCTCGGACTTGGCCCACTTCACCCGCATAATCAACAACAAGAAAAAGGTGTCTGTGGTGGACTTCTACGCCACGTGGTGCGGCCCGTGCAAGGCCATTGCGCCCATTTTCGACGCGTTGGCCCAGAAAGTCCCGGAGGCCGGGTTTGCCCGTGTGGACGTCGACCGGGCCGAGGACGTGGCGCGGGAGTACGGCATCACGGCCATGCCCACGATTCTTTTTTTCCAGGACGGCGAGAAGGTGAGCACGATTGTGGGCGCCAATGTGCCGCAGTTGTTGAAGACCATCCAGGAGTACTCGGGCGTGGACGTCAAGCTGAGATAGGCGTTAGTGTATGGTACTTAGAGAATGAACAGATGCGCTGTTTGAGCGGGCCGTGTTGCCTGTTGAAGACGTAGGTGGGGAGCTTGGGATTGCGGGTGTGGCTGGGAGTGTTTCCCTGTCAGCTTTGGAGGGTGCATTGTGGGGTGAAACACCGGAGAGAAGGTCTTTTGGAAAGCTATATGACGGTGTCTTTAGAAGCAGGTGCTTGAAGCGTGGTTCCAGAAACACGTGTATTGTAGAACTGTGGGGGTGGGGCTTCGAATGAAAGGTGTGTTCAAACGCAGGAGTGCTGAAGAGTAGGGGTTTTACAAAGAATATGGAAGTATGCACATTGGGAGAAATCTGACGAGTGGGCCATTCAAGACGCTGGTAATCAAGAGCAGGTGGATAAAAGATGTGTATTGAAGATCTGGTGGACATAAGATGTGTATTGAAGATCTGGTGGATATAAGATGTGTATTGAAGATCTGGTGGATAAAAGAGATGTAATCAAGAGCAGGTGGATAAAAGAGATGTAATCAAGAGCAGGTGGATAAAAGATGGGTAGTAAAGAGCAGGTCGATAAAAGATGTGTAGTAAAGAGCAGGCGGAATCAATGCTAGGTGAAATATAGAGTAGGCGTATGAAAGGGCATGTGTATTGAAGATCTGGTGTGTTAAAGAGGTGTAATAAAGAGCTAGTGTATTAAAGAGTTGTATAAAAGAGCTGGTGCAATGAAGAGCTGAAATACAAAGCATGTGGAATAAATGCCAGGTGAAATAGAGAGCAGATGAATTAGAGAGTACGTGTATCAGGCACATACGTCAAAGAGCAGGTGCAATAAAAAGGTGCAATAAAAAGCAGGTGCAATAAAAAGGTGGAATAATAAGCATGTGGAATGAAGGACAGGTGTGACAGAGATCAACGGCAATAAAAGCAGCTGTTATAAAAACTCTTGACCAAAATAAATCAATCAATCTTCTGAACATTCACTTCTTCAATTGGCAGCTCTACTGAAAAGGTGGATGCGAAGGCTGTTTGGTGAGCAGTCCTCAATACGGAAGGCATATCAGAGCATGTACACCACAGGCAGGTACTGGAAAAATATACATTGTAAAAGGTGAGTCTTTCAAAAACAGCAACGCGCTTACCATGAAAAGGGTCTGGAAGAGCTGCAATGTCGGAACTTTGGTCATCTGCAGATCCATAAAACAGAAAACTGGTATATGAAAGTGGGCAATGCGAGTGGCCTCGGTAGTGCCGGCTGCGAGTGTTGCAACTGGTCACGTCGACTTACTAAACACAAGGCAATACTCCAGCGGATGCCTCATAAAACGAACAAAAAATCGGCTCCATTAATTCATCAGCTCTTTTGCTGCTCCCGCAGTTGGCGTCCAAAAAAAAAAAAAAACCGCCGCCCGGCTAATAGCGGTGGCGCCCGGGCTTATAGTTGGCCCTGGCCCAGTCGCACCCAGGCCGGCCAATATCCACCAGGCCCCAGTAAAACCACACCAGGCCTCAGTAAAACCACCCACGAGGCCCCATGAAAAACACCCAGCACGCCCGATTTCCGCTTTCTGACCACGGCGCCATGTTCTTCGCTCCCCCAAAAATACGCACCTTCTTCTTTTTTTTTCTCTCCCAGCATCAGCTCTTTTTTTGCTCCCGCCGCCAGGCCTCCATGGAGAATGGCCCCAGGCGGCCGGGCCTGCACAGCGCCCGCCCGCTCAAAGTGGCGATCTCGCAACATCTAACCTACCCCAGCACCACCTACTCGTTATACTAAAATGGTATGTTTTATCCCCCACGCCCCCGAAAGACGCCCCGTCAAACTCTGGACACGCTTACTAACTTCCCCAGGGACAAGGAGCTTCAGGCATGCCCGGAGGCGGCAACCTCGGCAAGAAGAAAGACGACAAGAAGAAAGACAAGCCCAAGTACGAGCCGCCCGTGGAGGCCAAGTTCGGCAAGAAAAGAAGAAAGGGCCCCGACACCGCGGTCAGGTTGCCCAGCGTGTACCCCACCACGCGGTGCAAGTTGAAGCTCTTGAAGTTGGAGCGCATCAAAGACCACTTGTTGTTGGAGGAGGAGTTCATTGCCAACCAGGAGGCGCTCCAGCCCACCGAGGCCAGGCAGGCCGAGGAGCGCGAGAAAATCGACGAGTTGCGTGGCTACCCGATGTCCATCGGCACGTTGGAGGAAATCATCGACGACGACCATGCCATTGTGTCCAGCACCGCCGGGTCCGAGTACTACGTGACCATCATGTCCTTTGTGGACAAGGGTCTCTTGGAGCCCGGCTGCTCCGTGCTCTTGCACCACAAAACCGTGTCTGTGGTGGGTGTCTTGCAGGACGATGCCGACCCCATGGTCTCCGTGATGAAGTTGGACAAGTCGCCGAAGGAGTCCTACGCGGACATCGGCGGCTTGGAGTCGCAGATCCAGGAGATCAAGGAGGCCGTGGAGTTGCCGTTGACGCACCCGGAGTTGTACGAGGAAATGGGCATCAAGCCGCCCAAGGGTGTCATTTTGTACGGCGCGCCCGGCACCGGCAAAACACTCTTGGCCAAGGCCGTGGCCAACCAGACCAGCGCCACGTTCTTGCGCATTGTGGGCTCCGAGTTGATCCAGAAATACCTCGGCGACGGGCCCCGCTTGTGCCGGCAAATCTTCCAGATTGCCGGGGACTTGGCGCCGTCCATTGTGTTCATAGATGAGATCGACGCCATCGGCAGCAAGCGGTACGAGTCGTCCTCTGGCGGCGAGAGAGAGATCCAGCGGACCATGTTGGAGTTGTTGAACCAGCTAGACGGGTTCGACGACAGGGGCGACATCAAAGTCATCATGGCCACCAACAAGATGGAGTCGTTGGACCCTGCGTTGATCAGGCCGGGCAGAATCGACCGCAAGATCTTGTTCGAGAACCCCGACTCCAACACCAAGAAGAAGATCTTGAGCATCCACACATCCAAGATGAACTTGTCCAGCGACGTCAACCTAGACGAGCTTGTCACGTCCAAGGACGACTTGTCGGGCGCAGACATCAAGGCCATGTGCACGGAGGCTGGTTTGTTGGCGTTGAGAGAGAGACGCATGCAGGTGAAGGCCGAGGACTTCCGGACTGCCAAGGAACGGGTGCTCAAAAACAAGGTGGAGGAGAACCTCGAGGGGCTTTACTTGTAGATGCGGTGTGTATCATAATGAAACAGAAGGGTGTTCATACATTGTAGCCTATGTACGGGCGAGCCTCAGTCGTCGTTTCTGCTCAGCAAAAGACGGAGCACGAAGAGAAAGAGATTCAAGATGTCCAAGTACAACGCGATGGCCGCAGACACCTCGTCGTCGAGCGAGTAGGTCTTCATGAGATGCTGGGTGTCCACGAGAATGTAGGCCGAGAAGATCAACGCGCCTGCGCCAGAGTAGAGCATCTCGAAGCCTTTGGAATTGCCGGGGAAAAACATGTTCACGAAGCCGATGGCGATGAGCGCCCACACCGAGATCCCCAAGGCGCCCTGCCAGCTCCGGAAGTCGTAGCGCGACTGGAAGGCGAAGACCGTGAGGCCCATGAACACGACAAACGTGATCATTAGAGCCTGCACCACGGCGTCGGTGTCGACAAACGAGCACGCAAGCCCGACTCCGTACAGCTCGCACAACGTGAAGCCCGCTAGCAAAACGAGGTTGATGGGGTACAGGCGCGCCTTGATGTTGGCGCCTATGGCGAACCCCAAGGTGCCCACTATGGATACTATGTAAAGCCACATGTTGTTCATGCACCATGTCTGGAGCGGCTCATGCAGCCGGATCGCATATCCCACAAGCATCGTGGCAAAGATCTGGACCGAGAGGAGCGCGTACACTTTGCGGATGAACATCTGGCGCACGGGCAATTCACACGACGCCACGTTTACTGAGTACTTGAAGTCATCGGGCACGTTATCGCCCTGCGTCCGGGCGGCCGGGTCCTCGCCATATGCGGGGGGCTGGGAGGGCACGGGTTGGTACGACATTTTTCGAGCAGAATTATATAGGCAGCACGTTTGTTGGAGCAAAAGCTAAGAAGAGTGCGCGGAAGTAGGGTGGTTGAACTGGCAGGGCTGATGTAGGGAGGCGGGACATGTAGGTCACGGGACTGAGGAACGCGGAACGTGGGGAGCAGCCGAGGCTCACGGCGTGTTTGCTGTGTGCTACTGGGGCAGTGAAACAGGCACTGTGTTATTTGTGGCCGGCCTTGCGAGCGGAATTGGGATCTTCAACGGCGAAAGTGCTCAAATGCATAATCGCTCGAAATAAAAAAAGAAAGGGTGGCCGATGGGTCGGGCCTAATCAATGATGACTGGTTCTAAATTGACCGGGCGCGGCCTGTGCGCCAGTAGCTGGAACGGGCCCTCTGAGCAAGCCCACCACTATTCGATGCAACACATGGCATTTTATATAGTTTGATGGCGGTGGATACTCTCTTGCCGTCCAGGGTAATTTTTGCCGGCTGTGAAATGGTCCTCGGTCGGGTGGTTTTTTTTTGGATCATTTCTTGGTTCGTGATATGGAACTTCAGGGCCCAGGAATTGGCAATACGGAAATGTGCACTCCAGGCAACAACTCTGGATGACACCAAAATGAAAGCGACCAAGTCCACCAGAATTTACTTGCCGCATGGAATTGCAAATGCGAGACTCTCTTGTAAGTACCGTTCAGTTCACCTGGCAAGGTTCGTGTATGTTGGTCCACGGCCCACCGCCATGCGCCCTCGCCGTAGCAGACAGTGGTTCCAATATAGAGTATGTAATTTGTAGCTACCAAAATAATTCCCACGCCAGAGCGTCTCTGTGCTCTGACTGCTGTCTCTGGCCCATATCAGACGATCCTTGTCTCTGGCCCATATCAGACGATCCTACCAAATAGAAAGACTTGAACGACCGCTCGCCTCAAGCCTATTTTCGGCCCACACCTCTCGAGGGCCTACCCGGGCCCTGAATTTGTCCCACCCCATATTCCTTCCCTTCCCTCTTCTAAAAAAGCCCCTGTAGATCTTCGTCTGTATACGAGGTATCGTCATTCGAGCCACTGGGTGGGCTCTTGCCAAAGCTCTGAAACTCGTCATCCAGACTCTGTTTCCCCAGGCTGTCATCCGCCTGCCCCGCCGCCTTCTCGATCGGCGGCGCCACTTTGTTTCCCCTTTTCAACCGTAGCACGATTGTGTCTTTGAATGCCACAGATTTGCGGCACATGGGACAGAGGCCCACCCCTTTTTTCCCCCGCGTTTGCCCACGAGCCGAGGACGCAGATATGCTTTTCTGTAGGCATTCAAGGCAGTACACGTGCCCGCAGAAGGTCGTGGTGGCGTTTTTGATCGAGTCGAAACAGATGGGGCATTCAGCCTCACAGAGCTTCTTCACGACTTTTGGAGGAGCCTGTTCTATGAGTTTCTGCGTTGCTTCATGGAAGGCAAGCACTTGCACATCGTCGTCTTCTTCTTCGTCCGAGGACAAGCTGATTACATAAGGGGCAGGCATATTTTCGGGCGCCTGCTTACCTGCTTATCTGCTGACAGAGGGCAAGCATGGTCTGCCAGGTGAGGCGCCTGTCCTGCACAAAGGGGAGTGCCTGGGCCGGCACCATGGAGTTTTGGATGGCCCGTAATTTGATGCCATTTAAAAGGAGAGGGTTTTTACAAGATGGCACTACAATCAGGCGCCAGGGCATTTGGGTGCTCGGCCATATCTCACACCGTGTAGTGAGATACAGCTCAATCGAGAATGTACGAAGTAGGGGAGCCTACAAGTTTTAACTTGGTGCCACCCAGGTTTGTCTGGATGGATGCAACACCCACTATTATGCAGATAGCTCTAGCGCGACGTCTTGGCTATGCGGAATCATGATAATTGAGTCCTGGAGAATGGGCGAGGTTACCTTTGGCTTTTTCGGGGGCTTTATCCGGGGCCTAATTATTGGGCCTTCTTATGTGGCTTTATCCTGGGGCTTTATTATTGCGCTTTATGGCTTTATTTTGGGCCTCTATTTTGGAGCCATATTACGGGTCGTTATCATTGCACTTTATTACGGGACTTCATTACAGAGCTTTATTATTGGACATTTTACGGGAATTTATTATTGAATTTTATTTCGGGACTTTATTATTGAACTTTATTACGGGACTTCATTACAGAGCTTTATTATTGGACATTTTACGGGAATTTATTATTGAATTTTATTTCGGGACTTTATTATTGAACTTTATTACGGGACTTCATTACAGAGCTTTATTATTGGACATTTTACGGGAATTTATTATTGAATTTTATTTCGGGACTTTAATATTGAACTTTATTACGGGACTTTATTACAGAGCTTTATTATTGGACTTTTCTACGGAACTTCATTATTGGACTTTATTACGGGACTCCATTATTGAACTTTTTACGGGACTTTATTACAGATAATCATTATTGGGCTCTATTAACGGGCTTTCTCATTGGGATTTACTACAGAACTTCATTACAGAACTTTGCTTTGGGCCTCTTCTGCCCCGATTTGCCTCTGCTTCGTATTTCTGGTTTACGGCTGTGGAATATGGCGCCATGTATCGCCCCAATTTAAGGTTTAGCTATCGTGCGATATATGACTCTGATTTGTGGCCCTGGCGGCGCGGTACGCACGCAGGGCTTTTTCCATGAGCGAGCCCGGCCAGACACGGCAGAATAAGAGGACGCCATTCCAAACCCGGCCCGGGGCGGAAGGCCGTTCTGTGATTGGAACCCGAAGTTTGGCCCAGCATGTCTCGCGAGTCTTGGTGCGATTGGCGTGAGTGGGCGCGATTTGCGAGAGTCGTGGTGCGGTTCATGCAGAGGCCAAGGCCGGCACGGCGAGCTAATATACTAATTGCTCCAGTTGCGGACACTCCCCAGTTTAGCGCCAGAAACGCAGCGCCGGCGCCGGGACATGCCTCATGGCCACGGCCACATGTGCGCCGCAATCAATGTGCCCGGTCCTCTCAATACTTGCCCCAGGGAGTGGTGACATCATTTGTAGTCGGCTGTGGCCCCGCTGTCTGTTCTGCCCCGGGTAACGACTGCACACCAGCTCGCGCGGCGGAATTCTACTGGATGGCGACAAGCAGACTACAGCGCCATGGCCATTGGGTAGAAGCAGAAAACAGCGAACAAAGCAAAAAAAAACAAAAAAAAAACAAAAAGAAGAAAAAACGCAAAGTTCCCCCAGGGATCTGCCTAGTTTCCGGACCTTGGCTGTGCGTGTTGCGCCGCGGGCAGATGCCCTCACCCTGGATTTGCCATAGTTCTTCGGGGCAGAAGCGTGCGGCATAGAAGCCTGTTTTTTCGATCTGCCCCAGCAATGGAATGTTCAGCCAATCACCCCTCGCCACCAGACCAGCACTGGATGTGCACACACATACAGCAGCTTCACCGGGCGGCCAGTCACCACACCCGGCGCAGGCCCAAAACACCCCCGGGGCCGCCAATAACTCCTCTGCGGCCGGCCTCTAATATTGACGCCCTTGCACATTCCATAGTGGTCTGAAGCTACGAGAGAACGCGCGCTGTATGCCAGCTGCAGGAGCGTGTGCACAGGCGTTCGAATGGAGCAGGCTCTTTTGGGCCAAGAGCACTGTTTTTTTTTTTGTCTTTGCCCATTGTCTCCATACCAGAAATCAGCCCGGGGTCATCCTCCAAGCAAGTCTGCCACAACGGACAGCCTCCATTCCCCCCGCCACGGAAAACCCACTCCACACCACGACTCCACCGGCTGCTCACTCATAGTTCCGGATCCACGGACACATCCCCATTTCCCCGCCGTGTTTATTTTTTCTGTAAGGCAGGCCCACCGGATACTTTAATCTTGGTTCCCGCACACTCACAGATAGCCTCCCGACTTGATTGCCTGGGCCATACACAGACCCTCGCCACCTAAAAACCCCTTGTTGCCCGAAACCAGTGGGCGTCTAATCCCCCCGTTTGTCTGTCCACAAAACCACTGCCCCTCCCGCCGATGTCTGACTACCACAACCCGCTCTCGGTGGTCATTCCCCACGAGTTCCACAACCACCAAGACTTCCCCACGGAGGTGGTTGCACACAGATTCCAGGCGTACAGGGATATAGTGAAGGACCTCATTTCGTACCTTCGCCAGTACGCGTCCGTGCAAGAAGAAATCGTGCGGCAGCAGGTGAGGCTTCAACAGGCCGTGGGCGCCGCAAGCCAGTCCGTCTCCCACGCTGCCTCCAGCGAAAAACAGCACAGCCACATCCGCTCGAGACTGCGGGAAAAGCCCACCGTCAACGACGACGACCTCAGTGCCATCAACCAGTTCTTCTTGCCCATTGGAAACGGGCTGATCCAGGACATCCCCACGATATTGACCAAGTTCCACCAGCAGAACATCCAGACGAGCACCAAGACGCTCAAAGATATCAACCAGGTGATCATCCCGAAACTCGAGGACTTGCGCAAGGACTTGCTCGTCAAGGTCAAAGAAATCAAGAACTTGCAGAACGACTTCAAGAACACGCTCTCGCGGGAAATCACCGAAACAAAGGCCTTGATTGCCGGCTTCAACCAGGCCATCGACGTGACGACCCACTTCGAAAAGTTGGGCTCTGCCGCGTCGCTTCACTACGACCTGAACGGCGACGCCGACAACGCAAAGAAAGATCCCTTCTTGATGAAGATCAAGTTAGAGCGGCAGTTGAAAAGACAGTTGCACGAGGAAGCGTACCTCTACGAGGCATACAAAAACTTGCAAATGTCAAGTGAAAAGCTAGAGTCGATAGTCGTGTTGGAGATTCAGAACCACATGGGCATGTTTTTGAACTTAGTCGAAAACGAGAGCTCTTCCGTTTCCAATTTCTTGGTGCCAAACTTTACCCAGGGATTCTTGGCCAAAGAGCCCAATTTGGAGTGGGAGGCTTTCATCCTGAGAAATTTGCCTCGCTCGTCATCCATCTCGCACAACTTGACCTCTGGCATGTTTATTGATCTCTCGTTTCCTTCACGCAAAATAAGCGACCTTGCCATCCCACACTACGACTCTTTGCTCAACATCCCAGTGAGAGAGGGAAGCCTCGAGAGAAGATCCAAGTTCTTGAAATCGTACTCTGGTGGGTGGTACGTATTGACTTGCAGCTACCTCCACGAGTTCAAGTCTCCAGACAGAAAGAAGGACCAGAACCCGGTCATGTCATTGTCTTTGGACCACTGCCTGGTGAGCGAGCATTCAAAGAACGACGGTAAACTATCAGGAGCTTACAAGTTCGTGTTGTATTCCAAGCTGCAGAACGGATTGATACACAGGGGCCATAACTGGTCTTTCCGATGCGAGACGTATCAGACTATGATTGAGTGGTACAACGATATCAAAACCCTCACATCCTTGCCATCTCCAACTTCTCGTGCCAAAGCCATGAGCAAGAAGTTGACGGCAAACGATGCAGCTGGCGACAAGTTGTCAAGAACGTCCAGTGCCATTTCAGGGCACACAGGGGTCAAGTCCTTACGATCCAGCGCCTCCAGGGCGCGCAATAGATTGACCCAAGAAGTGACAAACTCGTCTGTCGTATCTACGGTCCCATCCCATCGGTCTGCAACCGCATCTGGCTTGAACAGGGCAAGCTTATCTCCTTCCGTGCACCGCTCCCCCAAATTGTCGAACCTACTTAACAGCGACGGGACAGCAGTGGCGTCTTCTGAAGAACATACAAAGGACAACGACTCGGTTGATCAGAATGGGAATATCACTGTGAGAACGCTGGTCTCCTTAGATCGGAATGAAAGCAGACAAGATATGTCCAGACAAGAGAAACGCCTGAACGGAATTGATCGTCCAGGCTCCAATCTCCTGACACCAAGCGGAGATCAACGCAGCGCTGAAGGCCACGCCTCGCCCCAACAGACGATCCCGCAAAACTACCAATACTACATCAACCAGGTCAACCAAAGACCTCAACAGTTTTACGACCCTGTTCTGCAGCAGTTCTTCATGATCAACGCTATTCCTGCACTGCAGGTCACACAGATGGACCAAGCCCCCCAGCAGAGTCTTCCAGCCACCACCAGTGTAACACCAAGCACAACTGGACTCCAGCCACAGGGAATAGTGCAGCCAATGCCACAGTATTTTCCGTCATCGCCATTGCCCGTCCACAGCCAGCTAGCTTCTGAAGCATCCAGTTTGCACCCACAACAGTCGCCACTTTCGCTCCAGGGCCAGTCGGTTCCGGGTATAGTCGAGCAAGGAAAGAGAACAAGTCAGTATATTCCGCAATTTCCGGGCCACTTCAATGAAGGACCTTCCAGAAACGCGCCTTATCCAGTTCAGTTTGGAGATAGCATTGATGGCAATGCGCAAGGCCCGTCAAGTAGTGGGCAGCCGGAGCCTGGGCGCAATAACAGCATTGATGAAAGAGAGTCCAAGGTGACGATCAGTGATGAAAATTAAGATGTACATATACATGCATGCCGGGTGTCACGATAGCGCATGGGAATACCTGACAAGCAGCACCCTATTTAGAGCAATCACGATTAGAATGAGCAACATTGGCACACATTGTAGTCCAGAAAGGATGCACCCGAGAAGGACCCAGTGGTCTTACGAGACTAAGATGAAATATTTGGCTCAGATGTCGATACGTGCCTCGCACGTCCTCATCAAAACAGCGAGGGCTCTTAGAACATTTACTACGAGGCACCAGAGAGTGGTCTCAAAATATTTGTGAATTAATGTATCATATACAAAAGATCGTGAGTTTAGACAACAACACCAGAGTTGGAAGCAATTCTTGGCCACAAGTCAGCACACTCCTTGGCAACTGGACCGGTGATAGCGGAACCCTTCATTTCACCCTTAGGGTTGACAATGACACCGGCGTTGTCCTCGAAGTACAAGAAGGTACCGTCCTTTCTTCTCCAAGGCTTGGATTGTCTGACAACAATGGCTGGCATAACCTTCTTTCTCAATTCAGGCTTACCCTTCTTGACGGTGGCCATGACCATGTCACCAGCAGAAGCAGCTGGCAATCTATTCAATCTAGCACCGACACCCTTGACGGCCAAGATGTAAAGGTTTCTAGCACCAGAGTTGTCGCAACAGTTGACGACGGCGCCGACTGGCAAACCCAACTATCATTGTTAGTAATTATTCCTCGGGTTGTCTTCCACATGGCAAGATACGACCAGGTCCAGAGTCAGAAATCATGGATATACTCGATGGAACTTGTAGTGACTTGTGGTGATTTGAGGATCTTGTATGCGACTGCTTCATGAAAGGAGGCGTATACTAAGTGAAGAAAGACCCGATGGTCTACAAATTTTTCGATGAATGCGATGGCCTGGTTTATCATGAAGGAGACGATGAGTTCACCCAGTGTGTAGCACAAAGACACATTGTGTGGTGGATTGGCGGGGAATCGTATGATTGAAGGGCATACCCTGGATTTCATGATCTTGAGGCAGGCCCTTGTATATGGATAAATCTTGATCCAAGATCCCGTGATTTTGCCGGTCAACACAGACGGCCATGTGGATAAAGACAAATTTCAAATTGGAACGGAGCGGTACATACAGACATACGGAACTTGTTACCGGAAGCACCAGAACCAGACATGATGATATTCTATAGTTTGTAGTTGAGGAGTAGGTAATGGCTTTGATTTTTTTTCCCACCCAGTGCGCAGAGCGTAGGCGTGCGGGAAAATTTTTCCTCACTGGCTGGGGCGTGCACATAGGGGCACGTTAGGGTATGAGACCTAGAATGTGCGTCCGCACGTGACAGGGTCGGAGCCTGGCGGGATTCGGATGCTTGGGAGCGGTGCATTAAAAAGTGATATTATAACACCAGCTGCGTCCCCCTGCCATCCTATATGGCACACGTGTCTATCGAATATTTGTTGGAAACACGCGTCCTTTATTGCATTCTACTTCTCTACTTCTAGTAAACGAGCGAAGGCTGATTGGAGGGCTATCGGCAGGCGAGACATACAGACCCCGAGCTGCAAAATGTCGTAGCGCATAATCCAACCATAAACGAAAATAGATACTTTCACTTCCCCATGGAGAAGCGCAAAAAATATAAAGGTTTTCTGACCAGAGGTGTTTGCGCGATACTCACTGTCTTTGCCTGGTAACCTCAGCCGTGCGAGCCTCACATGGAAGTTGCGAAAGTTGGCTTCTAGGCATACGCGGGACTCAACTGTGCCAGGCTAAACAGATGGTACGCACCGTCAAGACGAGCGTGGTCCGGTCCGTGTTTACATACTTGGACGCTTGTCTAAGTGTTGTCTATTAAGGGTTACATATGTTCATTAGAGCTATGTTCCCAAAGCAAAGCAAAAACGTATTGATGGCATGCGGCGCTTCTCCAAAGGACAAGATGCAGTCGACTGGTCCAGAGAGACCCTGAGACCATGTCCCTTGCCGCAACCACGGGAATTGAAAATAAAAAAAAATCCAGGCGGCCGACCGGGTCCGACCGCCTCTCGTCGTTACTCATGTTTCATCAATTGTTGACCACCTGTAGCGACCCAGGGTTCCGCGTGAGCATATCAGGCAATGAGCCGTTGGACAAGCGGCGACGGCCGTACTCCGTGTTGTTGGCGTAGTAGTTATCCCTTTCAGCATCGTTCGCAAAATAGAACGCGTCTTCGTTGTTTGAGGAGTACGAGCGGTCTGTGTTCGAGTTGTTGTGCGTGTGGGTGCCTGCGGCAGCGGCAGCACCGCCTCCCACAAAGGTGTGCGGGGTCACGGAGTCGAACTCGCCCAACTGGGCCCGCTTATTGTCCGAGAAAACAAAGTCGTCATCATCGTCGTCCTCGTCGCGGTTCTTGCGCCACCGGAGAACAAAAAATACGATCAAAGACACGACAGCCACCCCGCCAATCGAGCCGACGACGGCTCCCGCAATCTGGCCTCCCAGCACGCCCAGAGACTTGGTGGTTTCTGACGAGCTGCTGCTGCTGCTGCTTGAGTTTCCTGATGCTACGGTGGTGGTGACTGCAACGATGGAGCCCGAGGTCCCGCTGGGAGAGGACGTGACTGTCGAAACAATGGTCGTGAAGCCGCTGGCTTGGCTTGCAGACGAGCTGGTCTGCGTATTGGACGCGGCCTGCGTTGCGCCCAGCGAGCCCGCTGAATTCCCGGGCTGCGAGGATGCTGAACCCAGCGACTGCGATGATGACGAGCTTGACGAGGATGTCTTGGTCGACGAAGACGTCGACTTCGAGGACGATTTCGAGGATGATTTCGTCGAGGACGACGACGACGAAACAGACATGGTGGAGCCGTCCACGTCGTCGTTCACGTAGACCTCGAAGTACCCGTCGCCGCCGCACGTGATGCTGCCGTATCCTTGGCACGCCACGTCGCACTTGGAGCTATCGACCTCCAAGGATGACGCCGGGACCGTCAGCCCGCAGTAGCAGTATTTGCCGTCCATGACCGCGGCGACCTTTTCGCCCTCGCAGAGCTGCTCACAGTACGACGGTGTCTGGTAGGTATACGAGCCTTGCAGCGTGAGCAAGGACAGGATGTCGCTTTCGGAATAGCAGCCGTAGTCAGAGAAGGAGTCCGCCTGCACGAGCACGGCGAGCAGTAGTAGTAGTAGCTTCGAGGGGGTGTACATGCTGGATGCGCAGTGGGTATGGGACTGGTGGGGGTTGTTATGGGGCGCTGCTTTTGGTGGGCTATGCTAGCTTTTGGCAGATAGTGCTTGCGTTTGTGGCGGTGCTCAGATCTGCTCGTGGATTGGACGCTGGCGGTGGTTTTTGGAGTAATCCAAGGTGATATTTGGCTGATGAGCGGGCCTGGTTCGGGATCGTGCAATGTGGGTGGGCGGCAAAAAGACACACTGGACTCGGCGCTAGATGGAACCCGGAAAAACAAACGGACAGAACCTAGTAGAAGCGGATCTCGAAGCTGGTGGCAATCGGCGCTATGTGCTAGAAAAAAAAAGGAACGTCGGAGGGTTTGGCCTTGCTATATTGAAAACTTCAACGAAAGAACAAAAAAAACAATGGAGCAAGGCTAGAAAAAACCAGGCACAGTTGTGAGAAACTAGCATGGGCGCGGGGCTACGTAACGCGCACTGAGACTCAGGCACGAGGCCGTACTTGGCCAATTAACATATAAGCCTCTGATGCTTTTCAAGACAGACCCAAGAAAAAGGAAAAAGAAACGCCCAGTTCCGTGCCCAAATAGCAGAACAGGTTGAGACGTCTTTTTTCCCCCTGTTTACTCATCTGATCGCCGGCCTCTGCGGCCTTTCTCCAGATCTCAAAATGGCTCTGATGGCCCTGGCCTGCACGGGCCCACGCAGCTCGCTCGGAAACAACAACAAACGCAGTTAGTAAAAGTGGACAAAAAGCCGCGCATGCAGTCGCTTCCATGCGTTCCAGGGCGCTAGTCGCCAGGCCCACCTATTGCCGGACCCAGGCCCCCAGGCTTAGGTTTTTTTGAGGCGGCCCCAGACAATCCGCGACACCCTCATTCTATGGTGAGACGGCCCGGGCATGGTGGGTCCTTTTTCTGTCTTGTTTCCAAGCGGCAGCCCACACTCCCACACGCCCGGTCCGGCGTGGCCCACACCCAGCCATCTATTTTTGGATGCCCCAGTTGGTCAGGACCTGGGTGTGTGCAGATTACACGGTTTGTTTCGCGAGCTAGTATGCGCGTATCCAGGCGAAACCGGCGATGCCCAGGAACGCCCGCTAATATTTGCTCTAACCAAGCGAGGCCCGAAGAGCCCAGCGAAACACCACCAGACAAAAAAAAAAAACAAGAAAAAAACAAACCCGAACCGTGTCGGCAGAGAGCGCGTTTTGGGCCGCTTTGGGCAATACGTCCTTTCTGGGGCAGTATCTTTACTTGGGCAGTATGTCTTTATTGTGAGCAACGGCTGTATTTGGCGCAACGTTCCCACCTGCCCGGGCCTGGTCCAGTTTGGATTTCTTGCGGGCCTGCTTCCTGTTTTTTTTTCTTCAAATCCGTTGTGCGGCGCCGGGGCCAATTTTTGGTGAACATCCAGCGCCACTGCACCGCGACATCTGGGCCTAAGAATTATTGCACTGCTGGGAGCACGAACTGGGGCTCCGAAACGGGCAGTCTGCACGGGGCTGATTCCAAGGAGCGCGTCGCCGTTTTTTTTTTGCTTTTAGTTATCTTTATCATACGTCATTTTCGCTGACATTCCCGTTTGCTTGGCGTGCCCTTCGGCTTTAGTTCCCTACGCCATGTCAACACGAAATTCATTCCAGCCCTAGCAGTAGTTTATTTTTTCGCGCACCGGCGCAATTCCAGCCTCAGATCTGGGAAGCGGTGGCCCGCACCAAACACCCGTGCACCCGCCCTATATAAAGCCGACGTTCGATGCCCCAGTCTTTCCGAACCAAGCGGCCCCTTCTCTTTCCGTCAGGCTCATTGGGGTTTCCCCAAGATTGGTCTTTCCTGAGAACTTGCGCGGGCTGCTCAGAGAAATCACAGGCCCTTTTTCGCTAACAACGATCCGAACCCACCGATCGTAGTTTGATAGTAGTGGGGCTTACATCTTTATCTTCACCCTCTTCCAACGTTGCTCACTCTCCTTTCAAGTATCTCTCCTTTCAAGTATCTCCCCTCCCAAGTATCTCTCCTCTGCCTGTCTATTTGATGCCGTGTTGACAGCCGTAGCTGTAGTGCAACCCTAGCAGTTCCCGGCCTGCGACATGCTCTTGTTTGATTTGCGATGTTTTACGCTCCATTGGCCGACCTAACAAAGTGCGGCATCTCATTGGGTCTACGCCGATTTTGAACGACCGAAACCGGGCTCCACAACAATAGAGTCCCTTTTTGGGGCTAAGCCTTTCCCGAAAAATGCTTCCTATATTTAATTCTGTGCCATGGTTCATCTAATCAGACAAATCTACAAAACAAATAGCGAAGGTTCTGGCAGTATCCATGTAGCCTTCCAGACCTGCGTGTACCAGAACATCCAGCGAGCCTGCTCTATAGTAGACAGGTTCTCCATACCTCGACATTGCATCGATACTGGTTCCGATGCACTTGACACTTGGCAATTTTGCCAACATAGTATCACAGTACGAACACGAGCTCGATGCCTGTGCAGAGTCTCGTTCTACCAATGCCAACCCGTTCCTACAAAGTCTCATACTACAGAAAATCCAACACGATCTTCCTCGGCTACTACGAGCCGTGAATGACCACAAGACCACCACGGCGGGCCAGCTGCTATTCACAAGATTACATGAGCTTTCTGACTCTGTGGATGAGCAGTTGTACGAGCAAAAGAAGGCAGATGCCCTGTTTTTGGATAGGTATAAAACGAACACTACCGTAGACCCGGCTGCCGACACGATTGGCCCAATGCCAACCGATACCCCGCAACCCACAGATGACGATAACTACGCTTCCTTGCGCAAGCGCTTGCTCGCGGATGGGGCTGCCACTTCGTTGGACAACGATGCAAATGCCTCGAACGAACAGATGAACAATTACCACGAAACGTTCCAGGAAGACTTGCTTAGCGACTTGACCGGTTTGGCATCCACGCTCAAGAATTCCGCTCTTTCGCTCTCCGCCAAAATCGCTGATGACGCCCACTTGGTTTCGGAGACTGGTGAGTCCATGATGAGGAGTCTGACGTTGATGCTGAGTGTGGGCACTAATCTCAATGCGTACTTTTCGGAGAAGACGGGCGGGAAGATCACGGTTTTCTTCATGATCAAGACGATGGCGTTCGTCTTTGTCTTGTTCTTCCTCATGGTGGTGATTGCGAAGATCCTCCCCAAAATGTGATGAGGGACTGTTACTGGATGCGGGCTACGCGTGAAGCTTCGTTTGGGATCTATGTACAAATGAATATCTTATGACGGGCCTTAAATTTGGTACTTACTCTCTGTATTCGCGGTCAGGCGACGCAGACGTCCCCCGGCTGAATTGCGCCTGGTTCACATTGCCAAATTGACGTGTGTCAAGCGATTCGGCCACCAAGTTTTGCGCTTGGTTTTGGAACTGCCTGGGCAAATTGCCACATCTGTCCTTACCAAAGTTGATCTTCAATGTCTTGTAGTCCTTGAACGACTTGATTCCGTCGATGGCCTTGATGGCGTTCGCAATGTTCACAAAATTGATGAAAGCGCAGTTTTTTGCCTCGAGGTAGTTGATCTGTTCAATCTCGCCGAAGGTCGAGAAATCGTCTCTCAACTTCTGGGCATTGAAGTAAGCGAAGTCGTTAATGTTGCCGATGTAGATGTTCCGCGAGGCGCCGTTCGACACAGCCAACGACAAGGCATTGGACAATGGGCCAGAATGTTTTCCCCAGCCAACCTTGATCCGCCTGTTGTGAATAGTCAAGCCATGTAACTGACACATGGCGAAAAATTGTGCGGCAGCGATTGGGTCAATGAACGTGATGAAGCAGACGTGTCTTTCTTTCAAAAACCTGATGCTTTGCAAGAGACCGCCACGCACAACGTTGCAGATTTCCTCAACAGAAGATTCTTGGTGCAAGTTTCCAAGATATACAGTTCTGTTTCCCAAGTTGTTGGCACCCCCGGCTTGCGTCGCAATTTGCGCAGCGGCAGCAGATTGTTGTACCAAGGCCGAAGATATAAACTCTCTGTCGGCAGCAGTGACAACGTGTTCCATGCCCGGTGCAAGACCTAAATATTGGGCAGCATTGTGCTGCTGTGTTTTCGTGATGAAAGCACATCTGTCTTTGCCGTAGAAGCATTTCTTATCCAAGTATTTTTCCTCCAAAGGCAAATTAGACACACATCGAATGGCGCTCAAGATTGACAAGAAGTGAATGAATGCAATTCCTTTTTCGTGGATGATTTTGATGCAATCAATGACACCGTAGCTGGACAAGTCCGCTCTTAATTCGTCTTCCGTGATCATCTCGTCTGTTGCTGGGTTATGCAAGTTTCCCAAGTAGACGTTCCGGGTGGCCCCATCTTTCTGAATAGCGTCCTTTATCGCAGGAAGAATCGGGGTGTTTTTGCCCCAGCCAACACGGATGTCATTCCCCTTGATGCTCAACTTCTTTAAGATACAGTCGGAGTGGAACAATAATGCCGACTGCAGGTCGATGAACGAGATAAATGCGCAATTTTTGGAAGGCAAGATTTTCACGTTTTCCAAGATGCCACTTCTCACGTAGTCCAACAACTCATTAGGTTCAACATCATTGGGAAGATTCCCCAAATACACCGTCCTCGAAGGCGCAGATGGGTCTGGCGACGCACCCGAATGCTGCTGCTGAGGAGCCATCACAGGTTGGCTTGATTGGCCGTACATAAAGTCCAGAGTCTGGGGATTCTGGACCGAGTTGTTGAACGTATTCTGGGTGAACACGTTTTTGGTATCTTGAAGGCCGTTCCACTGCTGTTGCTGGTGTTGTTGCTGGTGTTGCTGTTGATGTTGCTGTTGATGTTGCTGTTGATGTTGCTGTTGATGTTGCTGTTGATCGATTTGCTGGGCGGGCGCATACAACCCCTGGTTCAACTGTGGAGAGGTTCTTTCTTCGTGGTAGACTCTTCCGTCAAAAAAAGGGGCAGGAGCATCATTTGAGAGCAAGAATCTATTGTTGTCATTGTTGGTGCTGAGCTCATGGTTGATCTGATTGTAGTAATCAAAGCTGGGCGGCGCTTCTTGTTGGTACTGGGGCTGCAAGAAGTCCTGCGAGGGCTCGTTCGCATAGTACTGGCGGAATGAATGGTCCATCAAAGGCTGGTTGTTGTTTTGGTATGGGTCATAATAGGACATGTCGGGCAAATGAACAATAAATTAACAATGATGCTTGAGAAATGAAACCCTCTTCTGATTTGCAAGAGAAAATGCCAATGGATTAATCCTTTTTCCGGAACGTGCGGTGAATGGAAAGACAGCACCAAGAAATAAACGAGATGCCTGGGAAACAATTAGAAGTCGTATGACTGGAGAATGAAAGTGCAGTGGGAAATGAACTGAATGCAAAATGCGATGTACCCGGCGCAGGGTTATTTGTCCTCTTTGTTTCCACCCGAAATCACAACTAGGCTATCTTAGAAGTCCGTGTCAAACGCAGAAAGGCTAAAGTGGAAAGCCAGGGGTTAGACGTTTCAGATCACTGTCTTTAGATGAGGCGTTAGTCCGGATTAGACTTCTTGTGCAACTGGGTTAAGAAAGAGTTAGACCTGGCACTTTTTTTTTCAGATCTCTGCGCGAGACCAAACTGCACTCCCGGATTTGAACTCCACACAACTGACGAGCGAACGCGTGACGGGAATCTGTCGGTACGCCCGGCGGTTTAATTATTTCTCATCTTTTTTTTTTTTCATTTGGCCAGATTGACTACCTCGCGTATAGTTTCCCCCCCAAGATGTCTCTTGCTTTGAAAAATTCTGCCATGTGTTGTGGCCCGCGGCACATGGCAAGATTTTGCCACTAGTCAGAGTACTCGGTTTCATTGCCCTCGTCGCTATTGTCTGCGCCGCACAAGGGGGTCACGTGCGCAGCGCCGGGCCCAGCGTTGTCGTCGGACCCGCTATAGTCTGTGAGATCGGGTGCAGGCCCCGCGCCCGGACTGGATTCGCAATCTTCACTAACTAGCTGCGAAAGCGCTGGCGTATCGCTAGAATTTTCGATTGCGTTTTCTGATGGCTTTGCCTGGAGGCTGCCTCGTTCTTTGACGTCGAAGACGTCGGGCCCCGGGCCGAGATTTGATGTCACGTGCTCGTGTTCCCCGACAGGCGGTGGCGCCCTTTTCATAGGCCGCGTCTTTCTGTCGCGCTTCGGGCTGCGCTCGCCGTATTTCTTATGCTCTTCTCCCACAATGATATCCTCCAAATGAAGGATCTTCAAGTTGGACTTTTGCCGTTCTTTGTAGCTTTGGTTCAAAGTGCCAAAGTCCTCCACCTTGTCACCCTCAAGCTCGGCGATCTTGCGCTTTTTGCTCTGCAAGACCTGGAAAAACCGGTCCTCCATGTCGCGCAAGATGGTCTTGTAATCGCTCTCCATCTCTTCTATAGTTCTCTCCTTCTGCACCAAAACGGCCTCGATTTCCTCGAGGCGCCGCCTTGTTTTGGAGAGCTCAGCCTGCAATTCTAGATTCTGCACCGACTGCTCCAGAATCCACGTGAGCAAATCCATTTTTTCGCGGTCTGTATGTGCCACTTCGTCCATATCCACGTGTTGTAGGAACATGGCCCCATACTCCACGGGAAGCCTGTCGCCAGTTCTCACGAAAAGCTCGAATTCTGGGGGTGTCTCCGATAATTCCTCGCCAATCAACTCGCCTGTGTCTGGGTCGTACTCCTCCAGTGAAGTGAGACGCCCGGCGAAAATGACGTTTTCGAAGCCGTCCGGAGCACTGGTTTCTGCTACGAGATTCGCATCAAACATGAACAGCGAGAGGATTTCCCATTCTTCGTTACTCAAGTCTTTTTTGGTCTTTGCTCTTTTCAATTTCGTCGGGGACAACTGTGCTTCAAACATACCTTCCTCGCACGCCGCAAGCAAGTGAAGCATGGCGGCCCCGTCCAGGCGGGAAATCTTCAATTGGGCCAGCGCAGTTTTTACTCTGCGTCCGGTCTCCCTGCTGACGACATCGAGAGAAATCGAAACAACTTTACCACTGATGCCTGCCATCGCATTCTTCCAAGTCTGTCTTTTCAAACGCGTGAGGCTAATACAAGGATGTAATTTCTGGCGTTGGAAGACAAGCCGCACCATGCGCGCGCCAGTGGCTCGTGGGCCCTGGCCAGATAATACAAGTCCGTGCTATTGGACCAGGCCGAACCAATGCCCTGTTTTATTTCTCTCGGTTTATTTCTCTCGGTATGAAATCTTCTTCTTGTATCTAAAAGATGTATATTGCTTCAATAGAAAGGGCACCAGCCACAGTATATTGCCGCCAAGTTCTGCTCGCTAACGGCCTCTCTAATAAGCTCGCGCACAGCTGCCTCCACGTTGAGGCCTCCAGCACTGAGCTTATCAGAAACCCCAATAATAGCCTTTGTTGCCGCCGACCCGTCCTGTTTGGCCTCGGGATTGATGACCCCGGCATTTTCGTCTTGAAGCTTTCTCTGTCGGATGGGTGAAATCGACCACGAGTATAAAGGATCCCATCTCAACACGTCCAATATAGCTAATATATGGTCCCTGCTGGTACGAAGCACTCGGAACGTATGCTCACTGACTTTTGTGAACGGACCGGCACATCCCATATACCCAAACCCATCCACGACATCCCGCGTCAAGCGGAACGGTACAGTCTCCGGCACTTTTAGCCGTTTTCCCTGATCAAAAGCCACGCCTAGATCAATGTGAATGGGCTCGCCCGTAAACTCATCTAGCAAAATATTGTTGCAATGGCGATCTCCAAGCCCAAGAATATGGCCAACTATCGATGAAGTGGCGACGCCCCTAATGTATATCTGTCTGCTTGCGAACCAGGAGTCAGGCGTGACGAAATTGGTTAAAAAGAAATACCGTAAAACAGGCCGTATTTTCTCCTCAATATTCTGATAAACCTTGAGTCGATCCTTGAGAATATTCGCTTGGCTGTTCTTCATCATTTCCCTGGCCTTGTCTAGTTTCATCGAGTCCTTGGCCTGGTGATACGGTAATATCACCTCAAAGAGAGCCTTGGAGTCAGGAACAAATTCAATGACGCCTGCTTTAGGTCCCAACGGCACAGCTCTGTATGTTCTCACTCGCAATTTTCTCTTCCGCGTTTCTTTATCTTTCCGGAATATCTTGTTGACCTTCCCGAAAACCTGTTCCATAATTGCGTCCTGTCTAAGGTCGTCGGTCCCGTGCTTTAGGAGCATCTTATGTCTGGTACCATCCGAAAGTGTGAATGTAGCAACTTTGGGCAAGCTAATGCCAGATGAAGCAATTTGGATCTTGGGGTCCAATTTGGTCATCCTGGGCACATTCGCATATCCCGTGATATCCACAGGAATCTCAAGAGTCGGTGGAGGAATTGACGGAAGCTCATTCATCCAGTAACTACCTATTTTTAATTTATCCAATTGCAAAGTTCTTCCTCTGGAGCTTCTCATTTCTGCAAGCAAAACGCTTTCCGTGCTGAACCTCTCGACAGGCAATAGGTACTTCGAAGCGTATTGTGGACTCGAAAGATGTAACTTATTTTTTATCTTAGTTGCAGCAACAATTCTTGATATCATGGATGCACTGGATGTATCTTTTGCCAATCTTTCATGAAAAAGTAGCGACGTGAGATAGTATAGGGAATGGAAGGGGTGGTCGCAGCAAATTTTAAATATCAAATTTTGAATCGAATGCTGAAAATGTGTTGCTTCCTTTGATACTCTGGAGAGAATCTGAGAGCACCATGCAAGTGGTTGGTGTGATGGGAGGTAAAAAAGTTCCTCTTGTATCGAAGCCTGAAGGACTTCGTCGCCTGAAAGTTCTAAAAAAAGAGAGAAAAACTTTTCAAAATCTTCGTCACTGGCTTTTGCAGTAGTGAGAGCCTTCAAGTAGAACTTCACAGCATTGTGAGCATAGCTTGTCCTCAATTCTAGCATGGTGAGTAGCTCCTTACTTTCAGATTTGTACAGGCTTTTAAGATTTTCGTAATATGCTCGAGCAATACTCCGCTCAGAAGACAGAGCTTCACCGGTGCTGTAGTGAGTTTTAAGCTCCTGAAGTTCCTCTTTTCTGGAATTTGTCCTTATCTCGAGCTGCATGAGTTGCTCTTTGAGAATCAGAGATCTAAATTGCAGCTCACAAAAATGAGCTAGAAGATGATAAATTTGATAGCGCTGGTCCATGTCGCACACTTGGTCAATTTCTGCTTTCATCGGCTCAACGATTCTGTCTAAGATGTTTGATCCTAGTTCCAGTCGAGACTCTGCTAGCCAGACGGCCAATTGAGCTTTGATGGACATCTTGCTGACATTAAGCACAGAAAGCGGAAATAATATGTCGCCCTGACTAGCCAAGTTTTGGAGTAGAGCCACTGATCCATCCATTTTACCTTCTGACCATAAAGTTTGTGCAATTTGAAAGGATGAGAGTCGTCGGTATTCCTCGTAGTTTCGTAAATCGCTCGCATTCATGGATTTCACCACCTTCTCGAGAAGAAGGCAAGAATTGATTGCTTTCTGTGGCATAGCTCTCTGACGAACAATACTATTGTATCTCACAATTTCGTTCACTTCGCCTTGTCGACAAAAGCTTGCGAATTCCAAATTCAATTCCAAGAGTGAGGATTGCTTTTGGGACTTCAAAAAACTACAGTCGTGTAAAGAAAAAGCGAGCCTTCTGGCCAAGAGAATATCTTCAAAACTCTGAATTTCAGCAAAATTAAACCACTTTGTTTGAGCCTCGAAAGATCGTATCTCTGAAGAAAAATCTGTAGGTGTAGAGCTCATGATAGAGTTGGCACTTTTGATCAATGCAATGCTCTCAAGCCACTTCTCTCTAGCCAAAAGTTTCTGTCGAGAGTATTTATTGGACCCTGATTCTATCGGTATTCCCTCAATGAGTTTTTTCATTGAGGAGCGGTATGTCTCATGTATGGTGTAAGAGTTTTCACGAATTTGCTTGAAGTATGCATATGTCACATCGTGTTCATTGCTGGATTTTTCGTTTATTGGCATTTCCCACTGGTTCAACTTCCATGACCATTCTGCTTGAGAGTTATCTTCAGATTTTTGACAGAGCAACTTTGAAACACCAAGATAACCCTCATTCAAAAGAGATTCGATTATGTTTCCTGTCTGAGGGGACTCTTTCAATATGAAAGATGCATCAAGTAAGCCACTACTGAATCCTAATTTCTCCGAGGGAGGGAGAAACTCTTGTCTCAATTTTAGGTACCCCTCAAGTGTGCTGTCCCCAGGTATTCCCGAAAGAGAATCCTCATCATTGAGAGAGCTGTATAGCATAGCCAAAGGCTCTCTCTTGTCGGTCCAATCCAAAAAATCCATAGGTTTTGTTAATGAGTCTTCGAAAAACATTAGTGCTGATTTGGGCAGATATGATTCCCGGACTATTTGAAATAAGGCTATGTGGTTTAGTGCCCCGTATAGGGTTTTGAAATTCTCAATGTCTTGCATGGCGCCCATACGTAAAGTGATGGCAATGGTTTTTACCAACTCGATACTTTGCTGACAGAACGGTTTATGAAAGGTGCTCCAATATGCCCTGAAAAATTTAATGATGGTCTCTATAGCTTTTCCGCCTGAATTGAAGACATAATAACAGATGAAGCTGGGTAAAACATTTTTGGCTATATTTGGCAATTTCAAAATGCATCTTTCAAGTATGGGTGCAATACTCAAGTTTCGACACATTTCTTGCAACAAACATAGGAGAAATTGGCAAGTCCAGGTTTTGAAGGGAAGTATGACAACAATGCTTTCGAAATCATTCACAAACAGCTCAACAGACGTACCAGTAACGGTTTCATGAGGGATCTCCAAGTTTAATAACGCGGAAGAACGAACGCTGATGGGCAATATGTGAGAGCTGAAATGCTCAAAACAAGCATCGAAATCGATGTATCTCGTAATATCTCGCTTTTTAATCTCAAATTTTTGCAACAAATTACCAATGACACTTTCAACAAATGTTTCTTCCCGGTAAATGCCTTTGTCAAGAGCTTGAGTCAAGTGGTGTAAAAATGGGTTCAATGTTTTGCAAGCACTTGCAAATTCCATTCTGCTTAACTCAGAATATTCTTTGTGCAGAAAAAAGTCTTCCAAATTAGTGTGCGCCAGTCCACATAAATAGAAGTTCGCTAAGTACTCGGCAACCCAGAGTGTAAATTTCTCATCTGACTGTATTTGAGGTGGATTCCTGAGATACATCGAGGCTAGCCTATGCGTTGCTGTTTTTGTCGGGTGGCAATCCAGTCCGCTCAACAATTTCGAAAATACTACGAGGATATCCTCAGTTGATTGGGCAACAACACTGAGATTTCTTTTGTCACCCAACAAGTTTTCCACATCATTCAAGGTAATCTCGAATGCTTGATTTCTTGCAGAATTAAGTGCGCATTTGACTATCTTCTGAGCGCTTCCAAAACAGTTGTTGTTCGTGGAGATGAAATTCTCAAGATGTTGACATACGGTCTCGAAGTGATAGCGCTCATTCTCATCGACCGAAAGCATCGTCGCTAAAATGTTGAAAATCATCGGCAAAGATTGATCATGGGAAACTAACTGAAATTGATCAAAATCAATTTGAGACAAAAACGCTTGCGCTTCGAAAAGAAAACCATCTTTTATGATAGGAATGCAGATCTTCACGACTAATTTGATTAAGTGGAAGTTCAGAAGCCGAGTATTGCTCAAAAGTAGCAAAAACCGTAACTTGTTCAAGACCCTAGCTCGCATATGAACGGCCATCGAAAATCCTTCATGACCAATTTGCCTGGCGAAAAAATATACAGTCTGCAAAGACCAGAATCTTTTGGGCTCGTGCGGCCAAAAACTTTTGATAAGAGCCGAAATAAGCTCGATGCTCGATACTGGATCAATAATTTCATAAGTGTGGCCCTCATAATTTTCCGGTGCTTTCAAAACAAAGTTTTTAATTGCGTCAATTTCTTTGAAAATTTTCTTGATTGAAACTTCATTCGTTAAGTCCGTCATTTTGATCACCTCTAACACAATCAAAGGAAGCATTTCTTGTATGTACTCCTTGTAGTGACTTTGGAGCAGACTCTTTAACAAGCCAAATATTTCGCTTCGAACACCACCTGGAGTGTATGACAATCCGATAGTTAGAGGTAAACTATCGTAAATTAACTCAGCTTCATTCGTAGAATATGCTTGTGCAACGCTATCTATGTTCGACTGTCTGGTGGATGAGGAGCCCACCCTGCAACGTGTCGCAAAGAGGACAGCCATCATATGCTTAGCATTATCAGACATTAACTCACTCTTACTAGGGTACCCAAATATCTCATGAGGGAAATCAGAAAATGGGTGTCCAATCAGCCACCAAGATTTAAGAATGTCAAGTCTCAAAGTTTTGAAGTAGGTCTTTGAATCACTAAACCCATGATTTTTAGCCATATCACTCACTGCTTTCTTTGAGAAAGGCACAGCAAATGTGAAGCGGCAATACTTCATTATGCAGCTTATCGTGAACGCATCCCAGATACTAGCGGATGAAACCTTTGCAAGAAATAAACAAAAAGTGGCATAACTTTCAATAGATCTCTGTGGAGATTCGAAAATTTCATTTAGTTTCTCTAGAAATATTTGTTGTTTTGGCGAGTCCCATTCAGAGATACAACCGTGAATACTTTTAGAAACCGCAATTTTCATGCCATTTGAGAAAGTCGTTAATTGCTTCAAAAATACGCTCAAAATCTTAGTGGTGGCAATCGGTGTATTGCAGTCAAGCTTTGTAGAATCCAACAACAAATTCCAAATGTAAGTTCTTGCCAGGACGCTGAGAAGAAGATCTCTTTCTGCGCATTGGAAAAAATAACCTATTAGATCAAGGATATCCTTCTTAAGCTCGTCCCCCAAAGTCACGTTCATGAGGGGTAAAAGAACACCAAGAAGGTGACAAGATATAAATATCGTGAAGTTTGATCTATCAAGATCCTGGGTGGCTAGTAATTTTTCACCTATTAAACGAACAATTCCAACCATGGCAGATGAATTTTGTTTGTGTTTTTCAAGTAGCCCCGAAGTCACATAGAAAGATAAACACTCAAGTATTTCTGAAGAAGGTAGTTCACTCATGTACTCGATGCAAGTTTCCGGTTTCGAGTCAGCATACTTTGCGAGAAATTTGAAATAATCATATCTATCCCGTATCACATTCTTTGGAGATTTAGCAGTGGGCAGATTATCTCTGATTTTGACATCGTTGGCAAACTCCGCTTCTAGGTCGTTGCCTACGTCTTTCCGGCGATTTGATCGGTCCAGTAAAAAACGAAAATGATAATCTATGATTTCAAACGGGAAAGCCACATCATGTAATATATTTCCAGCGGGATCACATTGAAACAAGACAGACAACACCAACAATGCCTGTTCTTTCGTGCGTATATTTGGAGTAAGCGACAGTAGGATATTTCGAGCATTATCTTCAAATGTAGAGGAGTATTCTGGAAATTCAAGTCTCAAATTTTCGGCGAATCTCACGTGCATCATAGACAATGATACAGTATATTCGAAATTCTCATCTGAAAAGCACAGTTGTGAGTTCACATCAAAACACCTGATAATCAAATTTATTGAATCGATTGCATTCCCCAATTTCGGTGAAACCACTCTATGAGGCGGTCTAGGCTTCTCCGAGTATGACTGTAAAGTAATAAACCTTTTGAGCTCCTCACAGTCTTTCATCGCTTCCAGTATGAAATCACGCTCAATACTAGTCGAGTGGACGATTCTTTGATTATGGTCTCTTCTACCTAGCCATATGATGATTTGCAGAGCAGTTTCTGCAATTGCCATCAACTGTCCTATCGTACCCTTTCCTGAAAGAATTCTCCATTTTTCAGCAAGCCACTTTGAAATGTTGTTTGGCAAATTACGTTTTTCATGCCCCAAGACCACATAAACATGCGCTAAAGCCTGCCAAAATGACACTGCGCTACTGTCAGCAAGAGCCGGCCCTAATATATCGGGAAGCTCGGCTACATTGTCCAACTGGTTAAAAATGGTGTGGTCGATGAGACACTTCAAGTTGTGTGAGGATTGTGAGCTGATAATACAGCTGAATACAGAACAAGCTATCTGACCCACATTATTATCTTTAATTAGCTCAAGCAGCAATTTGAGTACTTGGTACAGTTTTCTGCTCAAAGCAGGTCTTTCAGAACATAGTCCATAGTCAGAAGAATTTAATAACGAATGGCAGACCAAGAGGGCCCAAAACGAGTGATTTCTGTCGGCCATCAATTTGACAGTGCCTGAAATCATCGAGAGCCAATCCTCCGGGATAGTAGTATCGGTGTACAAGTTATTATCCGCAACTGTGGAATCAGTTGGGTCGAATAATGCGGATGACTGGTTTGGCTCAGCCCTGCTATCTCTTGTGGAGAAGCAGCATTCATCAAGCTGTAAATGAAATGCAAGAAGTTGTAGTCCACATTTTTGGAGCTTTGGATCTTCTCCATTCACCAATGAGTTGTAGAACTGAATGCAAGAAGTTGCGTTTTGTAGACCCATCTGTCTATCGTGGAGCTTGTGCCGCTTGAAAGAATTCACAGAAAAGGATTTAGTGGAATAAGACTCATCGCTCTCGTTTTGTCTCTGATCTGATGATGACAGCATATCGCGGATCCGGTAATATGACGCAACAAGTCTAGATATTGCTGATGCGAGGAGCCACGACATCGAGTTCTCCGAACGCAAGTACATTTTCGATAAGCTGAACAAGCTCAGGCTGTGAGAAGACTCATGTAGCCCCACGTTCTCTGGTGTCAAGCTCAGAGCCAGAGAGACGAGTCTATTAATGAGGGCGTAAATGAGCATCTCCAAATTGTACGCGGTGAAAGACACATCCTCTTCCAACATCGCATCTCCAGACGCCACTTCTGGTTTTGTGGACACGAGTTTCGGTAGCTTCTCGAGCGACAAATACATGTGAAAGGAATCCTGATTCAAGAACAAGAATAGCTGCTCCAGCAAATTGGCAACGGAAGTGGACGAGAATTGGAGCGCAGAGCCGGTTCCTACGCGGATGATCTGGTGCAAAAACGCAGCATCTTCCGTGCATAGCGAAGCGAGCAAGGCGTTGATGATTTTGAAAGCAGTGACCAAGACAGCCGATTCTCTTCTGTTGAAGTGTGCAAGTGTTTTCGTGAGAAGATGTAAAAGTGGAAAGTAAGCTCCGTCACGAAGAAGAGGCGCCACGCCCAAAGTCAGCGGCCCTCCTATGAGTGCAAGCAAGCCCGCGTAGAGACTGCTGACGAGATTCTCGTTGATTCCGTGTGCGCCGATGAACTCCAACTCGTACGCAATCGCCTTTAGTAGAAAATGGTACGCCGCCAGCCACGTGTCTACGGTGAGGCGTGTAAACACGGCCGGGGCCTCAAGCAAGGAGCACAATGTCTGTGCGAAGTTACTGGAGCACGGCGAAAACGGCGCCATTGTCGAGGGCTCAAAGTAGAGCGACGAGAGGCTACTGATCAAGAACGAACATGTCTTTTGGCGGGGCCGCAGCGCGAGGCTATCACCGAGCGATGCCTGAACGAGATCCCTCAAAAATCCAGATGCGCTTATCGCCCGGGCCACTGCCAGATTGGCGTTACTTCTAGCATATGCATCTCGCTCGGCCTCAATCGCTTTGAGCAAGGCCGCCACAAGTGAGGCCAACTGCAGCGGCGTAAGCCGGAGCTTTTCTACGGAAAAGCCATCGAGAAGCGCAAGCGCGTCATTACGGCTTTTCAACTTCGCCGACTGGAGCGACTCGACTATCCGTGTGAGATCGAACGCAGCCATGTAGCATAGATTTGAATGGACCCGGGCGCTGGCCGAAATTAGGGCCGAGAAAAGCGTGGTGGTGCGCGGCGCGCGTCCGCTAGGGCCAGGCATGCCACGACCGCTCAAGACGATGTGAGAAAGCGGCAAAGGCCAGATCAGATGAAAACAAGAGCATCAGCAAAATGGCGCTTACCGTGGCCTGTTCCCGATTGTCGGAAACGTCTTTTTTGTTTTATTTTTTGCGTTTTTTGCGCAAACTGCGGAGGGTGTAAAGCCAAGGCATGGCTCAGTATAATCATCGGTGTGCGGCGCCAGCTGGTCTCGACAGACAGCCGCAGGACATGGAAAAAAGGGTCTGCTAGCAAACGTCAGGACTTAGAGATTTTCGGCGGTTTTCGGCAATTCTCGGCCATCCTTGAGCAAGTGCATCAAAACCTGGCGACGCTTCCTTTTATTTTCAATCTGTGGGGAATCAGCACCATAATAAATTGGGTGCAACTCTTGTGACTGGAGGCGCGCGGTCTCCAATGAAGCCCGTGCTTGACTACAGGCTGAACCCGCCCGAGCCTTCCATTTTTTGTTCGGTCTTTAGCCGGACGGAACGTTGATGCGCGGCTGAAACCAAAGCGGCTTCCAAGGCCCTGCTACAATTATTGGCTTGTGCCTCCCATGGGGCCGGCGGCGGTCTGTCGGGATGCCGCGCCATTGCAGGCGCCCGTTCGGGCAATTTTCTGACGCCGGCCCCGGGCCCCAAGAGGCACAGCAGAAGCTGGAGTGAAACACCAGCCAGTTATAAGAGGGTCTCCATGGGCAGGTTGCGGCACCATTTTTAAAACGCTATTCCGAAGGCTCAACCTACTCAAAGTTCGGTTTTGGTCTTTTCTGTCAAACATTGCAGCACCCATGCTTGAAAAGCCGCATGAGTTGCCGCTCTCGTTTTTCGACGCGGAGCCGCCGTCGCACTACTGCTGCCAGCTCTGCGACTTCCACTGCCAATGGGGCCACATAGTGGACTACAACATGGTAGTTGGCGCGGTGTCGCCCAATTTATTGCTTCTCAATCTGGGCCTCATTGCCTACGCGCTCGTGTTTCGCACCCACGCCGAGCCGTGCGCCGGCCCGAGCCACGGTCACGTGCGCCGGATTCTCTGGGCCCGCTTGGGCCATCTGCTTTTGGGGCTTGCGATTCTAGCGGTGTTGGTAGCAGGTGCCGTGGTGTGGGTCATGGCGAGCTGACAGAACGGCTTTGGAACAAATGGAGGGCGGTATGTGTCTTCTTTGTGTGGCCCATTTAGTTTGGCGAATTGGATACTAGGCACAGGGTGCGACGTGCGGGCTCGATGGTGTTTGGCCCGGCCGTGTGGAGCCGGACGTGAACAGGTAAGACTAGCCTCAATAAAGGAATACGGGGGACACTGTTGTAATTCTAAAGACTTTTCTGGAACGAAAAAGGGTTGTGAAGCCGGACTCGGGTATGCTCTTTTTTTTAAATACACTGGCAAATCTTTTTCTTTTTTCTAACTGAAGCTTAAACATCCGTCGGAACACCGTACTCGTCCGTGAGATTATCTTTTTTGCGCCTTTTCCTCACAAATAACTACTACAAAAGTCGACTGAAAAAACCCCAGCAATCGAAAAAAAATGCCACGGCCCACAAACACCCCCAAAAGACCCCGTAGAATCTCCTAGACACCCGTGCCCCCTCGTCAAAATCCAAGCGTATGTCAAATCACCACAGCCCAGTTTTCATCGCCTCAAAACCCCGGGTCTGCCGACCCGCGTGGTTCCGCAGTCAGAGCTGGAGCCGTGTGCTGACTGCGCGCTGACTCGGCCCCGTGGCCCCACAGTACATATAGTCTACCATCTCCAGACGAAGCCAGAATTCGCCAGTACATTTTGCATTCTGCGCAGACCTGCTGAAAAGTCCTATTTATCTCATATACCATGCTGTCCGCCGCATTGACCAAGACGCCGCTCTTCGAGAGCCACGTGAAGTATGGGGCCAAGTTTGCAGCCTACGCCGGCTTCCACATGCCTCTCATTTATAAAGGCCAGAGCCACATCGAATCCCACCACTGGGTGCGGAGCAAGGTCGGGCTTTTCGATGTCAGCCACATGTTGCAGCACCGTATCCTGGGCGCCAACGCCAAGAAGTTCTTGCAGAAAATCACGCCCATTGACTTGGATCTTCTTCTGCCCAACACCTGTAGTTTGTCTGTTCTTCTCAATCAAGACGGCGGCATCATTGACGACACCATCATCACCAAGCACGCCGACGACCAGTACTACATGGTCACCAACGCTGGCTGCAGGGCCAAAGACTCCAAGTTCATCCAGGAGGAGTTGGCGGGCTTCCAAGACGTCCACCACGAAAACTTCGAGTCTACTTTGTTGGCCGTGCAAGGGCCTCAGGCCGCCGGCTTGATGCAAAAGTTCACCTCGGAGGACTTGTCCAAAGTTGGCTTTGGCGCCACCCGCTTCTTGAACCTCAACGGGCTCGTAAACTCGGAAATCCATCTTTCCAGAACAGGCTACACGGGTGAGGATGGCTTTGAATTGTCGATCCCCTCGTCCAATGAAGCCGAGGCAGTGGAGGCGCGCGGCTTTTTCGAACACTTGATTGACGAGTACCCTGACTTGGTCAAGCCCATTGGCCTTGCTGCCAGAGACTCCTTGAGACTCGAGGCCGGCATGTGTCTCTATGGAAACGAGCTCTCGGAGGAGATCACACCGGTAGACGCGACTTTGCTGTGGTTGATTCCTAAGACAAGACGCGATAGCAATGCGGGCTTCAACGGAAGCTCGAGGATCTTGAAGCAAATCCAGGAAAAGTCCGTGAAAAGGCGCCGTATCGGTGTCGTTTCCGAAGGGCCTGCTGTGAGAACGGGGGGCAAGGTGTTCAACAGCAACGGCGATGTTTTGGTTGGAGAAACCACCTCCGGCTCGCCATCCCCCACCTTGGGCAAGAACATTGCCCAATGCTACATTTCTAAAGACGTGAAGATTGGGGACGGCGTAAAGATCGAGGTCCGTGGCAAGTTGAGGCCCGGAAAAGTCGTCAAATTGCCTTTTGTCGAGAACAAGTTCTACAGGGTCTAGACAGGCTGGCACTAGCTCAAAATTAAAAGAGGAGGGTTTTCGATATTGTCTAGTAGTGGTGTTGGAAAGGGTTTGTGCCGAGTCTTGTGCCACACTTTTTCAGCCTATCATGCAGTTCAGCTTGAATTCGTATCGTGTAGATCACGGGGGTCGCTGCTATGCGTGGACATTTGTTACGAGGCTGTCTCGACCCGCTGCTTTAGCGCATTCATTAACACCGACGATATTTGGGCCCACAAATTGGAGATATATTAACATCAGTCAAAAATGCAATGCTATATGGAAATACTCAAAGTATACTGCTAAATCAGAACTTTCGTTATGCCTCGAATATTTGAAAAGGTGTGTAGCTTTGGGAAGTGACCGGTAATGACTGTAAGTGATGGCCGAAACACTTCCAAGGTTGGTTTGAGCTTTATTGCGCTGTTAAAAAACCGTTCTACGACTAATGACCTCAAATAAGGCGAGAGGCCTAGGCTCATTCATTGAATGCTCAGATGACAATTCCCTGTCACTCTAGCCCCAGGCCTGGGGTTCTGCAAAGAAGGGCTGAATTGTCTTTAGAGAATGTTGGAAGCCGGTAGGCGCAAAGTCAGTCATATCTCGCCACGAAACTGAAAGTAGCTCAAGATAGATCAAACTTCAAAATAAACACCCTGAAGGGTATTCTTTATTTCTAGTTTGAATTTATGATCTCAAGTGAAGCTATATCCCCTGCGGGACTGAAAATTCGAGACTCACCAAGGCTCATTTTAACGTTTTGGAAAGGAGGCTTAGCTTATTGGAGAGGAGATCTCAACGGTATAATTGTCTACAAATCTGCTGACGGTTGTATGTTGTGAAAAACGGCCCCCATCAGTTTGTAGAGAATCGCACGCTTTATCTTATCGAGTCATAGATTAGCAGTCGCGATGTTTCGAGCGCTACCCATATTTCTTTGGTTGCAAAATGAAAAAGTTCGGCCTTGCGCAATGATCGTTCCTTCTTCTGATAGGCACTTTTATTTGCTTTATGAGGAAAGCTATGACAAGAAGCCTCTCCTTAATAACCATATTTTCAACTTTTGAGAAAGAACTAGTTTCGAACATTAAACGCGCCTTTGGGTCCGGATATTGATTGCTGCGAACTGGAGCCACCGATAAAGAATATTTTGAAAGCATGATACTTCGCTTGTTATTTTTTCCTTCCAAATCTTGTTGCTGATTCAGTCAGGTGGAGTTAGCTAAAAGAAAACCAGGTTCTTACTTCCTTGGCCAGCAATTCTGCACTCCAGGATTATTGCCTTCAAGGTATCAGACGTTGTATGCTCCATAATTACCATTTGGGTGATTGTGCCATTATTTAAGAATTCTTCGCCTCAGAAAGGTCATGCTTCTAATTACTCCTCCAAAAGGGTTGCAATATTAAATTTCTACACGTAGTCAGGGGGACTGTCAGATGCCTATTTGGGACTTACTTAGTTCATTGCTTAGCTAGCCTTGCTCCGATAGAGAGAGAAGATTTTTGCAACCGGCTGAACTTCATCAACTATTTTAACTTTCTCAAAAGCATCTCATGATTGGCGAATTTCCACATGAAATTTTTGCGCCAAAGAATAACGAAGTGTACGCGCATTGAATACATGGTGTCTGTATGTTGAATGGTATGGCAGCATGTTCCAAGAATAACTCGAGAATAATTTCGATGGTGGCGAATACTGGTTCCCGAAGAATCGATGGCTACAAATCAATTTGCAATATAACGCCGAATTGGATAATCACGGTCTGGGAGGTAGCAGGAGATCTCTCCTGGCTCGGGCCACGCGCCACAGCATGTCCCGAAGCCCGGAATGAAAAGCGCCAAATGCTCGACGCGAATTAGGCCTGTCCTGCAATGCGCAGACAAGCCCTGTGACGAACTTTTGACGTGAAGCTAGTTCGGATATTCAAACAATTAGCTGTTGGATACAGAGAAATAACGCTGCGGTGTTTTCAGGCTTGACGGACCCGGGGCCTGTCCCGATTTTTGAAATTGTCCTTGCAATTCTACCCTGTTTTTTTTGACATGGAGCGTGTCGGCCCTGAGCGCGGGCAGGCATACCAAGACACGAAAGACCGTGTTTTTCGGGGCAGAATCGCGACGGGCCGCGACTTCGTGTGCACGCGTGATTCATTATGGGCCCTTGCCCCAAGGCCATTTAAGACCCGGCCCAATTCCCGAGCGAAAAGCTGGAGGAAAAATTAGTAACTCGGGTCGGCTTCATCTTTTCTTTCTCTTTCTCTGTTTCTCTCATATATCACATCCCGTTTTTACGTTTGCCTTCGGTACCTTTCCATTTTTGATCATGTCCTCTCCATCCAGACCTTTGTCTCCCAAGAGAGACAGTATGTTGAACTCGAGGTCACCGTCCCCCCTGAAAAACAGGCCGTCCACGCCAGCCAAGGCGCAGGCACAAACAATGAGAAAACTCCCCAAGCTAGGCGTCAACTTGACACCCCGCAGAAAACAGGAGTCGGCCGGGTTCCAGATCTACGAGGACAAGCCGGAAGAATACGAGCTCTACCACAAGTCACGTGCCAGCCCCTCCAACGACGGTGTCGAATTGCACGACGACAAGGAGAACATATTGCAGCCCAAAGTCTTGAGCTTGGACCAGAACTTGTATACGCACAGGAGACCTTTGGCGAATTTGGACATCCGTAAATTCACCGGGTCTGCAGTCACGTTGGGCCAGGTGCTGCGCCGCCCCATGCAACTCACTCAATTATACCAGCCCACAAACTACAACAACGAGTCGAAAACCACACACAAGTTTTCGCCGTTGCCCAGTTTTGTCACGCCGCCAAGAAACGCCATGAGGCAGATCTTGCATAGAACACACGACTCCATAGCAGAGGAGGATGACTTGGAGCTCCGTTTGATTGCGAAACTGCAGGACCTCGCAAGACGCAAGCGGGCCATGTCAGTGGGCGTGAACAAGGGCAAAGAACATTTGGTGCAGAAACCCCGCTTCCAGGTGTACACCAACTAAGCGTCTTTTTATGCCTCAGCCTCATGATTTTCATTCACTTCTTCACTTTCTCTTGCATTTTGCATCAGGACACCATTAGACAATACCCTTTAGACCAATGAACAACATCAATAAACAATAGTACCAATACCAGTACCAGTACTAATACCAATGCCAGTACCAGTGCCAATACCAATACCAATACCAGTACCAATACCAATACAAGTACTAATACCCATACCAATGCCAGTACCAGTATCAGTACCAATACCAATACCAATGCCAGTACCAGTGCCAATACCAATACTAGTACCAGTGCCAATGCCAGTACCAGTGCCAATACCAATACTAGTACCAATACCAATACCAATACCAATACCAATACCAATACCAATACCAATACCAATACCAATACCAATACCAATAAAGTAAACTCTCAAGCAATGCCCAATAACCCATAAACAGTCCTAATCAACAATACTCATTCTGCATTCCATGCGCACCCGCGGCCACATACTGTAAATTAGATCGAGAGCATGGGGACACTCCTTGACCCGCAAGCCTTGTGGACTGAAACCTCCATCCTGGCGAAACTTGCCGTGATTTGCGGATATGGTCTGTTTCCATATTGTCTCTGTTGTGGTGTTTGCATCCGTTACAGGGACGACGTGCCACGGAATACACGACCATACGTAGTATCATGGTGGATTCAACAGATTTCCGGGTGATTCAATCCTACCAGCTGGATAATCAACAGATGAACTCAATAAAAGAGCTTTTCAAACGACTGAGACCAAGACCAGTTCGCAGACCAAGGTGACCAGGTAATACGAGTCTCCACGCCTTTCGCTTTTGGACTGCATGTGCATATCAGCACGCCGAAAAAAATGCTTCTTCCCTCTGAAGGTGACCTAGCTTCTACCGGTGGCACAGCACGTAAAATACAGAAAAAACAGCAATATTCTTTGGCCAAGGTGAGACTATAGTCAATTTCACACAAACGAAAAATGTCGAATTCTGTGATTGACGCCTTCAAAAGGCTCAACATGTCCACGGCCCAAGATACGTCCGACCACGAGGCCGTGTTTGAAGTATCGTACCAATACTTGTCAAAAGTCAAAAAGTTCGGAGACATCAATGCTTTCCACAACTGTATTGTTTCTTTAATCAACTGCGACAAATACTACAGGGCTTTGCAGCTCGTGGACGAGGTCCCTGAGGACATTCACATTGAGTTTCCTGTTGAAAAGGCCTATGTATACTACAAAACAGGTCACTTCGACAGATTGAAAGCACTTTATGAGGCCACAGCTGACTCTGAAAACTGCGAGAGCAGTAGCATCAGCCAGAGGGCTTTAAAGCATGTCATGGCGCAAAGCTATTACCAAAACGGGCACGTGTCAGAGGCCTTGCAAATCTACCGTGAGCTAATCTCGTCCAATTCGGTCGACAACGAGGTGGACATGGCATGTAACGAAAGAGCTATTTTGGCGCAGCTTGCAGCCAAAGAAAATCTTGCGCAGAACCCCGTCTCCTCTGTTTCTGCTGCTGATAAAACCAGTGATACTGTATTCAACGACGCCTTGATTGCCCTTGCGGGCGGAAACATCGGCCTGTCTCTAAAGTTCTTGAAAGAGGCGTCGTCTTTATGTCTCGACCAGAACATGGATTCCGACCCCGCAGACTTGGCTTTGGAAATTGCGCCCATCCACTTGACGGAGGCTTATATCCATCAAATCTCGGGCAACTCTAGCCAAGCACTTCGGGTTTTAGATTCCATGGACTTGACTGATGTCACTGATCTCATGACACGCTTGGTGTTCAAGAACAACTACATTTCATTATCAGACGCTCCTGAAAACGTCAACTTCTCTGCTCGCGAGTTAAATTACAAGGACAACTTGCACCATTTGAGACACAAGCTCACAAAGCCGCAGTTTCAGATCTTGATCAAAAACAATTTACTGTTGTCTTTCCAAAGCGGGACCTTGCCTAGAGACTCCAGTTATTTCAGGTCGAAATTTTACAACCAGTACAGAGAAGACTTTGCAGGCGACGTTACGCCTGTTCTTTACAAAGTTCTTTTGAAGTTAGATATTTCCATGCGTGTCTTGCAATCCACCAGTGAGGCCAAAGCCATCAGCAGAAAGTTATACAAGTTCTGTCTCAAAAGACTAGAACTGAAGATCACCGATGATGAAACAGTTGCTGCCACTTTGCTTCTAGTGCATGTAAGCTCCAAGCAAGCAAAGTATGACCAGGCAATTGCGATCTTAGAGAAAGTTGTATCTATTGAACTCAAGGGCGCGCCCGAGGAAATACACGCCTCTCTTGTTGGAACGCTTATGAACATCTATGAGACTCGGCAAAAGAGTGGAAGCAAACTAGAGCAGCTCACGCAGTCTTTGACGGAGAAGTTTATGGCATTGACCCCACAATCGGTTGCTGAGAGCAAAGCCTTATACGAATTCGTGCGTGCATTTGCTTTCAAGCAGACCGCCAGCAAATCTGTGCAAGTCATGACTCCTCTCTTGCAGCTTTTGCAACAAGCCAACCCAAACGATGCTCTTGTGTCCAGTGCTTTGACTGGTGACCAGACAGGGCTTGTACCAGCAGAAGAGCTCGCGTCATCCAAGGACGTTGAGGATCTCTTGGAGGTCAGCATCGAGGAGCTCGTTCCAAACAAGCCGGTGTCCGTGAATATTCTGCTGGGAAGAACACAGACAAGCACGTACAAAGTGACGAAAAAAGCACAGAAGCCGCGGTTTTCGAAGAACAAGATCGTGAGACCCGAGAGCGAGTTTGACGCGGAGAAGGATCTCGATAAGGAGAGATGGCTTCCCTTGAGGCTTCGGTCGTACTACAAACCGTCGAAGAAGGACTTGAAGAAAAAAACAGGCGGTCACCAGGGCGCTGTGGAACTGTCGCCTGCACCTGTGCCTGCCTCTACTTCCACGAGCAGTGCAAGCAAGAGCAAAAGCAAAAACAAGAAGAAGAAGAAGGGGAAGAAGTAGTGTGGGGCCGCCCGTCTACATAACAATACATATGAGATTTTACTTGGAACAGCCATTGTGGCGCGGGGCGCTCCGGCAGCCATGTACCTGTAATTGAGATGCGGTATATTCTCTGCTGGATCACGTTGTTTTCCCCTTCAAACTTATTTTCTGATGGGGTGGGAACACGGTTTGGGCCTGTCACGGAATACGGTGGTGGCCTGCAGGGCTACGCCGTTAACGTCGTCGATAATTATACTAGTGACACGCTTGTATGGACTAACGAAATACGGTCCCTATCTAAGATTCAGCCATCCATAGGAACAGGCTCGGCAAAACAGAGACCAAGAAGGCCCTGTGGGGCTTGGCTTTAGGTTGACGTTGTGAAGGATGTAGTCTAACACTGTGCGAGGTACGCTGGCCCCGCGAATCAGAACCGTACAGCTGGTGTTTGTAGGATTGGTGCGTTGTGGCCGAGGTTCATCCAACGGTCGCAATTTGTGTTATGCTGGCTATTTCGACACAGGGGAAACCACCAGGAAGACAAGAAATCTAGAAAGACAAAGAATCCGGGAAGACAAGAAATGTGCAAATATACTCCAGGCACATAAGGATGTATAAAAGAAGATTTCCAGGAGAGATATAAAAGAGACACAAGTTATGGAGAAAACGAAAAACAAAACAAAGCACAGCATGAATAATAAGCATCTGCAAAATTCTCAAAAAAAAAAAAAATGGAGAGGGAAGAAATCTCGTGAAAGAATCAACAAGAGAAAACTCGGCCTTTTGCGGTGCTCTCGCTCACACCTAATCGTCTGGGGCCAGTGGGGCCAGTGGGCCTGGAGCGCGGGCCAGGATCTAAGCGGGTTCTACCGCCAGAACAAAACCGGGCCCTCCGCACCGGACTCCCTTTTTGGGGCACGGTGGGGCGCGGGGCCAAAAAAAAACAGAGTGCAGGGCCACGGCCCGTCTAGGGCTGCCTTATCTTGGCACCAGCGGCCGCGCAGGCCCCGGTATAAAACTGGGGCTGATTTCGCACCGTGGCATCGGGCCTCTTATCAGGTCTGTTCCAATACACCGTACATTGCATAGTCACCACTGAGGCCTGAAACCCCGGCTCTTCCATCCAAGCCCCTGGTGCCGTTTCAAACTCTGCGTCTGCTTCTTACCCCAGCTCCCCGCTTCCCCGCTTTTGCCCTTACATACTGCAAAGTCTGGTTATGTTCGTGAAGCTCAGCTACCAGTATAAATACGTCTTGTCATTTTGATCCGCATCAGACCAGCTGAGGCCCGCCAAAAGACAGAAACAACAGCTGAAACAAGAAACAACAGAAACAAGAAACAGCAAAACGAAAACAGCAAAACAGCAAAACAAAAGCAGTGAAACAAAATCAGCAAAACAAAACCAGCACAACAGAAAGAGCAAAACAGAATTACCAATCGTCTCCCGCCCAGAAATGCATCCTGTGCCAACGGACCCCCTAGCCGATAAAAAGCGCCGCTTTTCCCGCATCCGCAGGTTGACCTTGGCCGACGCCCCGCTCGCTGCCCGCACATTGCACGGCTCCTTCGGTACCGATGCCCTTGCCTCGCTTTTGACGTGCCATATTACGGACCCCGAGCAGCGGCACGTGGCCGACCGCAAATTGTACGAATGCTACGTCAGACAGCACATTGCCAAGGGCATGTGCTTCGGCATCGGCGAGTCTGCCGAGGGCTTTGAGACCGTGGCCGTGTGGTCCCATCCCACCTCTGCCCGGGACGGCTTGGACAGCTTTGCCAATTTGATGGAGGCCGGGTACAGCGAGCTCTGGCAGTTGTCGGGAAACGAGGGCCAGGAGAAGATCTTCAAGGGCATGTTGCCTTTGTTGCACGACAGCTGTGAGCGCATTCTATCCAACGGGCGCTTCCGGGGCAAGGCCGTGTACACGTTGGTGTACTTGGGGTCCGAGGAAAAGGCCCGTGGCAAGGGCAACGTCCGCACCATGTTCGAGTACATGTTCGACACCTACATCGATGTGCCGGGCAACAACAACATAGTGTATTTGGAGAGCTCTTCCGAGTCCAACATCCCGATCTACAGCAAGTTTGGGTTCGAGTTCTACGAGGACATCTGCTTGGGCTCGAGAGACAAGCCGGACGCCGAGGAGGGCGTTGATTATGCGATCATGAACGTGATGATCCGGGGCACCAACGGCGAGTCGTGGGACATTGCCGGCGACCTAAAACATTCTTCTGCGGCCCGAAAAATACTGCTACTGTGAAAGGGTTCTGGAGAAGAGTGCTCTGTGTAGCCACACTTAGGGCGTCAGCATGTTTATTCTTTTGGAGCGTCATGTTTATTCTGTTGGAGCGTATGCGTTGTGAACTCGAGATATTGGCCTGTGTGATGCATTGCCCTTCTTTTCAAGAACCGGGGTGAGCAGCTTTACTGCGAACAATCTAGGGCTTCAGCTTCACCGCCTCTATTCTAACTATAGCGTATATATTGTGGGCCCGAGATCTCAGCACGGCCCGCGCCAGTCAGCATCAATATTACAGACCGAGGCTCTCGGCCGTATCTGCAACTAGCGTTCCACCGACTTTAACTTGTCATCACTGATGTCTGTATAAAAACGTTGCAATTATTTGTCAATGTCAAGCCAAGATTGGACTTTGAACTTGAAGACTATTTGCAGGCCCAAGTAAGATTAATCTCAAGTTCGTTCCTGTCCTACTCAGGTCTCCTCCCGGGATTCTGACTAAAAATATGTTCAAGAGTGTAATCACTGCCCTACTGTAGAAGAAGCCTGTGTGGTGTTTCGAATCAGAATTCCATACGTAAGATTGTCACACTTTCCAAAGACTTGATTTTGATCTGACGGAACCTAGGCCGGAAACTTCCCATTCGTGGGAGCAGACGCTGTATTTTATCTCGAAAGGTTTGAAAAAAGTCCACTATCCATTCTTCTGTTCAGCCCCAGCCAATCAAAAGAATTACTTCGATATCGAAACTTGATATAGCAGAGATAAATGAATGCCCTTCTCACCTGCTGGTCCACGGAAACCGTGGCAAGTAATTTTGCGCATTGTATCTGCTGAGCTTGATTATAAGCTTGTTTTTTGGTCTAGCGAGAGTCTGATACCAGCATTTGTTGCTCAGTGTCAAAGCCGAAGTCGTGCAACCTGAACGATCTGTGGGTGATCTAGAGATCGGTAGTGGGTCAGCTCTAGTGAAATTAATGCATACTAATAACTCTAATGGCGCAGAACTCACCCACTGAACATGAACCATGTCAGAGACACAATGAGCCAGCAGAAAACTGTATTCATGCAGACCCCACTGCAGGGACGATCACTCGGGCCTCTATCTACTCTCAGCTCAAAACCTCCTGCAGAATTTGCCGAGCGTCTCGCTTTAAGACGAGCACATCCGGTCCCCCCGACCTTCAGCAGACTTGTAGCCTGGAGCCCGCAGAATTGATGGTATCCAAACCATCAGCATATCAGATACTCGAGAATCTCGCCGTTCATTATGGCACGGTGTGAGTGCCAACAGACAAAGAATGGCTGGAACGCCATGGAGTCTCGGGGTCTACGGAAAACGGGCGGAGTCTGGCCCCAGCACACCTTGGCTCCGCTTCGCAGAAGCAACAAATGTCGCGTCTCGCGTTGGCTATTTACATATCACGGGTCTACTCGTCCAAGGAGAGCGTGCTGCGCTCGGAGGGCATCGTCTTGCCCGCGAACTTTTCCTGGGCCGCCTCTCTCAATCTCTCCTTCTGGGCCAGGGTCAAAGGCCGCACGACCTGGTCCGGCGGCACGAAGGTGAACATGCCGAAGCCAAACTCGCGGTCGGACATGTTGTTCAAGACGTACAACTGCTGCCTGACATAGCCCACAAGGGCCTCGACGTGGCGCAAGTCGGCGTTGGGGTCGCCGTTGAACACGTTTCTCCACAAGGCCGCGGCAAGCGTGATGTCGTCCGTCACAAGGCCCTCGTCGTACGCCACCACACAGCCCAAGAGCTGCGTGTGGTAGTCGCGCAAGTAGCCGTCGATGATTCTGTTGGACAGAATGCCCAACTCGCCGGACATGCGGAGCTCCATGTCGCGGAAGATGCGGTCCACGAGCTTCTGCTGGTAGTTGCGGCCGTACTTGAACGGCATCGCCCGCATGCGCACGGACAAGATCCAGTAGTGCAACGCGGTGATCTGGAACCACTGGGAGAAACTCATGGGTAGCTGCAACGTCTCGTAGTAGAAGCGCGCGGTGTCCGAGAGCGGCTCGTTCGGGTAGAACATGCCCTGCTTCTTGCACTCGCCGAAGTAGAACGAGCCCGCCACGGGCCCGGCACGGGTCTTGTCCATGTCGATGTTGAACACGCGCACGATGGCCTGGCCCACGCTCTGCGCAAGCCCGGACATCCGGTACGAGGCGTCGTTTTCGATTTTGTGGTCGGACAAAAAGGGGATCCGCGCCTTGGCGGGCCGCGGCTGGATCTTCAAGTCCTGTTTGATCCGCGGGAGATGCGAGTCCTTGGCCACCTGGTGGGGGGCGGAGATCTCCTCTTTGCGGAGCACAGACGGCCCGTTGTGGAAGGCACGTGCTAAAGCGGGCAAGCGCTTTACTTTGACAAGCGCCGAAAAGTGGCGCGGCTGGCTCAACATGGTTTTAGCGGTGGGTTGTGAGGAAGAAGAACCAAGGGTATGTTTTGGGGGCGCTGGCCTGGGGCGGGAGTGACGGGTGTTTTTTTCGAGATGCGCGGCGCACGGTGTGCCCGCTTCCTGGGGCAGCGATGGGGCCAGATATATTAGGGGTGCTTCCTTTTCACTTTTTGCGGCCGGTTTGGGGGAAAAAGTGCATCGGAGATTTGCCGAGGGCGTGAGGGGAGGTTAATGTATTTTTCCCTGTTTATTTTATGCTCGGTTGCGTATTTTATGGTGGGGCTGGTCTTTCCCTGATGGCTTACCCAGCACGCACTGGAATCAACGACATGCTCACGCACTACAGGACCTAGATTAACCTTACGACTAAGACCGACCAAGTATACAGAGCGACCACGCCACAGCAACAAAACCAGGAAAAAAAAATGATACAACAATCTCTTGGCCAAAAGAGCTGCACAAGCGTCGTGGCACTTTATAATACAGGGGGCGTCATTCTGCATTCCCTGACTGGGCCGTTGAGCAGTTCGGGTTTCCGCTGGTAGGTCTTTTCCGACAGCCCGTATGGGAACAGCCGTTTGAGTCCAGAAGGCCCCGAGGTATAAAAGATTGGAAATCATACCGACCCAGCCAAAAAAAAAAAAAATATGGTCCTGTAGGACCAAGTGCACCGATCGAACTGGTTGCGCCAATCTTGCATTTCTGCTGGGCTTCTCACCACATGGGAGACTTTTTGCAACCATTCTTTTTCTGGTGTTCGACTCTTCAAACGCCATTGGGACAAGTGCGCTGCTTCCTTGGGCCAGAAAATACCTCTTTCTCAATTTCTTCTGGTAATTGGCTGCCTTTTCTCTGGGTTTGGCGCACACGGCCCCATTGAAGACGGTCAGTTTGAAGAGCCCGCAACTTGCTGGCCAGGAATCGGGCCAGCACAATGATCAAGGCATCTGTTTGCAGGACTCCTCTTCAATGCCGACCTTCTAAAAGAGACCCCTCATATCGAACCCCTACGAGACAAACTTCCAAAAGACCGAGAAACGTGACTAGGAAAAGCAGAACAAAAAAGGGGAATTCTCGGCCGAGGAGCAAGGTAAACCTAAGGCAAGAAGGCTATGGTTTCCACAACATCGAGACCAAGAGCAGTTGCCGCTTGACCGATTTTCCAGATCAATGCAGGCAGAAAGGCCCAAAGCTCCCCAATGCTTCATCACAGGGCCGACTAGACCACATCCTCTTTCAACTGCGGCTAATGACAGGCCCATGTTAGACCATTTGCCCCTTTACTGGCCCCGACAGACCATTCTCTTCAGACACCAGCACGTGACATCCTGCTACGCCGAAAGTACCCTAGTGGTTATCTATTAAGCACTCGTATATAATGCGCGTTGTCCGTGAAATAAATTAAGCAAAGGCCTCGTCGAAGTTGGTGAACACGAATCTGTATCTCACGTCACCCTCCTCACATCTGGTCAATGCCTCGCCGCAGCTCTTCTCGTTGATTGGCACCTCCTCGATCATTGGCGCAATGCCCTTCTCGGCAGCCAACTTCAACATCTCCTCGGCCTCGACCTTGGAGCCCAAAAGAGACGCACCGAAGGACGTGGCGTTACGCACAAACGTGAATGGGTGCACAGACAAAGTGTCGCCGGCTGGCGGCAAGCCCACACTGACGAATCTGCCGTCCACCACCATGGTCAGCAAGTACTTGTCCAAGGAGAAGTCGTCCACTCCGGAGGCACAGTTCAAGATCAAGTGGAACTTGTTGTGGTACTTCTTTTCCCAGTCCTCTTCCTCCTGCGTGGCAATGAAGCCGTCGGCACCGAAAGAAAGCGCCTCCTTCTTCTTGGATGAGCCTCTGGAGAAGGCGTAAACCTCGGCACCCAAGGCCTTGGCGAACTGGAGCGCCAAGTGGCCCAAGCCACCAATACCAATGATGGCCACCACGGGCTTCTCGATGTTGGAGATGTTTCTCACCAAGGGCGAGTACACGGTCAAACCGGCACACATCAATGGCGCAGCAACCACCGACGACATGTTTTCTGGGATGGGGAAACAGAACTTCTCGTTGGCAATGGAGTGTGACGAGTAGCCACCTTGCGTCACGTAGTTGTCGGCCAACGTGTCAACGGCGTTGTAAGTGCCGACACCCTGCGTACAGTACTGCTCGTTGTTGGACTGGCATCTGGAGCACTCGCCACAGGCGTTGGAGGCGGCGCCGATTCCGATTCTGTCGCCCACCTTGATGCTCTTGACTTCGTCACCCACGGCAATCACGTTACCGATGATCTCGTGACCCACCACGGCGTCCTTTCTGTTCAAGGGGCCCCAGCTCTCTCTGACCGTGTGCACGTCAGTGCCACAAAGACCACAGCAGATGTTCTTGATCACGACGTCTTTGGGGGACACCTTCTTAGGCTCGAAGGAGACCAACTTGGGCTGGTTCCATTTGTCGGCCGAGGACACGGCGAAACCTTTGAATGTAGATGGGATGGAGGCAGACATTGTGTTTGTTAGTAGAGTTTGCTGTCTTTGAAACAGGATGGCACATGGCGATCGTGGCCTTATATATGCTGCGACAGCGAAGTGGCGGCGATATATCAGCGATGCAGACTTACGTCAATGCGAGTCGCCAGCGCTTACTAATTTTGCCGGAACTGGCCCCTAAACACCGGCGAAAAGCGGGGTGGGCTCGGACATGCCGGCCATGGTGCCGGCGGTGAACTGTGGTATTTTTGGCCGCAGCGGGCCGGCGTGCTGGCGGGATTTACGTGGCATGGCCTGCGGTTTTTCAGCCATTTCCAACGCCTGACGCCTGGGTTTTTTTTCAAATCCGGCTGCACGCCTGCACACAGACCAGGGCGCGGCATCGGAGCAATGATGGCTAACAGAATAGATGAGACTAAACGGAGGATGGATCCGCAAGGGCAATAAAAGAGGAAGTGGGGAAAAGAGAAAGACAGATGGCACTGTCCCATCCAAGGCATGTTCCCGTCAATATACTAGAAAAAAAATCAAAACTCCTTTTTTTGTCCCGTGCTTCTTCACAGCAGGTCGACTACAGAAGCTCGTGGAAGAATGTCCTGTCATGAGGGCGAGGACCTTCCGGAAGCAGACAAAAATACCGCGCGCCGGGATGGGAAGTGCACGCTCACGCCGGTTTAGATAAGATGCTATTATGAGCGCCCCGACCAAGTCCTTCTGGCCAATATTAAAACACATACAGACGGGAGAGAAATCGAGCCGCAAATGAGCTTGGCATGCTGAGGTCAATTGTGGTCCCGGGGGCAGCAATAATCTCTGCATTTGCCAGCTATTCCGCAGATATCTGCATTTGTCAGAGTCGGATATATATCTGCGACGGGTCTGATGAAGGAGAAAATTAGGTATTAGCGACAACGGAAAAGACGCGCACAATAAACCGGCAGCTCGGCCGAAAACGCCCAGGGGTCACCTCGGCCCAGCCTCGCGTTTCGTTTTTTTTTTGGCTTGTCGTACTGTTTTTAATTGCACGCTGCCGGCCCGATTCGCCTGGAATCCAACGTGCCGGGTGTGTCTTTACCGGCTTATGATGTCATCACACCAGTCACGCGAACGCAGTTGCAAAATGATGAGACGAAGGCGCGGTTGGGCTCCATACTAGTGTCACTAGTCATATCGGGCCAGATCCTGGTGAAACTCGTCTGGCTGGCCGCATCAGCACCTTAGATCAAAGGCATTTATATATATTTGTATATGAGGGATATTATGGGGGTAGCGAGGTCCCTCAGCCCCGAAAGGTACCGATCTCTGCATAAGACCCGAATATAGATGAACTTGGCAGAGGTGAGCCCGCAGAAACAACATAACAAGATGGCCTTTTTGGAGGCTTTGCGTTTGTTTATGTCTTTCGATGATATGTCCGTACTTAATTGTTTGCTTTTGTTCAGTATGGCCACAGGGCAGCAGACGTGGAAAGTCGCACGATCAGTTGTGCGCGTTGCTCTTCCACACCGGCGATTGGGCCACCCTTAAAATCTGGGAACATGCCCGATTGAACATTTCAACAACTTCGTGGATATGAGAATTCCAAAAATCTTTTTTACACTTTGCTCTGCCAGCACGCTCGGTGCACTGTGCTCAGCAGCGCCACACCAACTGCAAGAAGAAATTGGAAACAAGATGAAAAACCGCGTGGTTTTCCAGAGGTGACTGAAGGCACGAATTATGATGTTTTTCTCTTATTCCTACTCTCTGGCCCTGCTCTATTATGTTGTATTGTGTTTTTTTTNTTTTTTTTTTTTCTTTATACGTAAAGCGCGCGCTTTCGCGTTAATAATTATACATTATAGACAAGTCTCGTCCCAATGCATAATAACAATATCGGAGCACCACAGATATGAGCTTTTTTTGAGAAGAGCCAGACAGAGAAAACAACGACAACCAAAAAAACAACACAATGAGGCCATAAAATTTACACGGTTTTTTTATCTGTCCAGAATCTTAAACAAACCGATCATCAAATTTTCTCCGATTGCAAAATGGCGCTGTTCACGTAAATCGTCTCGCAACGGCAGAGAAGCCCCATCATGCCAGTGGGCCTGTCTATCTTGCAGAAATAGTATATGTAGAGACACCTCAATTTTTCCCCAAGTGTCTATTTTTTCTACTTTTTTCCCGCTTTTCCTTCTCGCTCCCACGCTTTTCTCAACAAAAAAAACAAACAAGTTTTTTTTTACTTGATTGTGCCTTTCATTTCACCAGTCAGGCTAGAATCATCGGGGGAGCTCATCCAACTTCGCCCGACATTTTCAGCACGCTTGAGATCGGCTGAAAAACACTGGTCGCATATTTCGATCTGCTCCAAAAGCGCAAAGCAGTCTCGACGGCACCAATTGGCCAAACACCAAATCAAAACATTCCAAGTCACCCCAATATATTTGCAGCATGGTCTTGTACAAACGCAAGCAGGTCACCTATGTGCGTCCGCCACCTGTGCCCACCGATCTTGGCACGGAAATCTATATAATACCACAGACAAAGGAATGGTTCTTTAATTACGAGGAGTACCTTGCCCGGATGGACTACTACCGCCGGCGCAAGTTTGTGTGTGAAATTACAGGGAACTCCTGCCTCACTTACTACGAGGCATTTGACTCCGAAGCCAAGGAGATCCGGGACCTCGAAACCAACTTTCCCGAGGCCTTGCGCGAGCATATCTTGAAGTTTCTCCAGTTCAACCGCATCTCTAGATTGGATCTCTTGGTCGACAAAGTGTACCTGGTTTTCAAAAACGAGTATTTTCCCGGCGAGGAGGTCTATGTCAAGAAGCTCGTGTCGCCGTCGGCAGAAAAACAAGCGGCTGTGGCCAGAAACAACGACGGCGCCGCGCCCTTAAAACCGTATATTTCCTCGGTCAAACAGCGAGGCGTTATTCGGGAAAAAGTCCAGTATAGCAATCCGTCCGATACCAAGTATCTCGTGTCCACAGTGGGGGACAATGCGCAAATCATCGCGACCAACCAGCAGATCACAAGAGACAGGAACCATTTCACCAAGTGGCTTGTCAAGACGTATGTCAAGCTCACAGTCACACGGTCCCATAAAGTGGGCGCCCCTTGGGTGGTCAAGGAGAAGTACGCAGAAAAGTACCACATTCCCAAGGACTTCCCGGAGGACTTGAAGCAGTTTGAGTCCATCACGCCTTCCGGCGAGATTTTGTACGAGGGAGATGACCGGTTAGATTTCCTGTCGCCTGCTCCAGAGACAGATGCACCCAAACAGAAAAAGCCTCGTGGCAGAGCGGCGCTCAAAAAGAAGGCGGCACTCAACGCTGCCAACGCCGCTGGCGCCTCACTGGTCGACGGAGCCTTTGCATTAGAAGGGACGAAAAACAAGGAGAAAGGTGATGCCCGCCATCGGTTCCCTGTGCACCACTTGCCTGCCCTGATACGAGAGGTGCTTGACAAGAACGACCAGGCCACCACATCCTCGTTCCAGCCGCTGAGAAAAACCATCATTGAGGACTTGCACTTGTCGTTTGACTTGCAGAACTGCCGACCGGAGCCCTCCGCTCTGAGGCTTCCTGCCAACGCCCGAGCACTCAATGCACAGGTAGTGGAGCACTTGGAGGACGAGATTAAGGATTTGCGGAACGGCGAATCCGAGGAAAGCTCACAGGTCATTGCACAAAAAGAGGCCGAGATCAAGGAACTCAGAAAGGACTCACTTAACTCGGTCCAGGAGGCCTTGGAGTGCTGGACCTTTCTCAACATCTACCACTCCGTACTCAAGATAGACACTTTCACCTTCGATGATTTCGTGTGTGCAATGGGCTGGAACGATACGCAACTCAAAAGCTTTGGCAGGTGCGAGCTCTTGGACGAAATCTGGTGCGCCGTTCTCGGCCTTGTGGTCTCCAACGAACCTGCGTCGACTAAAAGCTCAGACGATACCAAGATCTCGGGGCTACAGATCACGTTGCCGCCCGACGTAAAGCTTTTTACGAAAAGCGGTAGTTCTAAAAACGAAGAGAATGACGACGCAATGAAAGGGTCTGATAGCGAACATGAGCCCAGACCACTTAAGATAGAGGATGACGTTTCCGAAAATGAGTCATCCTCTCCCTCTCCCCATAAAAGCAGAAAGAACGGCAAATCACCTGAGACTGTCGCTGGCCAAAAAAGTTCCATAGACGCCGATGACGAGGCCGAGCCATCCGAAGATGATGCTGACACAGAAGGAGACAACGAATCGCACACGCATGGACACAATGCATACTCTGTCGTTAATCATAGGGGTGTCAAATGGCATGAAAAGCTTCGCAAGCGGAATTTCAAGGACGGCAACTGGCTCACTATCGTCATGGGCGTTCTCTCACTTGTCGAATATGTGCCGGAGTATTCTGACACAATTCAAAGAGTGTATCAAACGCTTGCTCCTTCTCTGATCACGCCCGCGACTCCTTCAACTGTACTTTCACAATTCTACACATGCATGGGAATCGACCTCCGTTTGAAGGTCCTCCATATACTAACCTCGCTTGTTGTCAACGGGAACTCTGTGAGAAATTACATTGACGAGTCGCTTGATGCGTCTGCAAATTTGAGACGCAACAGGCTTGACATCCTACGGGACTGGAAAGCCCATGTCGAAACTGCCAATAAATTACACGTCGAGGTTTTCAACAGATTGATGGACGCAGTGAGCACAACTTCAGACACAAAGCTTTGGTCTTCATTTTCTCGAAAGAAGCATAGACTCAACACAAAAGGATACGAGATGACCGGATATGTGCAAGCACTTGCTGATGCAGATCCATCCTTCAAAGAGCTATGGGATGCACGAGAAGCAGCTCTTTCTAAGATAAGAGAATCTAAGGCACAGAAGAAAGATGTGGAAATGCAACTTTCGCAATTGGACTGTCAGAGGGTTAGACTTCTTGGAAAAGATAGACACTTTAACAGATATTGGTGGTTTGAAAACAACGGCTTACCCAATATACATTATTCGGGAGACGGGGATGAGGATGAAGAACAGCAAGAGCCGGAAAGTGACGAGGAAGTTGATGACAAAGATGATTTTCAAACCGAAACCTACCTCATGGGCTGCCTTTGGATTCAAGGACCTACTGGAATGGACTCCCTTTCGCATCTCAAGCTAACAAAAGAGGAAGTGGATAGCATGATTGGCGCCATGGAGGATACAAATTCTGTTCAAACAGTTAAGTTGGAAAATGAAGATTCTCCTGATGCCGAAACAACGGAAAAGCAAAATAACGATGCGGTCAATGGTGCCCAGCCTCTTAAGGAAATGGATTTTTCACATGTGCCAGGCCCAGTTGTTTCTGAAGCAGCGAATAAGGGAATCAACTACCGTCATAACTCGATTGAATCCCACGATTCTTCAAAGATTATCGACAAGTATGGAGGGTTGCCCAAGGACTACGATGTGATGACACTTTCGGCAGTTCAACGCAAGTTTATCGAAGAACGAGCAGTCCCCCTTTTTTCGGGAAAACAGTGGAGGTTTTTTGATCATGCCGAAGACGTGGATAGCTTGATAAAGTGGCTTAATCCGTGGGGCAAACGAGAGTCACTTTTGCGCAAAGAATTTTTGCGTGTGAGAGAAGGAATGACTGCTAGTATCACAGCTCGCAGAAAAGCGCTCTGGCTCGACAAACTACCCAAAGAAGAGACGGAGCTTGAAGGTCAAATCGAAGCCGTGGAGGCCAGGATTCAAAAATGCAGAAGCGGTGTCGTTGATGAATTGGAGCCTGAGGAAAGCGGAGATGACATCACCCCTAGAAAAAGACCCAATAGACGGGGTGCTGGTGGTGCCAACAAGAGACAAAAAACAGCGGCTGAAACCATCAAGACCGGAACTCTTGACGAGCTCGAACAGTTGCAGATTGAATTGAAAGAAACCATGGCTGCAAGGTTGGAGCAAAACCCCATTGCAAGAGTGACGGAGTGGGTAAACCGCACCGCCCGAGACGAATTTGAGAAGCCATTATATGAGGGTGGAGACAAGGCCAAGCCGCGGGCAAGAAAAAGCAAGAAGTAGTGACGTTAAGATTATACATAGTTACATATATGTGAAGATCTGAGCAGGGTTCGTCATCCGCCTTTGGATTAACAGGCCACCTGTGCAAGTCACGCAGCACGGTACCGTTTAGCTCCGTCATAGTCGTGACTGTTTCCGGTGCGTTTGCCCGAATGACGTCTCGACCGGTCCAAAAGCTCCTTTAGTTTTTTCTCCTTTTCTGCTTGTTCCTTCAAGGCGATTTGCTTGCGTTGCTCGTTTCTTGCGGCAAGCTCACTTCTCGCTTGTTTATCGGCATTTTCTAGGGCCAGCGAAAGCTGTCCGAACTTTTCAATATTGATGGAGGGACCTTCACTGGCACTCCCTCCGCTTGCTGCATGTACTCTTTTATCTAGAGCAATAGCGAACCCCTGGTTATTTTTCCAGTTAGAAACTGCAGAAGGAATGTGCCATTTATCCTTGATCTCTTTGGTGATTTTCTCTGTGGGAGCGGCTTTAAGAATCGGAGGTGGTGGCAGAGGTTCTTTCTCACGGTTTTTTCTTAGCTTGAATTTTGGCGGTAGTAAGGGATCCTCTTTGAAGTTGCGGATCTCAAGAGTCCGCCCTCTGGCATCATTTTCAGTCAAGGAACTGGGCGTAAATGTAACGAAAGTGGGCTCATCAGTAGAAACCTCGCCGTTTTCGGCCTTGAACAAAATATCGTCGATGACTTTTTTGGTTTCCGCAACACAGGTGGCCAAGGAGTCGTCGGGGCAATTTTCAAGTGTGTAGCGGGGGAAGTGATGGCGAAGGTTCGGGTACTTAACTTTCAATGGTATCGTGTCATCGTACGAAGTCTGTACGCCCCCGTCTCCATCTATGGACGCAAGGGTTTTTCCCACATCGACGAACCCGTTTGCGTCCACGAAAACCTCACCCAAGGCGTTGCCCGAACTATGCAAATTGGTCACTTTCTTATGAGAATCTGTGTTAGAAAAGGGCACCACCAAAGCCGAGGATGCTTGCGAGGCCTTCGGTAGCATCACTTTGATTGTGTCATATGAGCAGTGCTTTGGTTTCGGTAGAAGCGAGCTGAACATTTGTACAAAATATAAAATAAAGGTTTTGTTATGGTTCGGGCGTTATGGTCCGGATGAATGACGTGTTAAGAAAAGCTTGCTGGATGGGACTCGATGTGAATCGTGGGGCTTTGACTATGAGATGATGGCCAAGGTGCGCACTCATGCCGGTGCTGCTCTTGTATCACGGTTACAGCAAGAGGTCCCACCTGAAAAATGCCAGGATATAAATTCTATTGTGCCAGCAACGCCTAGTCTTAAGTATAACTTCTAATTGGCAAGTTGTGCAAAAAACAATTGTTGGTGTTGATGTGCGGAATATCTCGGTTTAGTAACATAATATACTAGCTCCAAACGGTTCCTCGGGCCCCAGTCAAACAGTCCCGGGCCCACGATATGCTTTTATTGATCGAAGATTTAGGAGCCCAAAAGAATCACATGCAGCTTTTGTAGGTATTTGTGGGTTTGGCCCCTGAACCTTAGTTCTCAGTCAAATGAGCCACGCATACTTGGCTTTAGGTTTACCTTTGGGGATCGGCAGTAACAGGTATCTTCTTCATTTTGTCCTTCGCGTTGGTGGCTCTTGCGCAGTCTGGAAAATTCGGGGTCCACAATTAGTGAATCTGCATCTTGTCAAATTACGACGTCTTGCACGATTACATACTCATCCACCCGCTAATCTGGCTTTCGAAAAAAAGCCTGGTCAAGAATTTGAAACTAGCACGTCAAGGATGCAAATTCGGGGACTTGTCTTGTGCGAAAGAATGCGAGATTGATTGTGTTTTGCCAGATTTGGCGATGGTATTGAAAAACGGAGCCTGTGCTTGTGATAAATTAGGGGCAAAGAAAGAACTTTGGTATCTTAATTTCCAAAAATGCCCAGTTCAATTCAGTGTACTTCAGAAAACGCCCCAAGCCTGCAAAAATGCAAAAATCCTATTACCCAACTTCGGCCTGACATAAAGCTTTTCATGAGGAAGCACAGGGGACTCAAACAGCTGGTTGACAGAGAGCTGGGCTGGATGAAAGAAGTACGTCATGATCTTGGCTATCCACGCAAACAACATAAAGCTCCGCGGAATCACCACGTTCTGTTGCTCTCCTGAAGGCCAGGATTCCATCAGCAACTGCTTTTCAGCGTTTTTCCACCTTTCGCCAGCAAGTGCATCCACTATTTGATCTGGGTAATCTGTGATGACACCATACTCCTTGAGCTTCCATACTTTTCCAATGGCACAAAAGTAGCGAAGCTGGCTCACGCGATTTACTGTCCACGTGTATAAGTTCAAATTTTGCTTCTTGACAGCTGGCATGAAGTCTTCGAGAAACTCCCGGGACCATGTGCTCACGTAAATTAGCGACACGCCTGCAATCTTGAACTTTATTCGGTCTTTTCCTAGTGTGTCCAAGTACTCATTGTATGCTAAGAAGGTCAACGAACTTTGCCAGCTAAGCGAAATATGGTAGATATGGAAACACGTGTACCCAAGATACGCATTTGTTCCACGAAACAAGCGCTGGAAATAGTCATCCTGGTTCAAAAACTTCACAAAACGCAAGTTCCACACGCCGATTTGGATGCGAGGAAACCACCACTCCAAGTCGGCGTGAACGGCCAACATATCTTCGAAAAGAAGCCTGACGAGTTTTGGCGGGTTGGCGTTTTTCAAATCCAACATGATCTTGTGGTTGGGATTTGCAGTCTCCTTCACGACCTGACAAAACCACCGGAGCACATCCTGAAAAGTCAACAACGGCTCGCCCGACCCGATCGTGCGTAGTGGTTTGAGCTGCTCGAAATTGGTCTCTAAGATGTTGTAGTCGGTCTCGTTGCCATTTTCGTCGCAGAAAACACGTTTTGTATTCACGTCATGTGAGATGACCAAGACCTCATCCTTGGTGGTCCAGACGTCGGTTTCGAAAATGGTAGCGCCGGTGTCAAAGCACTTCTGGAAGCCATGTAACGTGTTTTCTGTGAACTTGCTCTTGAATCCGCGGTGGCCCACAACCAAACAATCAGCAGAGCTCATTTTGCGATGGAAAATATACTGCTAAAGGAGGTGTAATCATAGATGCCTACGGCAGTGCACTATGTAGAGAAGAGGTTTGACGAAGGCAAATGGGAGGATCTACCATTTCCTGCAGTGAGGCAGGAAACGTGCTGGGCCTGAGCGTCTCTAATTGCGGGGCAGTCAATACATGCGCGAACACTGCTAATAAAAGGTATGATCAATCACTTGCGTAACCCTTAGAAGTTGTGGGGCCAGAACTTGAGGCCAGCTAAACTGGTATTTCGTATACTTTCACCTGCACTGTGCAGCCTAAGGTAAATCTATCAAGCATGCCGCTTGGCGAGTATATTCCCGTGCATCAACTCACTAGTAGGTGGGTGCTGGTCAACCACAGACTATCTCTATAAACAAACCCGATCTGTAACCTAGAGCTTAAGCTCAGTCTTTTCTATGGCATGCTTGATCAAGGTGTACGCGATCGACACATCGGTAGGCAAGACGATTCCATCTGGGTTCTCGTCTCCCGCAGTGTTGTGGATCAATTTCCGCACGAAGGAGACATCGAACCAGCGGGCGTCCGCGAGCTCTCGGTCGTGGCCAAGATGGATGACCTCGTTCAGGCCATTGAAATCCACTGTGGCCACGCACCCGATCATCAAGTTTCCAGGGAATGGCCATGGCTGGGTCATGAGAATCTGGATGTCCGAGCACGCAACACCGGTCTCCTCCCAAATCTCTCTTCTCGTGGCCACCTCCACAGTTTCGGAGGGCTCCATGAACCCGGCTGTGCACGAGTACATTTTCGTGTGTGCGTAACGTTTACTCAACGAGAGTAGCATCTTGGTCTTCTCTCTGTTAACGATTGCCGTGATGACAACGGCGTCTGTGCGAGGGAACGACACGTTGGACACCCGCGTGTTTTTGACAGGACACTCGTACTTTTCCTCGTCACCCAGCGCGATCTTGTTATCGTTCGTGCATCTCAACTTTCCTCCCGCATGGATGCCAATGACTTTGGAGCCACACCCGGGGCAGAACCGGTTGCGGCCAAGCCAGTCGAAGTACATTTTGCCGTGGCTGAAAAGTGCCGACTCCTCCATGGTGAAGGCCATGGTATGTTTCCGGGAATCCGTGTATACAAGATCGTCTTTGTTCACGGCAGGCGTGGACAGCACAATGTGCTGCTTGACCAACTCGGAAATCCCAGACGCGTTCGACACGTCCACGCCAAAATACGGAATGCCAAAGTACCGCCCTTGGTGGTCCAAATACGTTTCTTTCTCGTACAGCTTCAACTGGTGGAAGTCCAAGCCTACACTCTCGTCCTTGAGCCCGAGGAAAAGCAAGCTGGGCTTGCCCGAGTCCCGCAACGCGGGCGCATGGTCCTTGTTTTCTGCCGCCCAGGTCTCCAACACGGTCTTCCACTGGGCAGAATTGTCTAGCAAGCCGTGGGTCGTGCCCGCCTCAGAAGTGTCTGGCACGGTGGCCAACTGGTCGGTTCCGTTGGTGAGAATCACGAGCCTGCCCTCGGATCTCGCTTTGTTGACAAGCGGGTTGCCGTTTTCGTAAAATATGAACCGGGTGGAGGTGTGCAAAACGGCGCTGCTGATGAACTCGGCGTCCTCTCTAAGAAAAGAGACGCGGTTCACCACCTCTTTGCCAAAGTAGGGCACCTCGGCAGGCAGGTATGGATCGTCTAGTTTTGCCTGGTTCATTTGGAAGTATGTGTTGTTTTTAAAGGTGCTGCTGAAAGAAAGTAGGCGGGTGGATCTAAACAACACGGGTATCCGAGGTCTCCAGGTGTGGAGAAACATGCTCGGTGTTTAGTCAGCACGGCAGATTCGGAGATCGCACTGGCACCTGTCCATATGCGAGATTGCGTGGCAAATACACCTGTCTTAACCGGACGGCCAACGGATAGAAAGAGGCAAGGGGCCAAGACACCACGTTCTGGGAGGAAGGGCGGCAGAGGACATGGATCCCATGTGGCGTTTGTTTTGCGGGAGCCTTGGACCTAATTCTTTTTAACTGGATTGCATGGTTAACGTTTGGTGCCCTCTATCTTTTCCCTATAAGGCAGGTGCGCCTTGCCATGTTGCTTAAGAGCGTGCCAGATCTAGAATCAGTCCCAAAACAGCCATTGTCACGGCGAAACACAACTTTATCTGCGGCGCATGCTCGAAACCTTGAAGATTGAATGTAGCCAAAAGTACGTGGCGACTGTATTTGTATATCTTTGCAAAAAGAGAGTGGCCGGGGAGAATGGGCCTTGAACTTTTGCACCCATTTCGGCCTCATACTTGCTTTCGCGCGGCCCCGTTCAGGTTTGCATGAATGATGGGTCGATGGGATTTCGATTCAATTTCTTATTCCTAGCGATATCCGTCAATGGACGACTCAAGAACAGTGAGAAAGAGTGACATGAATAATGCGAGCAGATCTAGCTACTTTCGCATGACCAGGAGGTATATAGAAACCCTACAAGCAATGTGAGTGGGGAATGTGTATTGGTGAGAAGGCTCTACAATCTACTACACTTCGATCTACGGAACTGTTGAAAAAGATACTGATCGAACGCTCGATGGCAAACGCCCAGCTTTGTACACTTTTTCGTTGATTTTCCCTGGTTGTATAGTCTGGGACGCCATGGGTGTCGTGGGCGAGCAGATAAAGTTGTCCAGGGCGAGCTCTACAGCGCTAGCAAGCAAAAATTAAAGGAAGCCGCAATGGGCAGGAGTTTGCATTGCAGTGTATATACAAGATTCCTAGAATGTTAGTATCGGGTGCAATGCACGTGAAATGGAGCTTTCGATCAGATAATTGTTAAATAACAAGACAGTTTCCTCAATAGTTTTCGGAAGTCAAGCGTTCAAAATCAAGTTTATTCATCAGGAAAAGCTCGGGGGAAATCTGAACATACCTTTTTGTTGATTAGGGTCCCAGTGATGTAGTCATCTGTCTTGTCTAGACTGGTTAGTACGATGAAGAATGCAAATAATGCACATGCATCAGATATCTTAGATCTCTCCTCAAATGTATTAGGAAGTCTAACGTCTGAAAATCTTTTTATGTCATCAACTCAGTGCAATTCGTTGGCCATAACATACCGTTAAGTGTCGTGAATGGGCTCCTGAGAGCTAATGGGAAGGAGGCGCCATGGCGTCTATCCGATGGTCGCACCCTGCTTGATGGCAGTGGGCAACCCCTTGATCCAGGACTTGCCTGATTTCTTGTCGATGATCACGAAAACCCGCCCGGACTGGCGCATTCTCCCCGTCCGGCCAATGCGGTGGATGAGGTCAATCGACGTCTTGGGCAAGTCCATGAGAACCACGTTCTTGATGCCTTGGAAGTTCAAGCCTCGTGCCATCAAGTCAGTGGTCACCAACACTTTGATCTCGCTTTTGTCCGGGTCGTCCTTGAGAGGGACGGCCTGCTTGAGGAAAGGCGCGATCTTCAACCGGCGCTCGTCGGCAGAGTCCCTGCCGGTGACGCCAACCACGTCCTGGAAGCGGTGGCCGAACTTCGCGATCAAGACGTCCACGAGCGGCTGGACATTCTTCTTCTCGTTGACAAACACAATGATGCGCTTGACGAAGCCGGCCTCGGTGCCGTCGTTGTGGATTGCGTATAACGCCTGCGCTAAACACCGTGTCTTCGACCCGTGGTACGGCGCCTGCTGCGCGTCGATGATCTTCACGGCAATCTGCCGCGGGATCTTGTGGATCTGCGGCGTGACGATACGAATGATGGACTTGTCCTCCTTGAAGACGCGCTTGATGCTCTTCTCGAAGTCACGCGGTATCGTCGCGGAGCACATGATGAGGTCCTTCAAGCGCGGGAACCGCAGGAGCACCGCGGTGGTGTCCACAAACCACGAGTCGTCCATGAGCGTGTCCGCCTCGTCGACCACACAGTAGTCCACGTGGCTGAAGAAGCGGAACGGCCGTTGGAAGTTGGTGAGCTTGGACAAGCCCTCGAGCTTGCCCGGCGTGGTTACCAACACATCGACTCTGCGCGTCTCCAACTGGCCAAAGAGCTTGCCGGGCGACTCGCCGGAGCCCCACTTGACCACGTTGAGGTTCAAGCCCGACGCGTTCTCGGGCTCCTGGAGAAACCGGCCGTACTCCTCGGAATCCAAGAATCTGCGGGGGAGATCGGCCGCCGCGTTCAACGGCATGTCGCACGCGGCCCTGACCGTGTCGTAGACCTGGCTGACCAACTCGTGGGTGGGCAAGAGAATCACTGCGCGGACCATCTGCGCACTCTGCGCCTCGGCATAGGAACGCGGGCTGTGCTTGAAGAGCCGGAGGTCGTCCTCCTTGAGCTTCAGGAGAACCGAGGCCAAGTACGCCCAGGTCTTGCCGGAGCCGGTCTCGGCGGCTATGGTGAACACCTTCAACTTGCTGCTCTCGTTCTCTTTGACAATGTCATGGAGAAGCACGTTGCCCACCTCCTCCAACTTCTGCGCGGACACCTTGCGCGGCTGGTTGATTTTCTTGATGGCCGCAATCTGCACCGGCAGCGGCTTGATGTCAAGCTGCTCCTTGCTGGCAACATAGGTGTTTTTGAAGTTGTAGCTCTGGCGGATCTCCTTGATCATGGCCGCCCGCACCGTGGGGAAGACGCGCAACGCGTCGAACGACACGACCTTCTCGATAATACCCTCGGACTTCTCGATGTGGGTCTTTTCGGGTTTGTGCAACGAGGCGAAGTTGCCGAAGGCAAACACCTTTTTCTTGTGGCCTGGCGTCGTGGGGCTTGCGTCAAGCCGTTTCCCCTTTCGGGCCGGCACTAGCATGTTTTTTGTGCGTGAGTACGCCCGCCATTGAACTATGGCACGGAGCAGATGTGGAGAGGCATTCCGTGTGCAAACGTTCAACATTCTAAGAAAAGAGCGAGTTGAGAACTGGCAGACAGGTCCATTTAAAGGGCGAAGGGTGGAGGAAAATTTTCTTGTGCGAAGATGCTGCGCACAGGTCACTTAGGGCTGCGAGGCTCCGGAAATTATTGGGGCCTGCGCGGCCGGGCCCGACGGGCAATTTATCTGTATTATCTGAGTGCTGGGTGCGCCATGGCCGTGAGATTGAGCAAGGCGCCAAGGGAAGATGATAGGTGAATACGGGCGTGCTTTTGGTGCTGTCTTGGTGTTTCCAGGTGCAGCTGATGGTTTTTTGGGTGCCGTTTCTGCTTTCTCTGGTGCCGTTAATGGGGCCTTGGTTCGCAGAATTCCACTGGTGCGCCTGTAAAGGGCCCAATTATATGGCTGTATGCTGGCATCAAGGCTCAGACAGAAACAACAGTTAGAAATCACCAAACAACGCTTTGCAGCATCTTCCAGCGGCCCCGCCCTGAACTACACTACAAACAGAATTTGCCTGCCAAAACCGCAAAAAACGGCCAAAAACGGCCAAAACCACCCCAAAAACTAACTGCCCCAACCTCCAGGCTGGCTCGCTTATAGCTCCACGGGCCCAGCGTCGCACCAGGCCGCGTCACGTGACGCGGTGGAAAAATTTAATTGCATATTGGTCCACCAAACAGGCCCCAGAAACCAAAAGCTGCCCAGAGCGTCGCAACATGTTGAGATCCGCCGCAGCCAGAGTCAGCTTCCACAGCAAGGCACACGCCGTTTCGGCCGCGTGCTCGGCCAGAGCGTTTTCGCTTTCGGCCGCCCGGCTTGCCGTGGCCCCGGCCCCAAAGAAACAGCTGAAAGTGGTGAGGAAAAGAGAGGTCAAGGAGAAGGTCAAAAAGGGCGGAATGACCCACTTGAAGTTCGGCGAGGCCGTGAGGCAGCTCAAATTCGAAAATCTCGCCGCGAGCTTGGCGCCCCTCAACTTGGCCGAGTTGTCTGCTGAGCACTTGGACAACATAGATTCCCAGGTGGTCACGTACAATCCACAGACGGAAAAAGTGCTTCGTGATCTCGGCTCCTTCAAGAAGAACCAGAACCACGAGCTTTTTGCCAGGCCCGTGTCCATGGTGTCGCAGAACACCTCCCGTATCCACGCGGACTTCATTGAGAAGTTGAGCGGCCCGTCGTCTCAAAACAGACTCTGTCTTTTGGGCGAGAAAGGCGTTGGAAAATCGACCTTGATCTCACAAACCCAGGCGCTCTTGCTCTCCAACAGCAAGCAGGACGTGGTGTTGTTGCACGTGGACTTTTCCGAGAGAATGGTCGACGGGTCCAGTGACTACATCTTCAATCCTGTTTTGGGGAAGTTCCACCAGCCCATGTTCACCAAGAGGTGGATCAAGAAAGTCCGCGCTGCCAACGAGGCCGTTTTCAAGAAGATGCCCTTGACCGAGGACGTGTCGTTCGTCACCAAAAAACAGCAGTACCTGTTGAAGAAGGGCGAACACACGCTCTACGACTACGTCGCGCTCAACAACGAGTTTGGCTTTTTCGGGCCCAGCAACGCGTTGCAGTTTTTCATCAAGCAGTTGAAGGCTCACTCCAAGACCGTTCCTGTGGTGTTCTCGATGGACAACTTCAACTCGTTGATCGGCAAACCTCACACCGAGTATTTCCACAAGGACATGAAACCCATCACGCTTGGGGAATTCGAGTTTGGCGACTTCGTCACGCAGTTGGTCAGCGGCGGCTTCTCCTTCGACAAGGGCGGGCTTCTTCTTTCCGAAAGCAAGGACTCCGGAGAGTGCCGGACCTTGCGTGTCGGCTTGGGGTTGGAGAAGCCCAACCCTTACGACGAGCCGCTGCAGTGCTACTTGGAATTTGCCGAGCAGATGACGAAGAACGGCGGCGTCAAGCCCTTCTACGTGGAGAACATGACCAAGCCGCAGGCCAGAGAAATGTTGCTGTTTTTGGACAAGGCGGGCGTGCTCCAAATCAGAGAATATCCTACCAAGGAGCTGTACAAGAGTCTTGAGGAAAGTGGGGCCATTCCGGGCAAGACCATCAACGTGGGCGAGTACGTGAGATGCGAGGACCCGGAGACTCAGTTCGAGAGGATCTTGCAGTCGTCGTTCTTCGCTTCCGCAGGCAACCCAGGTAGGTTTTTGAAGATCAACAGCTTGCTATTCTAAATCTGTATATATAAAACCAAGCAGCGCGTGCCGGAGTAGACCCGAGGAAAGATGATATTCTAGAACTATGTATGATGCTAAAGAGAGGTTTGTTGACAAGAAGAGAAAGAGAGCGTGTGTCCGAAGAAAGTAGCGACAGAGTCTCCCCGTCTATGTGAACAAGGTGTCCTCCTCTCTCAAGTACTCTCCGATGTCGCCTTGTCTGAACGCCACGATCGCCGTGGGCTGCATGTTCTTCGTTTCGGCGGTCGATTTGGCGGACACACCGAACCCGAGCGGCACGTCGTGCATCAGGAACACAATGACACCGGCGTGCTCGGGAATGTCCTCGGCGATTCTGCCCACGTGGGCCTTCAAAACGTGGTTGCCATACAAGTAGGGCATCTCTCCGTTCTGCTTGATCCACACCTTGTACTTGGCGTACTGGGCCAAGTAGGGCAACGCGGTGATGTGCAAGCGGAACTTGCCGGTCTTGGTGAACTTGCCGAAACACGTTCCCAAGGCCATCAAGCGGTCTCTGGACACACAAACTGCGAACTTGGCGATGTGCTCCGAGACATAGTAGACCCGGTCTTTCTGTAGCCTGAACACGTGCGGGTTTGTGGGGTTGTCGATCAAGAAGGAGATGTTTCTGCCCATGTAGTTGGCCAACTTCTCGAAAACGACCTTCGTTTCTTCTTCCGTCAAGGATCTCATGGCGTGGTGTGCTTGGGGCAGGGAAGAGGTAAATTTGTCTCATTTTTTCAGCACCGCTCTGGGGCGCGGTCACGTGCGCGCGAGATGCCCGTCCGATGCCCTGGGGCCCCGGACCACGGATGCGTCTGCCGGCGGTTTGTGGGCCCGTTTTGATTGGGCTGGTGGCACGGATGCCGTTGGGAAAAAAGAATAGGCCGATTTTGGCGGAGGGGGTGGATTGCGTGCCTGGACGGCGGGTTCTGGGAGCGCCCTAGTAGCCATCGCGCACGGCCAGCCATGTTCACCAAAAGGATGAATCTTAGAGAAATGTTGGCACCTACGATCACTCATTTGAGAGTTTACGAAAAATTGGTTTGCCAAAACGGTAACGAAAGTTTATGCGCTCCAGAAAGTCTATGCGCTTTAGAAAAGGAGAGCTGAAGTCGGTATCGCATAGCCTGTTGATTGGCGCTCTCGGGCGAACACCTCATATGGGCCGATGACATGAGTTAGGAAACAGGCAAAAGAAGGTAATACAAGAAGTGGTGTTATGTTGAGCAGGCCTCGCTCGTGTCTTTGAGAAGACATGTGGTGGTTTCACTCGCAGATTGATGGTAACCATGGATCTACTCAAGATAACAACACGATCGATCATGGGGTTTTCTATAGTCTATGGGTTTAGGTATGTGGTAGCGCCGGGGCTGTTGTGACGAAAACAGGCAGTTTCGGATATTACTGAAGACCGCCCTAATAAGATGTTTCTTAAAAAAAGGCTATATGGGCAGGGTAATACAAGAATGCAATACGCAATGTGCAATAACAGAATACGCAATGTGCAATAACAGAATACGCAAGAACGTATACACAAGAACGTATACACAAAAACGTATACCCAAGAACGTATACCCAAGAATGCAATGGCGTGTACACAAGAATGCAATGGCACGGCCGAGTGCCGAATCCACAGAACAGCAGGCGGGCCAGGCGCCGGCCCTGTTCCAGCGCCCGCAGCCCGTGCGGCTCATCTGGCCTATGGCCCCACGGCCCCATCTCGGGCCACGCCCATCGCCCAGTGCGCGCCAGCTCTTCGCAACAGACAATTTTTCTTCGGCACCTAAGCACCAGCACAATGAGCCAGCAGAAAAGAACACCCAATGAACTGGTGGCACAAGGCGGCAGCGCTCCTCCAGACGATGCGAAGCGGGCGAAGCACGGCGCGCCTGGCAAACCGAAAAACTTCTCCAAGAGAGATCACAAGGTCACGTAGGTAAGTCCGCACATTTTGCACCCAGATGGGCCGGGCGCCCCCCGGCCCTCCCCGGCATGGTACTAACTTCTAGTGAGTGGAAGCCCTTGGTAGACGCCGACGGCAACCCCGTGGAGAAGTCCGAGCGCAAGCCCAAGAAAAAGGTGGCCTGTATGATCGGGTACTGCGGCACCGGCTACAACGGCATGCAGATCCAGAACAACCCGGACGTCAAGACCATCGAGGCCGAGCTCTTCAGGGCGTTGATAGCCGCGGGCGCCGTGTCCAAGGAAAACTCGACGGACTTGAAGAAAAACGGGTTCATGCGGGCGGCCCGCACCGACAAGGGCGTGCACGCGGCAGGCAACGTGGTGTCGTGCAAGTTGATCCTCGAGGACGACACGCTCGCCAAGGTCAACGCGGCGCTCCCCAGCCAGATCCGCATGTGGGGCATCGAGCGCGTCAACCGCTCGTTCGACTGCCGCAAGATGTGCTCGTCCCGCATCTACGAGTACCTCTTGCCCACGCACAGCTTGCTCCCGCCTCGGCCCAAGTCCAGCTTGTTCAACTTGATCGAGGCCAGCCGCGCCGAGCACCCGGGCGTGCTCCGAGACGACGCGGACCAGGCGTGGTGGCAGGCCACGCGTGCCGCGATCTTGGCCAGCGGCGTGGCGCAGCACGAGCTCGAGCAGGTGTTTGAGAAGACCGCGGAGACCGTGTTCGACCAGGACAAGGCCGAGCTGCGGAAGGAGTACTACGACGCGGAGGGCGAGGTCAGCGAGTGGGGCCGGCTAGTGCGGAGCGTGCGCCGCGTGGAGAACTCGTGCCGACGCGGCTTCCGCATCAGCGACGCCAAGTTGCAGTTGTTCCGGGACGCCATGAAGCAGTACGAGGGCTCGCACAACTTCCACAACTTCACGTTGGGCAAGACCTACGGCGACCCGAGCGCGCAGCGGTTCATGAAGGGCACGTCTGTGCTGGCGCCGTTCATCATCGAGGGCTCGGAGTGGGTCTCCATCAAGATCCACGGCCAGCTGTTCATGCTCCACCAGATCCGCAAGATGGTGTGCATGGCGTCGCTCGTGGTGCGGACGGGGTGCCCCATCACGCGCATCAGCGACTGCTTCGGGCCGGCCAAGATCAACATTCCCAAGGCGCCCGCGTTGGGCTTGTTGCTTGAGTGCCCGGTGTACGAGACGTACAACGAGCGCTTGGCCGAGATGGGGTACAACCACCTCGAGTTCTCGGGCTACGAGACCGAGATGAACGCGTTCAAGATGAAGAACATCTACGACAAGATCTACGCGGAGGAGACCAAGGAGAACGTGTACCACGGCTTCTTCGAGTTCCTCGACACCTTCAAGGGCTCGGGCGCCACCAAGGAGGGCAGGCACATCTTCGACTTCTTGGGCGCGGTGTTCAACAACCAGATGGAGAACAAGGAGACCAAGAAGAGCTCTGCGCCGCCAAAGGCACCCGACAACGTGGACTAGCCGCCACGCGTGCCTCGCGCAATGTGCTGAGAAGCAAGTTGTTTATAGCTATGTCGCAACTAGGAAGAGGATGCTATATATTGGATATTGCCAATGGAATTTCGCTCATGCACAGCATAACTCAAATCCATGCCTGGTTGTTGCTGGGCCTGTGCCCGCGCTGGGGCGACCCTTCGTGGTCGTAGGACTGGTGGAACGTTGCGTCCGCAAAACGCCCACTGCCCAACTGGGCCACTTGCGACGCCAGATGCACGCCTGCCTTGTCGGGATGCCCGGGCCCGGCCAAAACGGTCATCTGTTGGACGGCCGAATTCATTTCAGAGCTCATCTTTGGGGGTGATGCGTGTATTTGGCTTTGCTGCTGGTGCTGTAGCTGCATCTGCTGGATCTGCTGCTGCTGGATCTGCTGCTGCTGGATCTGCTGGTGCTGGATCTGCTGGTGCTGGATCTGCTGATGCTGGATCTGCTGCTGCTGCGGCTGCATGTGTTGCAATTGAATTGGGGGCTTTTGTGCCGGATGGGCCTGGTGGGCCTGATGCTGCAGATGCGGGTGTTGTTGCAACTGTGGGACACCCTGGCTCTGCTCGGCTTGGCCCTCTCCCCCTTTGCCTTCCTCTTTCTGTTTATCCTGTTGGAACTTGTACAACGTCCAGTCAAAGACATAGTCATATCTGTAGTTTTCCCTCTTGAACAAGTCTCTGAACAAGTTTCTCAAGTATGCATAGTTTGGCTTATCTTCGAATCTCAAGTTCTTGACGTAGTTCATGTAGTCCAAGAACTTGTCGGGCAAGCCTTTGGTCAACACATCGTTTGGAATAGTCATCTTCTTCTCCATGATTTTGTCGTACTTTTGTCTCTTGGTGGCCGCCTTCAATCCTTGCCAAGGCAAGGATCCACGACAGAAGTAGATCAAGACGTACCCCAAAGACTCCAAGTCATCTCTTCTTGATTGCTCGATACCCAAGTGCGTGTTCACCGAGGCATATCTGGCAGTGCCAGTCAAGTTCTTGTTCTCCCTGTAAGGAATGTGCGCGTGGGTCCTTGGATCTCTGTACTTCTTGGCCAACCCGAAATCAATGACGTTTACTTGAGACCCGCGTCTGCCAGTTCCCATCAAGAAGTTATCGGGCTTGATATCCCTATGAATGAAGCAGCGTGCATGGATGTACTCTATTCTGCAGATGAGCTGGTCGGCTAAAAGCAAAACGGTTTTGTACGTGAACTTGCGGTTGCAGTAGTTGAATAGGTCCTCCAACGATGGGCCCAAGAGATCAATGACCATGGCGTTGTAATCACATTCAGTACCATACCAGCGAACAAACGGAATGCCAACACCACCGCTCAAAGCCTTGTAGACCTTGGCTTCATACTCCAACTGGGGGTGCTTGGCTTTCACATTCTCCAACTTGATAGCAATCTCTTCGCCCGAAATCACGTTTGTGCCCAAATAAATATCGCCGAAAGAGCCCGAGCCGATCTTTTTGCCGAGGCGGTACTTTTTGCCGACTCTCAAATCCATCATCTTTGCGTCAGTCTTTGAATGATGCGATGACGTAACGTTGTTCATTATACGATGGCCTGCGGAGAAGTGTTTGGGAGCGCCGCAGATGCAAGCTGAGGATCCAGATGGTGTTTATGAGTGACCTCTTGATCTCAGGAATTGGAAAGTGAATGCGTCGTATAATTATTCTCGCACTTTGTGATCAAGTGCTTCAGGGAGCCGTGACTCGAATGTTCAGAAGTATATTCTCTGAAAAAGGAGCGCTCTGATACTGGACGATGTATGAGAGTCTTATGAACTTAGTTTTTTTTTTTGCACGCCGTGGTTGTAGAAAGGCTGACTAAGACACAAGTAAAGGACAGCGGGTGAGAAAAGCTAGTCCAGGAACGATCAGGCTCGTGGAGGGTGAAACGAATATGAAACAGGGATAAGCACCGGGAGGGGCGTGGTTCTTATTGGTGTGTGATGTGCGCTCGACACTTCTTGAATACAAGTGTTGATGGCAAATGGCCGAAAATAAAATCCGAGTACAAAAAATGACCGGGATCCAGGCCAGATAAAGGGCAGAAAAACTGGCGGAGTGAAGATGGGCCCGCAGTGGGAGACTTTTGGTGTGCACACGTCCCCAGCAAAGTCGTACGCCGGCAGTTCCGCCCGCGCTCCTCACAGTCTGTCAGCAGGGCGAACTGATCAGCAAAAGGGGAGCGCGAGACAAGCCCCGGCAAACCAGAACAGAGTGGCGTGAGAAAAAAACGGCGGCCCTTTGCAGGGACGCGAGCACGTGACCAAGGGCTCCTGTATGGACCAGCTACTGTTTGGGCACATGTGTCCCGTAGTTGGGCCGAGGAATTATGGGGGCGCAATATCGGGTTTAATGGATACGGCGCGAGGCCCCCCGAATCTTTCTCTGCGCAGTGCGGTACGAACGGCCCACCAGGAACGGTGGAGACAAACCCAGCATTGAAGTGGGAGACATGCAAACAGAAATACACAACGACCAAAAAAGAGTGCCTAGGATATATACTTTTATTCATTTATGGGATGTGAATGCCACCTGCGCTTTTGCGATGGACGCTGGATAGGAAGCTGGACGGATAGCGCCGTATCTCGTTGCCCTTTGGCGTTCTCCGCACTCGCTCTTAGTAAGCACTAAGCGAGGGTTCAGCTTTCCAGGCCCAAGACAAGAGGCGCCCAGCGAGGCGCCCGTTTTGTTCCAGAAACAAAGGGAGAGTCCCCAGAGAAAGCAAGGGAAATGTATTCCGAAAAAAAAAGGAGTCTCCAGAGGTTTCAAGGGGAATGGATTCTGAAAATAGGAATGTATTCTGAAAAAAAGAATGGATTCTCATGAAAAAAGAATGTATTCTGAAAAAAAGGAATGTATATTGAATAATGGGAATTTTTTTTGGAAAGTGGAATCTTTGAAAAATTTCCTGTGGAACCCGTGGAATATATTGTGGGAAAATGGAATTCTCGTGAGAAAACAAAGAATATATCCCCTCAGAAAGGCATGAAGTATCTCAAGAGAAGATGAAAGTGTCCTGCAAAACGAGTCCAGATCTCCCAACAAAACAAACAACAATCACTTGAAAAACAAACGGAACAGTCCAAAAACCCACTCCAACAAACACTGCTTGCACAGTACAGACATCTTTGGGTACTCACAACTAAATCTGTGCACTTCACTGCGTGCTCAATTAATTTATTGCCTGTGCACCGATATCGGTACTCCCTGTGCACTGGTCTTTTGCCAGAAGCGCCGCTCGCGAAACGCGGCCCTAGATGCTAGAGCCGCTCCATCAAACTCAGCTGCTGGTGCGCCCCGCACTATGGGCAAGGCCAGGGTGCCCTGGTCTGACGGGGAGTGTATATTGTGCGCCGTTTCTAGCTGTGGCAGGACAGAGGCGGACTTGGGCATCGTCCAAAGTGCTGTCTGTTTCACGAACCGGGCCTCGGCACTACGGGTCTACGGGTCACCACTAATACAGTTTGTCGATGCTTGGGCAAAGTGGTAGCGGACTAATTAAGCATGCGCGCCACTTTGTCTGGCGGGCCTCGGGGCGACTGAAGGGACTCCATGACAACGTGTTGGATAATGCCTCTGGAAACTGCACACAGCCCAGGCTGGGGTCTGTTTTCTCAGAGAGCCTGGTCCCACCACTCTGGATTTCCCACTGATGTGTGTGCATTTTTGCAGCTCCTCTAATTTGCCGCATGTCTCCTCCAATGTTCGCAGGGCCCTGGGGCGGGCCGCGAGATCCAGGGACCCGGGACTCCCACGCACACACAGGGCGGGACGAGAAAAAATACACCAGCCAGTCCCACGCGGCGGTCCCCTTCTAGGCCCTATCTTGCGTGTGCACCCGGAACCACGTGAGGCCAGACCTGCCGGCGGCCCCGAACAAAGAAACCATGGGCACACCCACCAAAGTCGTGCACAGGCAAACCAACTACAATGGGGGTTTATTGTTCCCGGGCGGGCTTTCCCCTCCAGGCCCAGGCGCAGGGCCTGCCCTGCGATTGTTCGCGGTTCTGGTGTGCTATATTAATTGGCGCCGGTGGTGCGCGCGTGGTGCCCGCTGTTCTTTCCCCCATGGCCTGATGTGCGTGCGCCACCAAACAATATCAGGGTTTCGGAGTGTACTCTGCGGCGCGCGCTGCGCGCGCGCCTAATACAGTGTCTGCCTCGTGTTCGATTTCGGCCCGTTGTGCAACAGCACCTCTACGCACCACCAGCTACGTATTCGGATTATTATTAAGACAACCTGTGGAAGCGAGTTACACACACGTACTCAGAAGCCATGCTCTTCAGTGCGCCCCATATGGCTTTATTTGGCGGGCTCGACGGTCCCTGCAGTTTCGGCGACAGCCTCGGGCGCGGTGGCCGGATCAAGCAGAGCGTCGCGCGCGGCGTTGACTGCATCGACTGCACCTGCTTCAGTTGCAACAGCAGCATTATCGGTGCTGGTCTCAGCCTTGTCAGCGCCGGAGACTTCCACTTTCTTTGCGGTTTTGTCGGCGGACTTCTGCGCAGATTTCCCTGCTGGAACACCCACAGGTCTCCTGAATTTTTTCATGAACTTGTGGAATATCTCGCCCCGCCTGGCCTCGCCAGACGCGGTGGACGTGTTCGCTTTGCTCTTGGCTCGTTTGGAGAGGCTCCTCTTGATCGCGTTGCCTTCCTTAACTGGCTTCTTGCCGTCTTCAGCGGCAACCTCAGCAGCAGCCTCGGCAGCGGGCGCAGGGTTTGCAGCATCTGCCGCGGCGTCACGTGCACCCTCCCCCTTTGAAACGGCTGCGTTTTCATCCACATGTTCATTGCCAGTCACATCATCCAATGCAGCATCAATCGCGGCGTCAGCTTCGGGGGTAGCAGCCTTGGCGGTGCATGCCGCTTCGGCCGCTTCGGCCGCGTCTGGAACAGCCTTGGGCTCGGTGGTCGTTTTGACCTCTTCTTTGGCGCCAGCAGTGCTGCTCCCGTTTTCAGAAACACTCTCCTTGCAATCAGACGAGAAAACCCGGGAAGATCTCTTCAACTTGTCCTTGATCCCCATGACGTATATAATTCTCTAGCAAAACGACTGTGTTCGGTGGGACAGGCAACGATAAAAATAAATAGTGGTTTGATGAACAGTCTTCTGCACAGAACGTTGTCTTTTTCCAGGAGTTTTTTTTTCTCTGAGAAAATCGGGCCTGTCAAGCTATTTATATATTCCCGCCAGGGGACGCACACGATACGTTTTAGGTAGACGGGGAGCGCCTCCCCCTCCCACGTTTCAGCCGTTTCTTACTGCACACAATTATCCTGCGCATAGAAGCGAGCACCACCCTCTCTGTGTGAAAGATCTATAAGGCAAGTCCAAGCTAATTTCCGTTCACTTTGCTCCGCCGCGCGATGTCACTAGAGTTTTATGCCCATGTTGAAGCGGGTACCTTTTTTTGGACTTTCCGCCTACCCTGATGTGACGGATATGAAAGCTTGCACAACATTTCATGGCTGTGGGTGCGGCGACATCTGTGGATTCAGATCCGAGCCTTCACATTCGTTCTCTCTGAAAAGGCCATATTCGGCGAACATGCTCAGGTGTTTTTTCTTCGAGGCATACTTTGTTTTAAGTTCCTGATGAGGAGGGGCCGCGAATTCGGGGTGCTCTGGGCGGCGTCCAAAAACAAAACAAAACAAAACAAAACAAAGCAAAACAAAACAAAACAAAAATAATAATACAAGGCCCGGATCCGAAACCGCGACAGGAAAAGACACCGCAGCTGGGAACAAGCCACCCAAAAGGAGACCCCTGCATTGCAATTCCACTGACGTACCTGAGAAAAGCACAATGTCAAGTTTTGAACGGGTGGCGCGAGACCTTTTTTTTTGTTTGCCCAGAAAGAAGGCTTATCCACCAATTCGGCTCATAACTACAACGGTCCCCATCCTCGGATCATTCCAGTCATCGCCCCATAAAATGTGCTATTAGGCAGTCCTAGCTTGATGGCCGAGAATTTTCTATTGAACTTGCTTCGTTTAAAATGCATTATGCCAAGCAGCATTCACATCACCTCATCTACCATGCGTATTTGATCACCACAGCCTGTCATGAACTTATTGAATTTTTTTTTAAAAAAAACACAAACATGCCTCAATCGGATTTGAATTTTAAGCACAATGATGTGCCTGTTTTTGTTTGGCAAACAAGGCGAATCTCTGGGTTGGAAAAACTGAATGACTTGGAATCTTCTTGAAGGGCTCCGAGGTCGTGCGGTAAATGTTCACATCTTGAACAGATTACCAAAAACGCCAGAGGTATCACTTGGCAGAGCTTCGTTCCTCGGGAAGAGGTCCTATAATTACAGTCTTGGTACCAAGACCTTTCGACGTCTTCACATTTCTGAAGAAACTCAGACTGTGCTCGCCGTGCCTGGCGCTTACTGCGGTTATTTCGAATGTACATGTATTGTTTGTCGTTTTGATGCTTGTTTACCATGGCGTGCGCAAACCGTTTGCAGCCGGGCTCGCGGCCTGAGTCCTCTCAGGTGTTGTTTGGTATTTGGCGCCTGGGAAGGAATAGAAAAGATTGCAGAGAATTCTAATCTAACAATGCGTGAAATTCCAGTGAAAAAAAGGCACACAATCAGATGCACACCAGTCTAAAAGATGAAACAAAAGAGATTAAATCGCAATGAATACGAAACCAGGAACGTAACTAAGTTGGCTCTTTACAGTTCTCAGTGCAAGGGCGGAAAAAAGAATGGGCCCACTCGAAATAAGTTGCTACAATAGCACACAAAGCTCAGAAAATCGGTGGCCATGTCTTGAAACAAGTGTCAGAAAAAGGAAAATTGGCTTGACATCAATCCAGCTGCTTCATCGATTTTCATGCTTCTTTCTCATTCATCTGTCTGACTTTTAGGCCACCCCTGTTTCGAGTAAGCGTGAGTCTTGCATCGAACAGCTCATTTCGCGACCGGCTCCAGGTTTTTTTTTTTTCGCCTAATTGATTAGAAAGTGCCAGGCGAAATGAGTGACGAATGGACAGACGTGCCTTTGCAATTGACGAACAGCTATCTCCCTCAAAGCTATGACCTCAGTTTGAAAATTGACCATGCAAAGCCCAATTTCCAGGGCCAGCTCCGCATTCCGCTTGCCCAGAATAGATCATACACTGGCGATTCAGACTCTGCGTTTTCCTTCTCGTTGCATGCCCATAAATTAGTCATCACAAGTGCTGCTTTGACCACCAACGACAATGAGGACGAGAAATTGAAAATATCCTATGATCGTGCGCATCAGCGAGCTGTCTTCAGCAGCGAAAAAGTGCTTTCGGGCTCGCAGCTCTCCATCTCGTTTGTGGGTCTGATTACTTCAATCAAGACTTTCCACGACGAGACTTATGGCCTCTTTAAAACCAACTACTCTGACTCTGTGACTGGCAGATCAGACAACCATGTCATTGCCACGCACACACAGCCATTTGGGTGCCGGATGATTTTCCCCGTGGTTGACGAGTTAATCAGCAAAGTGCCCATCACTCTTTCTGTGACGGCAAAGTCACTGTTCAAGGTCGTATCCAATGCGCCTCTTGACTCGGTAAATGTGGTTGACATGACTGAGTATTCTGTGTTCAAGTTCAAACAGACTCCTCCTATTGCACCTTCTGTTTTTGGCTTTGTTGTCGGCGATCTTGAAAAGGTTGAATCCTCGGGCAGCCCGGTTCCTGTGCGGGCTTTTGTCACGAAAGGAGACCTGTCGTATGCCCTGTATGCTTTGAAAATAGCGACCCGTTTGCTCCCCGTATTTGAGAATGTGCTTGGTGTCAAGTACCCAATGGAGAAACTTGACATTGTCACGCTACCTTTCCTCAGCGATGCTGTAATGGAAAACTGGGGGATGATTACTGCTATCAAGGATACTGTTTACTTGGACGAATCTAGTGCACCCGCAGAAGCCAAAGCTCATGTCAGGCAATTGATTGCGCATCAATTGACTCATCAGTGGATTGGAAATTTGATTTCTGTTGACGAATGGAAATACACCTGGCTAATCGAGGCCTTCGCGACGTTCGTGGGAAACTACGTGTTATCAATTGCTGCCATTGAAGTGTCCGACAAATCTGACTATGACTCGTCGAAACTGGCGGCGCTTCAGGATTTCATGGATGCGGACTGCTTCATCAACCAGCTGATCCCCAGCTTTCATGAACATATGAACCTGTTGAAAGTGAATCAAAGCTCGAAGACAAGCACGATTTTTGAAAGAAACTTTTATGATAAAGGCATGATTCTTCTCAACATGATCGCAAGCTTGTTCAAGCTTGAAAGCACCGAGCAAGACTTCTCTAGTTTCTTCAAGGCCTTTGCACATGTGCTAATGAAATTCGAGCACAAAACAGTGAAGCCTTTTGAATTCTGGAATGTGTTGAACGAACACACGTCTTATGAGCTATTGACTTTCATTCACTCGTGGACCCGCTATACCGGATACCCTTACCTCAAGGTCAAACTTGTCACCAACAAGATTGTGGTCGAACAAAACAGATTTCTCTTTAACGAAAACGCGGAGGACTTACAGCTCGAAAACAACCCCTATCATGTGCCTTTGGCATTGAAAGTCAAGTCCGATAATGGTCAAGTTAGAGTGGCGAACTTGATGCTAACTGACAGATCCATGGAATTGGACATTCCTCCTGCTCAATTTTTGTCATTGAATGCCGATAATCAATTCTATTACAAGACCATCTATGCTCCTGAGCTTCAAGAAGTCATCTTGGAAAACGTCTTGTCTAACTCCTACTCATCCTTGGATTTGGTTGGAATGATCAAAGATTACGGGAAAGTTTTGGGCCAACCTCTTCCTAAACAAGACGCGGCATTGTTTGCGGAGAATCAACTTAGCTTTTTGATGAGACTTTGTGATCAATTAGCAAACGAGTCCCTGAACACTGACTTCGAAGTGCTCAAATGCGCTTTAGGCTACATTGAAATCATCAACGCAATATTCGTTCACTTCACAGAATACACCAAGTTCCAAAAGTGGCTCGATGCGCTTGCAGTAAAGCTATTCAAAAAGATAGCTTTCTGGGAAGACTCAGTTTTGTCTTTGGAATCGGGCGAGTACAACAAGGTCGAATTCGAAGTGAGAAACATTGTGCTTCAGCTTGCAATCAGGAACAAAGAAGCGCAAAATATATGCCGCAAGCTCTATAAGAACCTTATGAGTTCAGGTGTTACACAAAAATTCGTGCCAAAGGAATTGTATTCGCTGGTTTTCAATGTCACCATGGCCACTGCCAATATGACTGAATACAAGCAGATACTCTCCTTGGTCAAGAATGGAGACGTATCATTTTTGAAACACACCAACGGCACTGCCAGCGAGATCCAGACAGCTGCAGTATCCTCATTGTCTTTCTGTCAAAAGAAGGATCTATTAAGCAAAACCTTACATTTCGTCAACAACAACATTGACTCAAAGATGATTGAGTTGGCGTTGATCGGGTTTAAGTACAAGCCCGAGGCAGAATTCAAGCTGATAATCTGGACTTGGTATAAAACAAACTACGACGGATGGGTTAAACGGTCGTTGAGAAAAGGGTCTGATTGGTCGAAGCAGATTGGCATCACTGTTAGCAACATCACCCGCTTGGTCTTGGGTGAGGTCATGCAATACAAACGGGAAGAGGCTCTTCGGTTTGTGAGTGAGAAATGCAAGAGCTTGCCTCCACATCAACTTCAGGAAAAGTTCCTGGAAGTAGAGGCCGAAAACGACGAGAAAGTGCGCATTGCAGAGTACTACGACAAAATAATGTAAATAGCTCTTGGAAAAAATAGTAGTACGCTGCAAGTTTTCAGGGTGGAAAGTGTTGAGATTCAATGTTTTCTCTATAAATAAGCATGGGTAAGTTATCATACGCGAGTTTCCATGCGAGGGGATGGAGAGGTCTGGGCGCCATTAATTTCCTCCTCAACATCCAAGTTTTCCTGGATGTTCCAAAGGTCCGCGTAGAGAGAGTCTTCCTTTTCAAGGAGTTCATGGTGCGTACCTTCTTCCTGGACTTCACCCTTGTTCAAAACAATGATCTTGTCGCTGTCCGCGATAGTTCTGAGTCTGTGGGCGATCAGAATGTTTGTTGCTTTGCTTTCCTTGAACAATTGGCGGAGTGTGCGGAGCAAAGCCTGCTCGGTGTGGGTGTCCAAAGCACTTGTGGCCTCGTCGAAGAAGGTGATGGGCGCTTTCTTGAGAAGAAGGCGCGCTATGGCCAATCTCTGCTTTTCGCCGCCTGAAATCATCAAGCCTCTCTCGCCCACGATGGTGTCGAGGCCATCGGGCAAGTCTGCCACAAGCGGCTTGAGGCTGACTTTTTCGACCGCCGCCAGGACCTCTGCGTCAGAGGCGTCCAAGCGGCCATACCTGATATTCTCCTTGATGGTGTCGTTGAAAAGAGGGGTGTCTTGGGGCACGACGCCGACGGCCCGACGCAAGGACTCGAGAGTGACCTGAGAGATGTCCTGGCCGTCAATCAAGATACGGCCGGAGGAGACGTCGTAGAACCTGAACACGAGCTTCAAGATGGTGGACTTCCCCAGGCCCGAGGGCCCGACAATGGCAACCTTGTCGCCCGGCGGGATCACAAAGCTGGCATTCTTGAGGATAGGCCGGTCCGGGTGGTAGCCGAACGTCACGTTCTCGAAGGTGATGGTGCCAGGGCGGGTGGCGTCGAGCTGGAGCGGGAGCGCGCCCGCCTTGTCTTTGATCTGAACGTCGTGGTTCTGCAACTGGAAGAGATTCTCCATGTCCAAGAGCGACTGCTTGAGCTCGCGGTACACGGAGCCAAGGAAGTTGAGCGGCACCAGGAGCTGGAATACTAACTGGTTGATGAGCACGAGGTCACCGACACTGAGGGCGCCCGTGGCGACGCCGTGGCAGCCCATGTACATCATGCCCGTCAAGGCCAGGGTGAAGATGAGGTTTTGCCCCGCGTTCAAGTAGGCCAAAGAGGTGGCGACCTTGATGGACGCGTTCTGGTAGTGCGTGAGCGAGCGGTCGTACTTGGCGCACTGGTAGGCCTCGTTGTTGAAGTACTTGACGGCCTCGTAGTTGATCAAGGAGTCCAAGGCCACGGACGCAGCATCGTTGTCCGCGTTGTTGGCCTGGCGCCGGAACTGCGTCCGCCAGGCGGTGGTCTTGATGGTGAACACCGAGTACGCTGCCATGGTGAGGAAGGTCACTGCGGCGAACGACACGCCGTAGTTGTAGGTCAAGAGACTGCACACGATGCCGATCTCCACGGAGATCGGGATGATGTGGAACACCATTGCCAGGAGCACGTAGCTGATGCCCTTGGTGCCCCGCTCGATGGCGCGCGTGAGCCCGCCCGTCTGGCTCAGGAGGTGGAAATGGAGGTCCATGTTCAAGAGATGCCGGAACGTGTTGTTGGCGACCCGCTTGATTGCCAGCTGGGCCACCAGCGCAAACACGGCGTTGCGGAGCTCGCCGAAAAGCACGGAGCCGAAGCGCGCAGCGCCGTACGCCAACACCATCAGGCCGATCACGGTGCCCACGGTACCCGCCTGCGCCACCCAGTCCACATTCATCTGGTCCACGATGGACTTGAAGAAAAACGGCACCTGCACGTTGAGCACCTTCAGGCCCACGAGGAGGAGCAACGCCACGATGACGCGGAGCTTGAAGCTGGGCCTGTTCTTCGGCCAGAGCGTGGTCAAGAGCGACCGGAGCATGCGCGTCTCGGAGGTCAGGATCTGGCGGCCGAAAAGCGATTTGCCGGGCGCATTGCTTTTGCCGGCGCTCTCGATTTTTTCTGTGCGGGTGGCGTTTGTGTGTTCCGGCTGGGCGGCGTTTTCGGGCGTGGCCGTGGCGTCCGGTTTGGGCGTGGTTCCAGGCCCGTGTGTATCTTTTGTATGGGACGCCGGGCCCGGTTTTGCTTCATCAATGAGACGAGGCCCGCTGTCCTTGAAAACACGGCTTTGTGTACTGAGCGCCCGTTTTGCAGCTCCTGTTTTTGCCCACGATCCAATCGGATTTCCCAGCACAGAGTATCCCCGGATCGAGACAGGCGAGCCGCCGAGAGAGGGGGCATAGAATTTCGAGCAGGGGGCAAGGCCACGCGGCGAAAACGGCAACCGCGTGCGTGCAGTCAGCCGGAGAAAAGGCCACATGATGTGTATTGGCAAAGATCAGGAAAAAAGTGCTTTTCCCCAACGTTCACTAGCCGTTGATTAGCCGTATATGTTATCTCCATACGCGCCGGTGTGGCTCCGGTGGTCGCGTCACGTGATAAAGCGCACGGCTCTGGGTGCAGGATGCGACCAGCTCCGTGGGTGATTTCCCGGGAAATGACGATTCTCGGGTTTTGGCGCAGTCTATGCCGGATCCAGCATGGGGCTGGTTTTTGGTGATTATCGATTGGTAGAATTTGATTTAGTGGTGGTTTGGATATGTGGTTTGGATAGGGTTGAGTCAGGTTTGAATAGGGTTTAAATAGGGCTGATTAGGTTTGAATATGCGGTTTGATTTAGTGGTGCTTGATTAGATGTGCTCTTAGAATTGGCATTTTTGACTGACCACGGCTTTATGTGGTCGAACTTTTAGTTATTTATTATTGATTCTCAGTACTTTGACTTAATGATCATTCGATTGAGGGGTATTAGATTCAATAGCACTTTAATTTGGTGGTACTTGACTCAGAAGTACTTAACTTAGTAGAACTTGACTCAGTAGGACTTAACTCAGTAGTACTCATTTTAGTAGGACTTAGTAGTACTTGACTTAGTAGTACATGACTTAGCAGTATTTGACTTAGTAGTACTTGACTTAGCAGTATTTGACTTAGCAGTACTTGACTTAGCAGTATTTGACTCAGAAGTACTTAACTTAGTAGAACTTGACTCAGTAGTACTCATTTTAGTAGGACTTAGCAGTATTTGACTTAGCAGTATTTGACTTAGTAGTACTTGACTTAGCAGTATTTGACTTAGTAGTACTTGACTAAGTAGTATCAAAACAAGTAGTCCTTGACTCAGTAGTACTTGATTTATTTTGAAATGGTGTACGTCCGCTATTGGGTCGGAAAGTTGGCGGGTTGCGGTCAGCTGAATCAATGCTGTGCCATGAGGCCTCCAGGTTCCGCGGAACTTGTGACAATGACCAAGTTTCACTTTCAGCGTTTCCCTCGATGGTTTCGACAACACATATGACTAAGAACCTGAACAGCCGCAATTCTCTTACTGGCTATCCCGTGTTTCTAGTCTCAGGCTGAAGCTAGCATTCAAAATCCCAGCAATAAGTCAGCGCACCGTATTTGTCAGTATAATTCTGGAAATCGAACCGCCACACACTCCATGCAGTACAAACGCTGAGTAACCTCACAATTGAGGCTGCGAAGATATTTAGACAATCCGAAGGAAAAGCATGACTTGCAACGGGATGCAGAATCTTGCTACGGCCCCTAATTACTCTTCGATTCGTATCGTGCCTCAATAGATGACATGAATTTCTCATAACACATACAAGGGTATAGTGATTATGACCCGAGTCTTGACTGCCAAAGATGTAAAAACTGATCAGAGCTTCGCTTTCTTTTGACAACTTCTTTTACGCTCGCCTTTTGACATCTGTATTATGTCCACGGACACATGCTTGCAACAATCACGACACAAATTTCCAAATCTCAAATTGCAGAGCCAAAAATGCAAAAAACCAACTCAAGACAAAAATAAATGCGCAAGCCCGGAATCGAACCGGGGGCCCAACGATGGCAACGTTGGATTTTACCACTAAACCACTTGCGCTTTGTTGTAGACCATATTATGAAACAGCCTTGAGTTGTCTCTTAAACTACGAGTAGATCGGTTTATAGATAGTTCAGCCTTAGTGGATAGGCCTAGTCTATCTGTCGTATTCTCGATGTCTAAAAAGTGTTGTCCTTCTTCAGGGATGTCTCAGCCTCACGCCCCTTTATAGTTCGGAACCATTCTATACAGTAGGTGAGGGGTAACCCCGATCAGGAATGTTTAGACTCTTCGTCCTTCGTATTATACAGGATGACGAGAATCTATAATCTTGTTCATGTCGTATCATAACAGACCAGAAATGCCCGTTGCAAAGATGAAGAGTAGGCGACAATCTCGTGATACTCCTGTTGTGTTTACACCAGAGAAGTAATGAGCAGCAGGAAGTAAACTCCTTGAATCCTTTACAGACAAATCGTTGGCGATGGTACGTCTGTCAATTTCAACACTACAGAGGAGATTAGAATTGTCTTTGCATAAAGATGACACGCTATACAAAGAGATTTACCATTTCTTCCTTTTTTTTTAGAAAAAAATCTTCTTCGACATTCCATGAAACCTTACTTGGTTTGTTGAAGTCGTTTGCAGGGTTTACTTGCTAAGGGACCAGGATGCAAAGACAAAGGTACGTCATGTCTTGCCGCTTTAAAAAAAATAAAATGAACTATGGTCACGGGCCCTTCGGAAAATACATCATATGGGACGATGGGTTTTATTCAAGTGGCTGACATTGGTTACGGACGGAAGTCTCTTTTTTGGGAGACTTTGTAAATTTGTGCTCGCGCATTATCACCTAAGCCAATGTTGCGATCTATTTTAGGTTTTCATGATAGTTTTTCGTTAGAGGTGGAGTTTTAAATCCCTCCAGTGGCAGCCTATATAATATGTTTCTTTAAAAGAAATAGGTACATGTCGGAAAACTGTTTGGAAGCTTTTCATAAATTATTGTATACTTTTGTTCCTTTTATCAAAATAATCTCCCAGAACAAATGTGTGTTGTATGTCTTTCTCAAAAGTATTTCAAAAGTATAGCTGTCTCATTAATCAACCTGGACATATTTTTTGTTGCATACAAAGTCGCAACTTACAACTTTAGCACTTTCTTTTATTACTTGGATCCCACTCATTTATTTATGGGAGAAACAGTCCAGGAATTTAAAAGTACACATACTTTCCAACCACATCAATCGGGTCGATTTTGATTTATCTACTTCCCTAGAAAGCCACTCATTTATGTGTTTTACGAAGATAGCGTTAAATACAGATATTGATTCACATTAGAAAGACCATGGTTCCGGGGCAAAACTTTTACACCTATAAATTGTCTTGAAAGTTGCCCCAACTTCAAAGTAAAGCATTCTTTTCGATGGGTGAACGATCCAGTACAATTGCAATCTGATTCAGATCTTTCGATGCGACGTTTTGACCAAGATTGGACCGACAACTGTTATTACACCCTGATGCTTTGTTCTTCTTTCCTTATCGAAAACCTTCATTTATTCGTGTATAAGATTTTTTTTATAAGATATGGAGCTAATATATATGTGCATTTAGTTCGACGAGTTGATCTTAGAACTCATCTCGGCCTGTTTCACCAAACTGATTGGGGCGTCCATTCTGGGCAACATGACCTCGACCATTCTGATCTTGGAATTTTCGTTGAAAGCCGCATCACTAAACAACCTGTTGATCTCGTCGACCGTGGAGACACGAATGGCTTCGTAGTTCTTTGCACCAAAGACAGGGAGCAATTGCAAGTTTTGCCATGGCTGGATGTCGTTGTACGAGGCGGTCTCACCGTGAATCAACCTCTCAATCGTGTACCCGTCGTTGTTCAACACAAACAAGTATGGCGTGGTCTCCCACTTGCACATGGTGGAGATCTCTTGGACAGTCAACTGCAAGGACCCGTCACCGACAAACAAGATGACTCTCTTCTTTGGGTCAATTTCCTGTGCAGCCATGACAGCTCCAAGCGTGGCACCGACAGTGAAGCCGATGGAGCCCCACAAGACCTGCGAGATTCCAATGGTGTCATTGGGGAACCTGGACTGCACGATACCAAAGGCAGAGGTACCAGTCTCTGTGATAATAATGTCACCTTCTCTGAACCATGATGACACTCTGGACCACAACCACTCCTGACTGATGGCACTGTCGCCATCGAGGTATTCGGTCTTGGGTGCGGGAGGCACAGCAACCTCCTTGTAGTGGGTCACATGATTGGCAACCACGTCCAACAAGGCTGCCAATGCTTCCTTCATCTGCACGCCGGGGAACGTGGCTTGTCTGATTTTGGTGTAATCAGAGTGGAACTCGATGATGTTCTTGGTCTTGTAGGAATAGGAGAAAGAGCCGGTGTTGAAGTCGGACAACATGGCGCCCACGGACAAGACCAAATCAGCCGATTCCACAGCCTCTTTGACTGTGGGCTCCGAGAGCGAGCCGACATACACACCACCAAAACGGGGGTCGGATTCATTGACCGAGGATTTGCCCATCGGGGTGGTGAACACAGGGAAGTTGGTCTTTCTGACCAATTGCTCCACCTCTTTCTTGCAGCTGTGTCTGGATGCACAAGCGTCGACCAAGATCACGGGGTTCGAGGCCAGCTCGATCAACTTGAGGACTGTCTCGATGACCTCTGCCTGTGCGTCGGCGTCGTTAGGCTTCAAGGACAAGTCGATTGGAGTGTGCAATAACGAGGCCGGCACATTCAAGTCCACCAAATTGGCAGGCAAGCCCAAATACACGGGCCTTTGGTGCACGTAGGCCTCTCTGATACAACGGTCGATTTCAGCAGGGGCAGAGCTGATGTCCGAAATGAACGACGTTGTCTGGGAGATATTGTTCGACATTCTGTGGAACACGGTGAAGTCGCCGTTTCCCAAGGTGTGGTGCAACAACAACTGCTTCGCCTGAGAAGAGATGGAAGGCACACCAACGACGTGCAACAAGCCCACGTGTTCGGCGTACGCTCCACCGATTCCATTCAAAGCGGACAACTCTCCAACGCCGAAAGTGGTGACAATGACACCCAAGCCTTTGACCCGCGAGTACCCGTCGGCGGCATATGCAGCATTTAACTCATTGGCATTACCGGCCCATCTCAAGCCGTCGACTTCGTACACTTTGTCGAGGAGCGACAAGTTGAAGTCTCCGGGGACTCCAAAAATGGTCTGCACCTTAAGCTGGTTTAATCTCTCGAAGAGATATCTTCCCAAGGTAATTTCCGACATGGCAGTGATGAGTGTTTATGATAAGATTGTATGTTCGTCAGTAAAACGAGCACTTGATGATCTTCGGCAAATCCAGGGGGAGCGTGGGCACGCGGCGTAATTTATATGAGCTCTGATTAGGTTGTGCGCCCTCGCGGTGGTACGATACTGCAAGTGTAAGCGCATATCCTACAGCAATCTTTTGTGCGGCTCGCTCGGTGTTAGCGCATACTCAGCAGGCTGCCGCAGGAGAAACCCGGGTGTATCTGCAGGACTGGATGTTTGTGTCCCGGCGGCTGTCCGATCTTGGGATTCACCGTCAGCAAATCAGACTGTGTCACTGGACTGTGTCGCCGCCCTATCAACAATTGACCAAGTGGGCCAAGAAAGTTGTGAAGCCGAATTCATTCATGGTGCCCAGAAATTTCCTGGCACTGTCGAGTACTAAAGACACCCGAAAAATGAAATAGATACACGTTGGAGCGAGAACATCCAACCGACTGGGCTCCTATATCTTTGCGGCCTGTATGTACTCTTCATGAATAAGGTTCCCTATTTAGACTTCGCTCTACATTGGGAGCGTGCATACTTGAGGAATTTTGATGCTGAATAATATCGCACTTTTCAGCGTCATGCTTCACAGGCATGAGGTTTCCTCATTCATGAACTCGAGCGTATTGAATGACCAGAGACCTGGGTGCTTATTCACACGCCGGGAATAATATGCGCTTACAAGTGCGCGAATTACTCGTGAATGACCTACTGGGCAATCCGCGCACTGTCTCCATGCGTGGCGCGCTTATTATATGGAAATTGCTCCGAAGCTCGTATGCTTGTCTCAGAGCTTATGAGGCACTATTTTTGGAGCCCCTGAAAGACATTTCTCTCCACGGATTCTCCTTTATTCGAAGGCCTTCACCAAAGCCTCTTGATCCAGAAATATTGTGTAAATGTTTTTCAGGGCCACTGCTTGGAGCGAAGCGACACGACAAAACAACACCTGGGTCATGGTCGATGGCGGCCCATGTGAACAAATCCTGACAGTATCAAATGTATTGGGGGCAAAGATATTACTTTGTGCAAATTAGGGTACTGCGAGCGTGCGATGTATATTGATGGATATCCAGGAGTGCGATGTATATTGATGGATATCCAGGAGTGCGATGTACATTGATCCCCACTATTGGAACCTGTAATACCGAGGGTTTCGGTGGTTGCAGTCTTAATGATCTCTTTTTTGCTTGCGTGCAACGAACTGGTGTTTGCGGGAGACTTAGAGCCTCGGGCGGATAAAAGCCGACCGCCGCAAGTCAACTCAGCTTGTGAGGCAAGTGGAATCATCAATTCCTGCATTTCTATAGTGTGGACCAGTATTTCCAAAGCAAATGCTACAAGAGCATTCAAGTCGTTGCACGTACGATGAAACTCGTCAACAGTGCTGAACCAGCTAAGTTGATTCTGGTTCTCCTAGCAGGTATAACCACGAGGTCTACCCCACGTAAAAGACGAGATCAGTCAAATCAAGCAGTATTCGAAGTCTGCCTATACGGCAAGAACTGGTTGATATTCGTAAAGCCTACTTGAGTGATGAACAATAGGCCACAGAGCATTTGAAACACCCATGAACCTTAATTTAATTTGTGCATGATTGGTGTTTCTGCAGTCATTAAAAAGCAGCAAGGCACGAATGGGTTGTTCCTCACTTTGATCGCATGTGTGTTAAGTCTCTTCTCTGCCTTAACTCGTGTAGCAAAAACAGAAGATCGAGCCTTTCGAAGTCGACTTGACTTTCTACATGTGAACACGGAACTTTGAATACTGTGAGAATTGACAAGACATCCGAGTAGACATTCCTCCAAGTTGATGATGTATGGATGTTTTCCTCTGTTAGAGGTTTTAAGTGTCCCACCGTTTGGATGTGGTCGTGCCGTGTACCCTGGTGACCATCGATTGATAATGGCGGATGTTCTAATACACCAGGGGAACAGAACTACGAGCAGAAGGATGCTCTCCACGTTAGATCAAATTTCGAAATTGATCAAAAAATCGCTGGTAATTTTTCCGCAACCCACCGACACACCAATAGGCGCAGTCCTGATCGTCTGAACATGGAATATTGCCCAACCCTGAAACTAGAATTCTTCCGGTATGCGCGGCATTGCTGATAAGCCACAAGATGCGAAAACCATTCACGACCCGAAAACAAGATCTAACCTAGCGGGCAAAATTCGATGCGGGTCGTCATCCAAAAGGTCAAGCGTGCGTCGGTATCGGTAGACGACATTCTCGTGTCGCTGATTGGCCGAGGACTTATGCTTTTGGTGGGCATTTCCACAGAAGATACCAGTGACGATGTGGCCAAGCTTGTGAAGAAAGTCGCCAGTCTCCGCTTGTTCGAGGACTTCTCTGATCCACCACCAGAACAGGCCAAGTGGTACGGCAAGCCGTGGGCGAAAAGCTTGGCCCATGACCGTGAGCTCAGCGTTCTTTCTGTATCTCAGTTCACGCTATACGGCACGATCCGCAAAGGCACGAAGCCCGACTTTCATAAAGCTGCAAAAGGCGGAAGCGCTCGTCCATTGTATGAGGAGTTTTTGGCAAACCTCAGGAAAGAGCTTGGGGATGAAAACCGAGTGAAGGACGGCAAGTTCGGCGAGATGATGGACGTGGAGTTGGTCAACGATGGGCCCGTGACCATCGTCTGGGACACGCGAGAGAACACAATATAAATACAATCTAGAGATATAGTAAAGCCAATAGACACCATCCACGGCCAGAACTACATAATCACTGCAAAAATCTAGAGGTGTGCCCTTTCAGGCTGAATCTACGGTGATGCGTAGTTTGTATAGAACAGGTGCCTGCGAAGAGCCAGCTAGAAACATCGCATGCTCTTGGGCACTAGGATTCTAGTTGCTGGATGTGACGAACATGTAGAAGACTAATGACAGAGATTGCCATTTATATTTTCAAGTACGGTGTAGAGGAATAAATAATAATCGTGATTTGACTTTTTATTTTGGGTGGGACAGTATTTCTTGAAGCTGGGTATGTTATTAACTTAAGACGCATTTCGCGACATTTTAATCAAAGCACAATAGCGTTGACAATTGGTCAATTTTTCTTTTCGCACATATTGCCCCACAGCTCGTTGCAAGCTGTTATTATCGAGATAGCGATTGGTAATTCATTGAAAGCAAACCCTAAAAGTTGAGTAAGGGCATGAAGACTTTTGTTGAACGCATCCACTGGCCGAGAGCGCATCCATTGACCGGACTGTCAGCGTGCATATAGTGGTACCGCTTATTCCGGACAATCTGTGAAAACGGTTTTCACCAGTGCGAGTAAATATGTTTTATACTTCACAGGTCTGTGATGATCGTAAGCAGCCCGAAGTATTAAATAATGCTGAAATAAATGAAATTTATAATACGGACACATGTCAAGGAATGAAGATTTGGGAAATGTAGGGGGAGGGGAGGAAACAGCCAAAAACGCCTGAGCCGTATATTAAAAGCCCTTCTCAGAACTCCGAAAATAAGGCGCGACCATTGGGCTTAATTCTGTTGATTGGAAATTAGAGAAGAGTCGTGTATTTGCGACTCTGAGAGATGACCAGCAAGCCAGGAAATAGTCTACACTGGCTGGGGCATTTTTGGCCCAAAGCATCAATTCGAGAAATCATACCGCAAACTACAAAGAAAACACGGAACAATATGGACAAGAAGATGAGGACAACATGGCATGCTTCATACAGTCAGAGATATCAGACACGTGACTAAAGGAAATCCCATTTTATGCAGTCTCACCAAGAACTGACATGCTTTTCACTTATGCAATCAAGAATTAGTATTCGGTTTCCTGCGCCTTGAAAAGAGGCCCGGTCAAGTTCAGATAGATGTATGTGCAAACCAGTAGGCACCGCGGCCATCGCTGAAAGCGGAAGGAGCTCCGGGTCGGGCGCCGGGTAACCCCAGCATTTCGCGACATCACGCGGAAAACATGTGAACGCTGTCTCGTGACTTGTCGATACCCCCGTCTCTGCCCAAATCACGTTTTTGAAATCACGTTTTCGGCATCACGTTATCACCATAAACAAAACATCTGCAGCAGGTATTTTGCAACACGTCCCCGCAAACACGCCCACACACCCAAGCTCCGGAAAACAAAACGAAACACGAACCAAAGCCTAAACGCCCTCTGTTACTGTTTCAAAAAAAGCGACCGCCCACCCCCTTTTTGTGTCTGCCCCCCAAAAAAAAAGCAAAACACACCACCTCATTTTTCTGCGGCACGTGAACATGGTTGAGAAAAGAGAAAGCCCCGCGTACGGCGACCACCACTCAAAGAAAGTCAAGCTCGGCGACAGCAAAAAAGACGACATTGCCATCGACTCCGAGTTGTTGGGCGACCAGTCTTCGTACAGTGCAGGATCAGGCACGGGCACTGAAAACAACAAACACGACGAGGATGACGAGGACGCAGCCGTAGCCGCCGCCGCGTCCTTGGTTTCTGACGCTGAAACTGCCAACGCCGCTGCCGCTGCATTGAGCCACCAGCAGCCACACTACCACCACCACCATCACCTGCAGCTGCACCAGCAACAGCAACAACAGTTGCACCAGAAATTAGCGTACGAGAGCCACTATAGCCAGCAATTGCACGCGGCCTCTGCCGTCAATGCCGCGCAGCAGCACCACAGGTCCGACAACACGATCTTGCAGCCCACCACATTGCCACAGCAAAACAGCGGAAACAAACCGTCTCATGGCTCTGAGGAGTGGCACCGCGCGAGACGCGAGAACCACAAGGAAGTCGAGCGCCGAAGAAGAGACTCGATCAACCAGGGTATCAAGGAGTTGGCTCAGTTGATTCCTTCTCCAGACACGAATAAGGCACAGATCTTGCAGAGAGGCATTGAGTACATCAGACGCTTGAAGGAGAACGAGAATAACAACATCGAGAAGTGGACGTTGGAGAAGTTGTTGACCGAGCAGGCCGTCAGCGAACTCAATGCGTCTAACGAGAAGTTGAAGTCCGAGTTGGAGAAGGCGTATCGCGAGATTGAGCTTTTGAGGAGAGAGCTTGAGAAGAAGTGAGGTTGCTCGCCCCACCAGACACTGGCCGGGCCAACGGGGCCCGCGCCTCGTGATGTACATCACTCCGTTCCACTTACTTTTGTATATTAGTTCTGTTGTTAGATAATACTAATGTTGTGCCATTAGGCTATGCCCAATATTTAGAGTTCTATGCTGTCCGTTGCTGTTCTCGGAGCCATTCGAGAAAGTCCAATGAGTCTAGTAGATGCCTGTGCTGCCTCCAAGTACAACTTGATTGCGGTGAAGAAGGTGCCTGAAAATCAGCGCAGGCCAGACCGTTTTCAATAGAACTAGAAAATTCTCGCATCACTCACGAGATGTCAAGAGGCATTCGAGCATCTAAAATGCAACTGCGTCTATAGGCGCCGTAACTTCTTCAGCCTCTGCGTTTTTATTCTCTTCTTTCAGCTGGCTAGATGTATCAGCTTTCAGCTTTCTCAGCGTTCTCAGCGTTCTCCCGCTCCATCTTGTCTTGGAACTCCTGGAACTTGGCGACCCTCGCCTCAAAGGTGATGAAGTCTCTGTTGGCACGGTACAAGGACGGCTCATACATCAAAGGCTTAAAGTCAGGAGCATTCTCAACAATGTCCTGAGTCGTTTTCCCGAATAGAAGCCGCGTGATTTCTGTCTCGTGCATAGAGGTCATATCACGGGTCAGAATATATGTAATGAGCAAGTCGTCTGCAAGCAAAAGGTCAAGGAAATCCTCGTCCTTGAGCCCCAACAAGATCTTGATCTCGTTGTTGGTCAATTTTCCGCTTGTCTTTGGGATGTCGAGCACCTCGTGACTGTCAGCCGGTGCCAGATAAAAGGCTTTCCACTCTTCCTTGTGGCGGGTGAAAAAGCGCAACAAGTCCTGGTGGATCCAGAGCTTCAACCGTGGAATGAAAAGATGGCCCAGGAAAAAGTTCTGAATCATGCCCATGCCGGTATACTCGATGGTGAGGATATCGGAGTACCTCTTGGGCACGTAGGCCACCTCGCCCTCGACAAACGTTTTCACCAACGGCGAGAGCTCGGTGAGACTCAAGAAGTGCTTGTTTCTGCAGTTGTAGACCTGCAACAAGTTGTTGACTTCGGCAGAGGGATGGTCGTCCTTTTGGTAGTCCTTGGGTAGCGTGTCATGGTAGCGCTCCGGGCTTGGGTCTGATGACACAGCCAAGCCGGTGATATCAATGTACAACCCCGAGTCGACGTCGATGAACCGGGCATCGATGTTGTTGTTTCCGTTGTTGCGGTTTCGCGTGGTGATGAAAGTACCGGAGTCCAAGAAATACCGGCCAAAGCCGTCCTCGCCATCCTCCACGATCAACGACTGATTGAACTTCAAGCTCAATTTGTGCAAGCTCATGACCGGCATCTGCACATCGATGTCGTTGTCCCAGGGAAACGCCACGCCGTTCCAATACCACGACAAGAGCGAGCCGTGCGCCATCCACGTGGTGATGCCCTGTTTCCGGGTGAACGAGAGCCACGTGCGCACCAACCTGTGCAAGGTGTTGGCCTGCTCCTGCGAGCCGAGCTTGAAGCCGCGGAAAAACCGCCAGTCGTAGTGGTCTCCCAACTTGGTGTCGAAGATGCGTGCCTCGCGAAAGTATTTGGAGGGGTTGTCCTTCATCTCCACGGAATACTCGACCGACTCGAGGTAGCTGAGTTCCTGGCTGTCGATGGTGCCGGAGCTGCGTTTTTCCTCCAATTCCTTCAAGACTTGGGATGGCTCGTAGACAAAATCCTCGTGCTTCAAGTGTACTTCATATTCGCGGAACACATCGCTCACCAGAGGGGGAACTGCCGCCTGGAGCTGTCGGAACTCCTTCAAGGTGTTGATTTCCATGCTCATGTCGTTGGCGTGCATGTACTCGGCCACCATTTTGTTTTCGAGCATTCTGGAGGGGTCTCGGGCAAGCGGCACCGAGTACGAGCCTTCTTTGGTGAGAAAAATCACCGAGGAAGGGTTTGGCGCCAGCGTGTGGAGGTAGGCTTTCCCGAGCAAGATGACGAGCTCGTCCGTCGTGCGGCCGCAGTACTTGTCGATCACAAACCCCAAGCCGTTGCTCTCCACATCGCCCGCCTTGCGGCAGAAAGTCTCCGGGTCAAAAACCTCTTTGCGACGCTCGTCTTCCTTATCTGGCCACTTTGCTTCATGGTATTGCCTCATGTCAAAGTTGGAGCAGCTGAATTTGTCCTTGTTCAGGGAGAAAAAGTGCTTGTTCAAAGGCGTCATGTCGACCCAGTCCGACCAATGGAAAGGCATCTCGCCTTTCTCAAGAATCTCGGGGTGCCGAGAAAGATAGCTGTAGTATACGGCCAAGGTGAACCTCGGATCAAATGGCATAGTGACGGGCCTAGCCGACACCGGCTGGGCAAACCAATGCGGGACGGTCAAATGGGTTTGCTCGATGGTGAGCTCCGTGTCGATGGGCCAGTACTTGTCCTCTGGGTCCGCTCTCTGTTTGTGCTCCAAAATCTGCGTCACTTTTTCGTTGAATAAGGAGTGGACTGTCGGGTCCTTGTTTTGAGTGCTGAAAAGCGACAACGATAGAGAGTCGATATAGTTCAAGCTTTTGTTCACCGCATGCGAATGTTTCAGAAGCAGCGTCAAGATAAGCATAAACAAAAGCGCAATGACCACTGATACTTGTATGTACCGCCTTCGTATTGTGATCACCATGTTGCGCTTAGCTTTCGGAGTATGTAGTCACGATGGTCTCTAAGAAAAATCAAGAAGGGCAGAGACCGAGCCAGTGGACTATATATTCTCTGTTGGGGGCGGAAGAGGAGAGGTAAAGAAAGACAACAAAGATGTCGTGACAACCAGGTAGTCGGGCCTGCTTAGTGAAATGCCAGACTCTCGAACTCCAATTTCCAGGTGGAAATCGAGCTAGTGATACTGCGCAAGAGAGTCCAAAAAGAGGGCAGGCCGACGCGGTGCAGATCACTTGGCCGAGAGAGGAAAGGGAGATTGGAAAAAAAAAGGTAGGCGCCCCACGAGAGATGATTAGCACAGTGAAGGAAACGGAAAGAGCGTGGGGCTCCGGGGTATTCCTTTAAAAAATAAGCATGGACTGGCCAGAGTTGTCCTGCGTATCGTTTGCATACTGAGCCATACCTGTATGGAAAATCCTATTGTAGGATTTTTTGGCCACAAGAGGTCTTCGGCCGGAGCAGCACCAGAGAATAAAAGCGGGCAATGCTAGAAACCAATATGGTTTAGCAAATTACAGGAGGGGTGAGACAACTCTTCTGTTTGGAAGAATATTAAATGAGCAGCTTCATGGGCAAACTCGAGGTACATGAGGTAACTGTAAGCATTCCACGCATGCAGTCGCGAGGCCGCGAAGAACACGAGCTCCCTAAAAAAAATGCCATGTATACAAGACACAGTATGTATGTGCAGGTCTGTATTCAACAGAGCCGCATGAGGCGGTTCAGGTACCCAAACACTGGCGGCCACTATGCAAATGCTCTAGTTGCTTCAGTCCGAGCATGTTTTTGCTTATTTTGTTATCAAACAGAGGTTGGAAAGGCTCGTTTCAAGTACTGTATACTTATATCCAATTGTGGAAGAATTATGCGGCTTGGTGAGGGTGTCTTATTCGCGCATCCGGCCTCAGGCGCATTACAGTATGAATCGGAAAGAGGAAGGACCAGAGCCGTCTAGATTTGAACGATAGAGAAATTTGTTTGTATTCTCGCCTTGGGGTTTGGCAAGCGGTGATAAAGAAGTTGAGAGTCACTTTTTCCCAGACTATGACTTTGCGATAAAGAAGCTTGCTGCAAATCACACTTGACAATACGAGCAGGCATGTGATTGACCAGTACTAACGGACTTCATACCGACTCCAAAGAAACCAAACAGATGTTAGACGAGGATTCTGGGCAAAATTCCCGGCCCAGACTTGAGCGTGGGTTTTTGGTAGCCACTAAGTTCATGTGAGGCTTGAATCAAACATCGTTACGAACCTTGGAGTATTGATTCGCACGCTACTAGGCCTCACCGGGAATAAAATTTCACGTCTTGAAATAAAGCGTCTCTGAAAGCAAGGGCTTTTTTCATTTGTTTCTTTAAGACCAAGAGCAATATTTGCTCTGCACATTCTGATGCCAAGAGCAGGAAGAGCGACGTGTAGAAATTGTAAACACTTATTGCCTCAACGGTGGCTACTCCATCGAAAACGGTTGCGACACTTTGTCAATATTTAGTTCCGTGATTTTTACGCTCTGCTTGATTTTAGATTTTGATTGTTAATTAAATATAACCCCAAGCTTTCAACTTAAATATGTCAAGTGAGTCAGAGTGCTGCATGATGTCAACGAACCGAAAATGGCGAGATATCATATTTCCGTTCGAGAGGGTTTTGCTTGTGTTTTCCCTTTGGAGTTTACATCCTTAGGGGTCTACCACTACAGGCATTGAACATCATACAAAACTTGAATAGTGGCTCATCATGCATTCAAGAGAAAAGGCTTGCATGCGAGGTTCAAATTATGTCTACTGGTGGCATTGTCTTTTCACCAAGCTGCCGTCTACTGGAGTCAAAATTTTGTGATAAAACACAGCCGCGAAGAGCAAGATTGTACGTATCTTCCGTAAAATTTCAGCTTGGTAAAATGCTTTTCGTAATGAAAAATGTGTGTTCTAGCCTAGTGGCGAAACTGTGGTCTTGCATATCTTGGTGACACCAACCGCTACCCGAATACAAATGAAGTTTTCGTTAAGAGAAATGAAGTTGATCAGAGCTGAAGCTCCCCGATTTTTATAGACAATGTTTATGGGGTTGGGTTAGGGATGTTCCATTCCATTCGATCAAGTCACTGACGATGCTTCGACCACCTCTGATCATCCTTCAAAATGTGTCTGGTTTTGCATTTAAACGATCACATATAGTCTGTTGTATTATGTGATTTCTTACATACTTCAAGGCGTTCTGCATAAGGAGAAGATTTAACAATCTTGCGCTGAGGTAACAGAATTTTTGTCTACCAATACTATACCTTTATCAATATACACTCTTAACGGTCTGAAAGAGCTCAAACATGAGTATGAATTGTCAAAGTGCTACACGGTTTCGTGTCTATTGTTCAGAGAAAAATATTTCGGCGATGTATTCTAAGAGTCTTGCTTGTTTAACAGCTGAGCCAATATAATTCAACAATCCGAACAATGCCACTTACATCTTTCGATATAGATTTGATGAAGCCATATTCCCCTCAAAATCAATTTTGAAACTGCCAAGCACACCTGAAATGACTTACCACACAGTCACTTTATGATTCGGGCCCAAATATTTGTATATACTACAGATTCTGCTTTATTATATTATCGTTGATTAGACTGAAACAGCATCGTACCTGTTATTTTAATGTTTCGAATATTGTCATCGGGAATGAACAACGAGGATGCAGAAAAAACACGTGAATGAGATGAGCCTTGGTGGGAATGATCAGATTTGAGCTGTATTTGGGTGAAAACAGCTCGTTGTATTCGAGAATTTATACTAGTGCTCGTTGACCGCAAGAGTACAGAACTTACTTGAGCACCTTTATAGTGCCCCACAATTTTGCCTGATTCGAACCTGCCTATAGCCTTAAAGACTTGTAATTAATCAGAGATAAAACGTCCCACAGACATTTGAGTCATAGAGTGAATCAATGTGAGGTGCCAGAACCTCATATGAGTTTACAACTATGGAGCATGCTTGTATTCGGGGTCGCCTTATTTTCCTTGCACCGAGGCATATAGTCGATACAGCAGAGTGCTAATTGATTTGGAGTAATGAAAAAGTGCTCAAGTTGGTATTGCCAATGAAAATCCTCCTCTATGCAATTGATCATACCAATCTTACACTAAGTCAACATTCGAGATTATTGAAGTAGTTTTATGCACTGGAGATTATGGTGCATTGTTAATGCTGCAGCTTGATATCAGAAGTGTATCTAGTTTATGAAACCATGATACCAAAAAGTTCCCACATATTGGTGCGTCCAGCATGAGGCAGAAACCAGTAATCGTCGCAGATTTAATTGGCATGGAAAAGACCGCAAACCCCTTAGGTCTCTGTGTTCTTTTGTTCACCTCCTTAGTATAAGATTCGTTTCCTTAGAAAAGACATGTGCAGCCCGGATCGCTTATCAATTTTTTATGCGATTGATTGTGGGGTATTTTTTAAAGTTAAAGGGTTCATCAATTCCGTGTCAGGTCTCCAACGCTTTATTCTGCGTCATCTACAAAATTCGCTGACCGTACATGAATCACTGAGATGTCTAGAATCAGACACTGCCTCTTCCATCCATTGTTCTCTTATATTAATATGTGTATGCACCGATTTCATGAAACATCGATGAGTCTTCCGTTATCTTGCACTTCCATATGTGGCTACCGGGCCGAAACCGAGGTTCGCTCGCATGACGGGCGTTTCCCTATCTCGCGGGGTGTTATTGATCTGCATAGCGGCCGTAAACTTTATTGTTCGCATGGGAGTGCACATAACCCACCGACGCCTAATCGCAGTCATCACCGCAATTAACGTAGTCAAGGTCTTCGGAATTCTCTTGCGGGGACACGGCCATGGGATGAAGTGGAGAAGCAAAGCTAAAATAATCATTGAAGATTTGTAAACTAGGCTTGAGATACCAGCCTTTGGCAGCAACCTTATTTTTTTTTCGGGAAGAATCGACACGTCCTGAAACGCCGTTTTTTCTGGGCTTCTGGCGGCCTCAATCTGCGCTTGCTATCTCTCGGGATCCCCCGAGAACTTATCACCGCGACCAAGGTCCTGCACACGCAGCGAGATGGAAATGAGATGGATTTTTCAGTCTGTATCTGGGCCTCGCTTATATAACTAGCCAGATCTGGCCCCAGCTCTCGGCGAACGGCCAGAAGACTCAGTCCATTCAAATCCTTACTTCATTTCTCTCGAGGAGAATTCCCCAAATTAATATAACTTCGCGTCTTTGATAAGACCAGTATTAAAAGATGTTGAATCTTGCTTCCCTCTCTGCTTTTGGCAGACGGACGGTCCATAAATGGACCACCAAAGAAGGCTTCTTGGGTGACTATGACTATAAGTACCTTTTTGTGCCGGACGTGCCTTTCACAAAGAAGGAGGCAAAAACCCAGCCGTTCTTTGGCTTGAACTCGGACATGCCGCTTTTTCTTGGATTCATTTTGGGTTTCCAGCATGCCTTGGCCATGTTGGCCGGTGTGGTGACTCCCCCCCTCATCATTTCCGCCACAGCAAACTTATCCACATCGACCTCCGAATATCTTGTTTCGGCATCGTTGATTGCATCGGGGATTTTGTCTTGTATCCAGATCACACGCTTCAAGATCTATGGTACGCCGTACTACATTGGTACAGGATTGCTTTCGGTGGTGGGCACGTCGTTTTCCACCATCACCATTGTTTCAAGCGCGTTTCCCATCATGTATTCCAACGGCATGTGCTCGGTTGTTGACGGCGTGGACCAGGCATGTCCGGAGGGGTACGGGCGTATCTTGGCCACCGGCATAGTGTGTGCGTTGATCAACGTCTTGCTATCATTCACACCCTCTAAGATTCTCCAGAAAGTGTTTCCTGCCATTGTCACCGGCCCGGTCGTGCTTTTGATCGGTGTCAAGTTGATCGAAAGTGGGTTCAAAGATTGGGTCGGAGGCTCGTCGTGCGTGGATTCCACCTGTGGCAAGAAAAACTTGCCTTGGGGCTCGGCCGAGTTCATCGGACTAGGTTTCCTCGTGTATGTGACCATCATTCTCTCGGAGAAGTTCGGTTCGCCCATCATGAAGTCCTGTGCGGTCATCGTGGGTTTGCTCGTTGGATGCATTGTGGCGGCAGCCTGTGGCTATTTCTCCAGCGAGGCCATTTCTGCGGCTCCTGTGATCACTTTCCCCTGGGTCGAGACGTTCCCTTTGAAAATCTACGGCCCGCTCGTGTTGCCGTTCTTGGCCGTGTACATAGTTTTGGTCATGGAGGCCACGGGAGACATCACGGCCACCTGTGACGTGTCCAGATTGGAAGTCGAGGGCAAGGAGTTTGAGTCGCGGATCCAGGGTGGAATTCTCTGCGACGGAATCAATGGTATTCTTTCCGGCTTGATGACCGTGACGCCCATGTCCACCTTTGCCCAGAACAACGGTGTGATCTCCGTGACCAAGTGTGCCAACAGGAAGGTCGGCTACTGGTGTGCATTTTTCTTGATCATCATGGGTGTATTTGGCAAGTTTGCCGGTGCTATCGTGTCGATTCCCAAGCCGGTGTTGGGAGGCATGACTTCGTTCTTGTTCACGTCCGTGGCTGTTTCCGGTATCAAAATCATCTCCACCACCGAGTTCACAAGAAGAGACAGGTTTGTGCTCACGTCGTCGCTTTTGCCTGGTTTCGGAGCTACCTTGGTGTCCACCTGGTTTGCCAATGTCTTCACGTATGATGGCGACAACCAGTCGTTGCAAGGATTCTATGATGCCATCGTCTTGGTCATGGAGACCGGGTTTGCTGTGACGGGTTTTGTTGGTTTGATTTTGAACTTGATCTTGCCCCAAGTTTCCGATGACGTGGAGGAAATCAACGAGCTTGTGTTGGAGACCGTTGGATCTGCAGACGAACAAGGCTTGCAAGCCTATGCCACCAAGGAGCAGCAGGCTTTCAGCACCACTGTCAAGGAGACCTCGTCTTCGAACCTCTGATGTGCCCACGCTTGCGAAAACCCGTTCAATTCTTTGCTCTATTTTATTTATTCAATTTCACCTCACTTGTATTGATATTATTTCAGACCAGCTGTTCGGAGCCGTGCATTAGTCATGGCGTAGTCTAAGTAAATGGTAGAACCTCGAGTGGTTTGCGGTGAGTGACTCATGACATGTCGTAGTTGAGCCTTTTTCTTGAATGTTAACGCAAAATCTTCATGTCCATTGACTTAACTCTGATTGATCAAAAAAGCATTACAGCGACCCCAATATGCACCAACAAATTCTTAGTGAGTGCAAAAGTGGGGGCGACAACCCAAAAACGGCCAGTCAAACCATCCGTCCTAACGACACATAACTTGCGGCTGCGGCCTTTCAAGTGTTTCCGAAGATTGGCAGTTAAGGTTACAAATTATTCGCGGTTGATCAATTATGACTTATTGCGGCTGGCCCATCAGCCGGCCCTCGGCCCTCGGCCCAGATTTCAAAAGATCCATTTGAATCAGTTTAAAAGCGAGTTGAAAAAATCACCAATACACACCCCCATCAATTTACTCTTGTATACATCTTTTCCCCCAAGCAGCTGGAACGAATTTACGAGAGCTTTTATTGGCTGCTCTGCATAAACGTGGATTCTCGGATATCATTGCTTATTGCATCATCTAGATCCGCTGCACCGCGGCCCCACAAAGATAGGCAGGAATCCGTCACCTCCAAATCTATTAGGACAACAGTTTACTCATCCACGACTACTTAAGGTATATCCAGACTTGCCTGGGCCAGCTAGAACCCACTTTTAGCAAAAGCCCGATCCAAGCTGCACCAAAGTTTCGACGCTCTTTTTAGACGGGTCTGCTCCAGCCGAGGCTTTCATAGACCGAGGTTCTCCAGAACTTCGATTGTCTACCGTTTCGAAAACCACAGAATTTGTGGATTGCTTATAAAGCTCAGCCGGAAAACACAGAACCGACATGGGAACTTTGGTATTGGGGGCGCAGCCTCGCCAAAACATCCCCATCACAGTCCTCTTGAAGCTCAACAAAGCATTAAAAAAGTCGCTCTTTTCCCGGAATTTCTACCTGCAAATCAACGACAAGGTTCTTTCCCAAACAGCGACGCTTGACTCCACCTTGTACTTCATATGCTACTTCACGCTCTTGCTAAGCGCGGTGCTCAACAACAAGCACAAGATCTTGGCCTTTGTGAAGGGCCAGAACGCCAGGTTGATCAAAGTGATGGGCTCGTTTCTCCCCCCAAAAGCCGGCCGGGTTCTGTCTCCGGAACAGCCAGACGCAAGTGCCAGCGGGAACGAAAAAAGCGAGCCGGACAGAGCATCCGAAAACGCCGCCCAAGAAACACCGTCCCAATTGGCCGTGCACTTGAAAGCCGTGTCATCGTACATATCAGATGTGAGGATCTTCAACCGCTTGGTGGAGGCCATCAAGTATATGCCGTGGATCATCGACGAGTTCTCTGCGCTCGCCAACCCCGTGCTGGCGGTCCCCCGAACGGACAGACTAGTCAACTTTGCGCAGGCCATAAACTGCCTCACGCTCGAGCTTTTCGAGAACGTCGGGTGGTTGAGCGACCACAACTGGATCGGGACCAGCGACAACAATTACTGGTGTATTGAGAGCTACATATGGAGCTCGCGGGTGTGGGGAGCGTACATAGTCGTTGAAATGATCGAGCTCTTCCGGCGGCACCCGGCGTCGAGGCGCGGCAAGGACTGGAAAATCAGCCTCTTCAAGCAGGCGGTGCAGCTCCCGCTTGTGCTTCACTGGTCTCTCTACGACGGGTGTCTTTCGCCGTTCTGGGTCGGGCTCTGTGGAACGGGCGCGTCGTGGTTCGGGTTCAAGAGCGTGATGGAGTCCATAGACTTGGCGTGAGCGCGCCGGGAAACAATAAATATCGACCCGCATCAAGTGTGGCCGGGCGCCTTGGCCTTGGTCTCGTTCTTCTCCAACTGCCGCGAGCGGTCGAAGTAGAGGTTGGGATGCGTGATGTGGAGGTTCTCGGGCTTCGCCGCCCGCGCCATCTGCAGCTTGTGCGTGATCTCAAAGACCTTGGTGCACGCCACGGTGAAGCTGTTTTTGTTGACGTCCTCGAGGATGTTGTTGATGTCGTGCTGGTCCGTGATGCCCAAGTCGTTCAAGTTGCCGACGAGCAGCTCAGGCGGCAAGTCTCTGTAGGGACAGCCGTGGAACTCGCCGCGCTGCGGGCGCTTTTTCGCCAAGATGGTGCTGCAGTCGTAGGGCTTGTAGTTGACGCGGCTGCCCTCCAAGCCGTAGATGTGGCGGATGTTGTAGCGGTACTCCTTGTTGAACGCGTCCATGCTGATCTTGCCGGTCTTGGTGAACTCGTTGGCCCAAAACTTCAAGGCCTCGTCGGCGTTGAGGCCGATGCCCTTCAAGAACAAGCCGAGCTGCTGGCGCCCGTCGTACTTCAAGTGCGAGTTGAGCTTCAAGTTGCGCTGGAGATGCGTGGCGCAGAGCGGGTAGTGCCTGTTGATCTGCGGCGTGGACACGGACGCGGCCGTGATGTCGGACGCCTGGGCCGGGTCGCCGGAGGCCTCGTACTGCACGCTGGAGAAGTTCCGGGAGAGGTTGTTGAGGAGCGGAAGCAAGCGGTCGTCCTCCTCGAGCCGCGGGAGCGCGCGGAGCGTCTTGACGAGGGCCTCGGCGAGCAGGTCCTGGAAGACGCCCTGCAAGAGGCTGGCCTGGAGCACGGCCGGGATGTACGCCGAGCCGCGGCTCAAGTACACCTGCCGCAGCGCCACCAACTGCGGCACCTTTTCGAAGGGCAACTTGACGAAGGATTCCTTCTCGCGGATGTGCAGTCTGAGCTGCTCCGGCGTAAGGCTGAACGAGGAATCGCCGGCGCGCTCGGCGGAGAGCACGGCCCGGATGGTGGGCCCGGAGGCCGCGTACAAGCAGTCAAGCAACGCGAGCTTCTCGTCGTCGGAAATGTAGTCCCAGGCCAACCTGGCGGCGTTGAGACGCGCGAACTCGCGCTGCTCCGCGGGCTGGAGCATGGCGTACCGGATCCTGAACAAGGTGGCCTCGTTGCGGGCGAACTTCCTGCGGAGCTCCTCGGTGCGGCAGAACACCAATCTCAACGTGTAGTGCGAGTAGTAGTCCTTGCGGCGCTCGGCCAGCCGGGCCTGGTCCAACGCGGCCGTGGGGGCCAGGGGCGAGAGGGGCAAGAACCGCAGCAAAAGCGGGCGCACAATGGCCTCGGTCTCCTTGAACGTCTTGGCGCGCGCCAAGCACGACTCGATTTCGATCAACACTTTCAAGCGGTCGATGGCCCAGGACTCGAACTGCTCCAAGGTGATTTCCTCGGTGGGCGGGGTGTCGTACAACGAGAGGCGCGAGGGGTAGAGGAGCTCCCTGGACGCGTCTGCGTACACGGCCACGTCCTCGAAGTTTCTGCGGCCGGCGGTTCTGCGCTTGGTCTGCCTGAACATTTTTCCAGGCACGGCACGTTTTGTGTTTTGGGAGGCCGTGTGGTTTTGAATGGACCGTGTGGTTTTGAATGGGCCGTGTGTTTTAGGTGGGCCGGGCGGGTTGGATGTATGGGAGGGTTGAGTCTGGAGAGAAGCCTGGGCAGCTGGCAAGAGCGCGGACGCGTTGGGGCGGGCAGGTGCAGGACGCGTGCGTGGGGCCTCGCGGGCCGGGCCCTCTCTGGGCAGATTATGGGGAGGCTGGAGGGACGTGGGCTGGTTCTGGTTTGGCTTGGCTTTGTATGGCTGTTTTGTATTGCCAATTTTGTACATTTGCCATTTTGGATTTTGGCTGTTTGGCCTTTTTTTTTGGCTTTTTCTTCTTTTGGCTGTTGTAATTTGTCCATGGCTCGGTTGCGTTGTCCTCTGCCTGGTGCCTCAAGCAGTGCCGTTTATGATTTGGCTTGGCTTTGTGTAGCTTGTTTGCTTAGCATGCCCAGTTTTGTTTTTTGGCCGTTTTTCTTTGTTTGGCCGTCTCACTTCTTCTTGACTATTCTCTTTTCTTTGGCTGTTCAACTCTGTCCATGGCCCTCTGCCTGTGGCCTCGTGCGGGCCGTTTGTGATTTGGATTTCGGCGGCTTTGTATGGCTATTTTGCATGGCTAATCTTGGGTTTGGCTGTCTTTCTTTCGGCCGTTTTTCAATTGGATGGCTTTGTTTTGGCTGTTTTTCTTTGTTTATCGTCTTGCTCTCTTTTGCCTATGTTCTTTTCTTTGGCTGCTCAACTCGCCTTCTGGCTCTTACCGTGCCGAGCCGTCTCGCGTGCCCTGTACTTATTTGTCGCGTTGCGGCCATAGTTTGCACCCGGCAAGATATCCAGTTAGAGACTGAAAAACAAAAAGACGGCCCCACACTGCTGCACGTGTCTTTGGGCCTGCCGCCAAGGCCCAGCGTCGTGCCATGCTTGGACTGAAGAATGTGTGAACTCAATAAGACCACCTTCGAATTACAATCTAAGGATTTCAGATTCGAGATTTACCGCCGTTTCTGAGGCAATCCCTGTTTGTTTTTTCCTGCGCCTATTGATATGCTAGAGTTCAGCGGGCAGTCTTGCAAAGATGAGGAAGGGCTGTGGGTGATCCGCAAACTTACTCGGGTCATTTGATACACTCATTTATACACTCATTTGATACTTAGACGGTGGGTCAAGCCCAAACCATCCACGCATGATTCCGTGATACTGTAAGGCGCAATGCGTTCAAACATCCTATGATTCACGTCTGCAAGTCTGATTACGTACCGCAATTTGCTGCGTTCTTCTTCCATGGATGGGGCTGCTCCCACTAATTCTAGGGCTGGTGGGCCATGTAGAGGCAGGGAGCCGGCCGCGATCTGCAATTCCTCGCGGGGCCGCGATCTTTAATTCCTCGCGGGGCCACGATCTGCAATTCTTCGCGGGGCCCGGATCTTTAATTCTTCGCCATAGCCTGCAAGCATTGCACAAAAAAAAAACATCTTTGCCCGGCGCCGTTCCCAGACCACCTGGAATTCTGACAGCCGCAAGACCGGCGCCGCAAGATCCCGCCCCAGAACTGGCCAGCCGATTCTGCCACACAGCTGCGCAGAGCCTTTTGGCCCTGTTGGCCCTGTTGGCCCAGGCGCGCGCGGCCAGGGAACGGGGCGAAATCCGACGCGGAGGCCCCAAGAGGCCGCGCCAGAGGCCGCAAAAGAGGCCCCAAAAGAGGCCCCAAAAGAGGCTCCAAAGAGGCCGCTCCACACACTGCCCAGCCATAATACACAGCCCTGTCGCCGGTCAATCTTCCAGCCGGCTCGATGGAACGCCTCTGCAATTCAGCTACAGCCCGCCCCGGCAAATACCCATGAAATGAAAAAAAAAAAACACCTACATCCCCAAAACCCGGCCGTCGCGTTGCTCTCTCCGCCCCGGCCTGGCGCCGCGCGGTCTATACAAGACTGCCCTAGGGCCAGAAAAATGCCACGAGATTTTCGGCCCGTCCGCCTGGCAAGCGCAAAAAAAAAACACACCCCCCCAGCAGTTCTTTTCCTCGCCACCATGTCTGACGTCGTCATCGATGCTGCTGCGTTTTTCAAGCGCGTCTCCATTATCCAGAAGCGCCTCGCCGATCCCGGCCAGAGGCTCGCCAGTCTCTTGTTCTTGCTGGGCACCCGCGACGACGAGTCCACGTACAAGAAGTCCATAGTCTTCCAGCTCTGGCTCCTCGGCTACGAGTTTGCACACACCGCCATCTACATCGACCAGCACAAATGCATTGTGGTCACCAGCGAGGGCAAGGCCAAGCATTTGCAGCCGTTGGCGGCGGCGCTGGCGGCGGCGGCGCTGGGCCTCGAGGTGTGGGCCCGGACCAAGGACGCAGACCACAACAAGGGGCTTTTCACCCGGTTGGCGCGCGTGTTGCAGGCGCAGGGCTCGGCCGAGCGGCCCGTGGGCGTGATTGCCAAGGACCTGTTCAAGGGCAAGTTCATCGACGAGTGGACGCAAGCGGCGCTGGCCTTGGACTTGCCGACGGCGGACGCGGCGCTTTTCGTGTCCGAGAGCATGGCGTTGAAGGACGCGGACGAGTTCCGCGCCACGCTGATGGCGGCGCGGGCCTCGGCGGTCATGATGGACTCGTTTGCCAACGACATGATGGAGTTGGTGGACAACGAGACCAAGACCTCCAACGTGGACATCTCCGACCGGCTCGACAAGAAAATCGACCTGAACCGCTGGTACACCAAGTCGGCGTTGGGCAAGAAAACCTTGCAGGCCAGCAAGGACTTCGACCCCGAGCTCGTGGACTGGTGCTACTCGCCCATCGTGCAGAGCGGCGGCGACTACGACTTGCGGCCCAGCGCCGTGTCGCTGGACAAGCGCTTCGTGGGCGACGGCGCCATTCTCTCCTCCTTGGGCTTGCGCTACCGGAACTACTGCTCCAACATCGCGCGCACGTTCATGATCGACCCGCCGCCCGCCATGGAGGCCAACTACGACGTTCTCTTGGGCTTGCAGCTGCACCTTGCCACCTCCTTGTTGCGCGACGGCAAGTCCGCGCGCGAGGTGTACGACGGCGCGGCCGACTTCGTCAGGTCCCGGAACCCAGACTTGGTGGACAAGCTCACCAAGAACGTGGGCTGGTTGACCGGCATTGAGTTCCGCGACTCCACGCTCATCTTGAACCTGAAGACCGAGCGCACGTTGGTCAACGGCCAGATCATCTCCTTGACCATCGGCTTCCACAGCTTGTCCAACGAGTCTGCGCCGGGCCCCCAGCTGAAGACCTATGCCTTGCTTCTCACCGACACGTACAAGGTGGGCGAGAACGAGGCCATTGCCTTGACCAACTACCAGAAGGCCCGCAAGGAAGTCACGTTCTACTTCAAGGAGGACGGCAAGCCGGGCGCGTCCAGGCCGGAGCCGAGCGACCGCAAGGTGAAGCCGGAGAAGGACGCCGCGGTCGAGAAGAAGTTGGCCCTCAACGACGCCAACTCCAAGATCTTGAAGTCCAAGTTGCGCAACGAGAGCGCCGCCGCCGACGACGTCAACGCGGAAAAGCTCCGTCAAGACACGCAGCGCCTCTTGCACGAGAGGCGTGAGCAGGAAGGCTTGGCCCGCTTCTCCAAGGCCGACGCCACCGACGACTCGGACTTGAGGCCCATCTTCAAGCGATACGAGTCCTACGTCAGAGAGTCCCAGATCCCCAGTAACGTCAAGGACCTCAAGATCCACATCGACTACAAGAGCCACACCATCATCTTGCCCATTTGCGGGAGACCCGTGCCGTTCCACATCAACTCGTTCAAAAACGGCTCCCAGAACGAAGAGGGCGACTACACGTACTTGAGGTTGAACTTCAACTCCCCGGGAGCAGGCGGCGCCAACTCCAGAAGAACCGAGTTGCCCTACGAAGACTCGCCCGACAATCTGTTTGTGAGGTCGCTCACATTCCGCTCCCGCGATCGTCAAAGAATGATCGATGTCTACAAGGCCATCCAGGACTTGAAGAAAGACAGCGTCAAGCGTGAGGCCGAAAAGAAGCAGTTGGCCGATGTGGTCACCCAGGGGAACTTGGTGGAGTTGAAGGGCTCGAGAATGAAGAAGTTGGAGCAGGTCTTCGTCAGACCGACCGCAGACACAAAGAAGATTGGCGGTGTGTTGCAGATTCACGAGAACGGCTTGCGTTACCAGTCGTCGTTCAGGGCTGACCAGAAAATCGACATTTTGTTCAGTAACATCAAACATTTGTTCTTCCAACCTTGCAAGGAGGAGCTCATTGTCATCATCCACTGCCACTTGAAGAGCCCCATCATGATCGGCAAGAGAAAGACGCACGACGTGCAGTTCTACCGAGAGGCAAGCGACATGGCTTTTGACGAGACTGGAGGACGCAAGAGGAAGTACAGGTACGGAGACGAGGACGAGTTGCAGCAGGAGCAAGAGGAGAGAAAGAGAAAGGCCATGTTGGACAAAGAGTTCAAGAGCTTTGCAGAGTTGATTAGTGATGCCTCGAGAGGCGCCATTGATTTGGACATTCCGTTCAGGGAATTGGGGTTCCAGGGTGTGCCTTTCAGGTCTGCCGTGTTCTGTATGCCCACAAGAGACTGTTTGATCTCCTTGATCGACCCTCCATACTTGGTTGTCACATTGGAGGAGATCGAAATCGCGCACTTGGAGCGTGTCCAGTTTGGATTGAAGAACTTCGACTTGGTTTTTGTCTTCAAGGACTTCCTGAAGCCTGTCGTCCACATCAACACAATCCCAATGGAGTTGCTAGAGGACATCAAGAACTGGTTGACTAATGTTGACATTCCTTTCAGCGAAGGACAAATGAACTTGAACTGGGGTGCGCTTATGAAGACCATCACGGCCGACCCTTACGCCTTTTTCTCTGATGGCGGATGGCGTTGTTTGACCGGTGACGGTGAGAGCGACGAAGAGAACTCTGAGGACGAAGAGTCTGAGTTCGAGGCCTCGGACGAAGACCCTTCGGACGAAGACGTGGCCAGTGAAGAAGACAGCGAGGACGCGTATTCTTCAGACGGGTCTGAAGGAAGCGGAAGTGGAGAAGAAGATGAGAGCGATGACGGCGATGACTGGGACGAGTTGGAGAGAAAAGCCGCCAGAGACGATAGCAGGCGCGGCCGCGAATAGATGTAGAAGATGATGAGGATTCCGAGGAGACTCGTGTTTGAGTTTCTGGTTGTCCCGATTCTAGTTTAGCAGGTACGTGGGACGGAAACACCGGCGCCGCGGCCATAAGTTTGTACTATTGAGCAAGCACAACGATAATCATTTTAAGAAGGCACGAGAAGTGGAGAGAAATGAATGAGAATTGAGGGGGATGTATTCACGAGTGTGGAGTGGAAAGAATGCATTGGAGTGATCGAATGCACAGCGAGAATCACCCAATACCTATACCGTTGTTGAGGGAAATGAAGCGACTAAGGCGGAAGAGCGTGCTGTGATATCAAAGCCGCAACAATGAGAAGGGGGGTTTGACAGAAGGCTGTTTGGTGGACGGTCCATTGGAGGGGACTAGCTGAGAAATGAAATCAGTGATTTGGGATAGTGGTGCATGGCTTGGTGAGAGGGAAAGGGCCTTAAAATAATTTTGTCCAGTCCGGATTGCCGGACGTGATACCTAAATTCCCAGCCGCATCGATGGCGGACAGAGCAGTCTTCATAACGAGCATCACCGATATCAACATATACCAGCGCATATACTAGAACCTCATGAAGTAACCTTTGGAATAGGAGCAGAAATAATACATACATTAGCGCATATAATATACCCTTAAAATATCTTTATTAGCAATTAGCACGTATAGTAAAACGTACAGTAGCACATATAGGAGCAGATGTGGTATATACAATAGCAAATATAATAGTACTTGCTATAGTATCACCTTGGATGGCACTTCATACTGCAGCACCTCATAAATTAGCTTATGTATTGGCACAAAAAATAGCACATGATTAGCATTTCATGAATTAGCACAGATAGCGCATGTGCACATATGGTCTAAAGTTAGCACATGTGATAGTACTTATTATGATAAATTCTAGTAGAACATACATCAGCACATATAAAAGCACTTGGTACAGTATGACCTAAAAATAATTCCATAGAGTAGCGCATCGTAGATTAGTGCGTATATTAGCACATTTAGTACATACATTAGTACATATATCAGCACATATGACACATTGAATAAAGTATCACCTCTTAAAGGATTTCACACAGAAGCACATTGTATATCAGCTTGTGTATTGGTACAAAAATTAGCACATGTAGTAGTTTATAGTATCACCTTGAAGAGCATTTCATACAGCAGCACGCATAGTAGCACATATTACATACACCAGCACATCGCACTTAATATAAGATCACCCTTCGTAGCATTTCATAGTAGCGCATATGGTCTTATATCAGCACATACAAAACAACTTATTATACTATCATTTAAGTCGCACATACATCAGCACATATAGGAGCATGTCATCACGTATAGTTCACACACCAGCACAGATAATAGCACTTAAGACAGGATCACCCTGAAACGCATCTCATGCAGCACATATATCTCTACTAATAGTACTTTCACCGTTCCATCTCATACAGTTCCATCTCATACAGTTCCATCTCATACAGTTCCATTTCATACAGTTCCATTTCGGTTCATTTAAATACCCATGTGGTGCAGAGATTAGCGCCATTCTCCACATACACCCCCATGGCCGTACCCCAACCACATCTAAATCCCAAACTCTCAGCCCAAACTTGCGGCCCAAACTCAAATGAACCAAAAACAAATCCCAGGCCCCACTACCTCCCGCCTCCACGCTCGTATAACCCTAAGGCGCGCCGCACCACGAGGCGCACCGCGTGGTGCACGGGTGCGGCGCCGGGGCCAGCTCGCCAAATATAGGCGGGCCGACCTGGTCTCCACCAGAGAGGCCTATCAAAAACCACCTGTTCTTTTCCCGGGAAGCCAGCAGCACCACCAGCGGAACCCGCCAGTCTGAACAGTGCAACACAGCGTTTTGCAATAACCTCGGCCGTTATACCCCACCCCAAAAAAAACAAAAAAAAAACAGAAGCCCCCCATTCTGCCTCCCTGCACTGAACCCTGAGGCTAGCATACCAAATAGCCGCCCACAAACCACGCTGAAATGAGCGATAACACCGACGACTACTCGTACGACTACGAGTACCTCTACAAAATCGTGTTGATCGGCGACTCCGGCGTCGGCAAGTCCAACTTGTTGTCCCGGTTCACCAGGGACGAGTTCAACTTGGAGTCCAGATCGACCATCGGCGTCGAGTTTGCCACCCGGACGTTGGAGATCGACGGCAAGCGCGTCAAGGCGCAGATCTGGGACACTGCGGGCCAGGAGCGGTATCGCGCCATCACGTCCGCGTACTACCGCGGCGCGGTGGGCGCGTTGATAGTGTATGACATCTCCAAGACGGAGTCGTACGAGTCGGTGTCGCGCTGGTTGAAGGAGTTGAAGGACCACGCGGACGCCAACATCGTCATTGAGTTGGTGGGCAACAAGTCGGACTTGGACCACTTGCGGGCCGTGCCCACGGACGAGGCCAAGAGCTTTGCCACCGAAAACAGCTTGTTGTTCACGGAGGCGTCTGCGCTCTCGGCGGACAACGTGGACTTGTCGTTCCACCAGTTGTTGAAGAACATCTACGAGATGATCAGCAAGCACCAGTTGGACACCAACGAGAACGCGCTGGCGGCCAAGCCGCGCAGCGGGCCCACCATTTCCTTGACGCCTGCGCCGCAGGAGAAGAGCAGCAAGAACTCGTCCTGTTGCTAGACACATGCTCTGTGGCGCGGGTTTTCCAACGGCGACCTGCGAAGGCCCGCCGCGGCGGCTGTGGCGGGGCGTCGGCCGCCGAAACAGCAAGGCACGACGCCGCCTTCCAAGTGTCCTTGTTGCCGTGAGTTTCTGGGCATTCATGGCCGGCAGCCCGGGTGCTCGGTGCATTTGTGTGGATGCGACATGGCCACCCCGCCATCCGCCTTGTCCAGAGATGCTGAGACATGGGGGGATGGACGGGGTGTCGGGAATACAATCAGCCAGCAGATGGCTCTGTCAAGTATGGTAATAAGCAGATGGGTCGAAAGTATGTCAATAAACAGATGGCTTTACGGAAGGCAGAGGGCGTCACGGAAGGATGGCTCATTCGAGTGTGGGTATGCGGTGAGTATTATCAGCCAGCATATGGCTTTAAGAAGTATGGTACTAAACAGATGGTTCCACAGTATATTTCAATCAACAAGTGGCTCTACTGAAGTTTTCGATAAAAATGCTTCTTCAGAGATTCACTGAATAGGTGGTTAGAAATACAATCATTCAGCAGATGGCTCCATGAAATATGCTCCAAAACAGATGGTTCTACAGTCTATGTCAATGGCTATCTCCAGAATTACAATTATGTGACATGAATATACTCGACAGATGGCTCCACGGAAGCTACCCAAAAACAAACCTCCGAGCTCATAATCAACAGATCGCCCTGCCACAGTTTACCATAAACCAATGGCTCCCCAGAAGCACATCAATCTGCAGAGTGCCAGCAGAAGTACACCAACGGCTGTCTCCAAACCCTGCAGCCACCCTGCAACATCCACAGATGCCCACAAACACAGCAATCTACGACTTTCGTGCTACCGTTTCCGTATATTTATAGTACAAGCTTCGTCCACCACAGGCCCCCGGATCTCACCCGCGGCCCCTACTTCTTCACAGGCCCCCGTAGCTTGGAGCTAGTCCCCGCTATTTTGAGCGGCTTCGCCACGCCCTTGCCTTGCTTTAAGAGTGTTAGTCTCTTCTTGATGTCCGCGGTGGGTCCGCTGATGATCGTGACATTCACCACCTGCTCCCCGCGCAAGATGACAAGCCCCAAAAACCGCTTTTCCTCCGGGATTTTCACCTGCCCGTCCACCTTGGTCTTTGCCAACTCGCGGTATGCTTTTTTCGTGACCCGGGCCTCTTCAGTGTCTGCCAAAACGACGTTCATGTGCTTGTCGAACGCCAAAAGCTGGCCCGAAAACGTGCGCCCATCAAGAATCGAGACCTTGAGTCTGTAGTTGATGAGATCGGCCATTTTGGTCTTTTTAGAGACGGTTGCCATTTTCTGGGGCTGTTGCGGGCGGGTGGTGTTCTGGGACGGTGACTTGGGCTGGAGATGGTCATGTGAGGTACCTAGGGGGTCGTGCGCCGCACAGTAACATGGGGTCAGACAGGCGACCTATTTGTTTGTGGGGCTGGGTATTTTGGGTTGTGGGCATGCTTATTGCGGTTTCCTGGGTCTGGATTTTTTTCTTGAGTGCTGTTTTCTCACAATTTGTTTTCTTTGATCTGTTCCATTACAATATGTTTCATCACTATTTTTTTCATTACAATCTGTTTTCGCAGTCTGTTGCCTGTGTGGCTAAGATTGCGAATGCCGTGGAGTGGCTTCATGAGATAAGCAATATCAGAGTCATTTGAAGGCAATTGCATACACGTGATTATTGCCGGACTATGCTTTACTGCCTTCCAAGGACAGTCTTGGAATCGAGAATTGTAGACCGGATTTTAGTTGCTGGTGATGTCATGGCACGCAAGTCGCATGGCTAATATTAGTGGCTGGAAACACTGGGCGACACTGGGGCGCCTTGTCTGCGTCAGACATCTGGGTGTGTTATTCTGTTTTGTCTACCATGGGTACTGCTTGATTTCTTTTGTCCATGTATTCTGTGTATTTCGTGTATTCCGTGTATTTCGTGTTTCCGGTTTTCCGTGTTTTCCATCTTTTTCTTCATGTCCATCTTTCTACTTTGGCAGGTTCTTTTCACTCAAAAAGCAAAACTAAACAAATAACATAAATGTAAAACTTTAAGCGTCTCACAGATGCGTACCAAGTGTCTATCATGTCCATCCCCTCTTTCATGCCTCTGACATGCCCTTCATGTATTTCCCATCCCTCATACTTCTGATATATCTATCCTGTTCACCCCGTCCATCTTGTCTATCCCGTCTATCCTCCATATCCCGTCGGCATATCCACCCCGTCTTGTCCAACATGAAAAAGAGGCGTGGTGATTTTCCAGCTTCGCCAATGCAGAGCCCAATACTATCCGTTTACGTCAGTAGAAACCAGGGCCAAAGTTTATTCTCCAGTCACCGCAGCTTTCGTAAAGCAAGCTCTTAATTTCCGCGCTGTCTTTCGCAACCTAGGTGACGTTTCGCAACATGGCCCGGATGAGTGGCAAATACCTGACGTTCAGTTATTTTCCATAGACGCCCAAAATGGCCTGAATGTGAAAAAAACCAGCCCGAGGCCTCGAATCCACAGATCCGTTTCTTGCCAATTTCCGCAAACTCGGGAGCATACATTGGCCTCTTTTTGCTATCACCTGGTTTCTGGCACGCGAGCAGAGGCCCTGGCCCTAGAGCAACGCGCGCCGCAGCGCGCCATACATAAGACGGGCATATTTCCGCCCAGCGAGCCTGGAATTTATAGGACATCGATTGTTTGGCCGGAATTGACAAACTTTTTTTTTTAACCTCGTGCCTCTAGAAATCGTGACAACACAAACCCACCAAGATGGCAGCTAGCAAGGACGACATCCAAAACGGCTCAATTGAGGCCACCCCGGAACTCGAGGAAATCCGGGAGCCTGATTCCGTTTATGAACCCGGCAAGGACGACGCTGCAGAACCTGCAAATGAAACCGTAGATGCCGGCGAGGTAGGAAAGGAGCTTGGCGAGCTCAAGGATGACAGTCTAGATGAAAATGCTGAAAAGCAGGCCGCTCAAACTGAAGAAGCAGACAGGGACAAGCCAGAGGCAGAAGAGGCCGGAAAGCCAGAGGTCGAAGAAGCGGAAAAGTCCGAAGAGGGCAAAGAAAACACCGAGAGCAAAGACGAGGGCCAGGAGCTCAAGACTCTAGGCAACACCAAGAAGAGAACCGAGGGCAATGGCACCCAGGACCCTCAAAAGAGAAAGAGACAGAGAAGACGCCAGTACGACGACGCACCAAAAGAAGAGCCCGAGTCTGAGGAAGGCGAAGAGGAGAAAATCAAGCACGACGAAAACGACGATGACGACGACGACGACGATGACAACTTGGGTGGGGTGGACGAGTCCAACATCATTTCGGGCGGCCGGAGAACCAGGGGAAAGAAGATCGACTACACGAAGGCCAACGAGGAGTTGCAGCTTCCTGAGGACGACGAGGAGGACGACGAGGAGTTTGAAGACAAGGGCGGGGACGACGAGTAGGCTCTGTGGCCCGACGTTTCGCATAGCTCATCCACAATACACTCTCCGCTTGCACACAGTTCCAGTAGACTGACTTGTATTGTATATCTAGACGGCCAGGGCTAAGGAAAGCTAAAAAAGTTAAAAAAAAAGGTCACAGATTATGATTTTTTGGGGGTCGAGGCGCATGCACATGACACGGCCGTCAGCCCTAGAAAACGAAACATTCAAGAACATATTGCTTTAACGCGATGCAATAACAAGGCAGGCTCTGGCACGGAGACAGGCCTCAGTACGTGGCCAAGCAGTTGTAGTAAGGGTTCGAGAGCCCCGCGTACGCCGAGTCCATGAGGGGAGGCATCGACGGGTACGTCGTGGGCGGGTAAGCCCAGATGGATGGCTGCGGCGCGTATGAGGTGTACTGCCCCGGACGCAGGTAGTGGAAGTTTTGGGGCCCAGGCACGCCCCAGTCCTGCGAGAACTTGGCGGGCGACGCGCTCACGGGCAGCGAGTAGCCATACATGGACGACACGCTGGCAGAGTCGTAGAGCGGAGACGAGGGCACGGAGGAGAACGAGCCGTAGTTGTCGGAGGCCGGGGCCGAGGGCGGCTGGGCGAAGTAGCACGGCTGGTGCGCCTGCTTGTGGGACCACGAGACCCAACACTCCTCCAAGGTCTCGATGTTGCTCTGGAAGTGGACCACGTTCAAGTTCCAGTTGACAGCAGCCAACCACTCGCGCTCCAAGGCGTTGAGCACGGCCACCTTCACGCCACTGGCGCCGAACCACGACTTGTTGGTGAAGGTGTTGTCGTCGTTGAACTTGTTAGCCAACACCAAGGCCACCACAAGCTTGACGAAGACGTCCAGCTCGGGCATGCTCAGGTGCGCGCAGGCCGCGTAGCGCTGGTTGATGTACTCCAAGGCAATGACAATGGTCAGCTTCGGCAAGCGCGTGGCGTGCAAGATGGACACCACGGAGGCCTCGAGCTGCGGCGTGGGCGTGCGGGCCTGGCCGAGCATGCCGAACGTGCACCAGCACATGAACGCAGCCATGCGGGCCGCGTCGTAGTCCAACACCGCACTGATGCCGCCCACGTGCGCGGGCGCACGTGACTGGCCGTCAAAAGCAGGCGCCGGCGCCGGCGCGTACTGCGCGGCCACTGGCGCCATGGGAGCCGGCGCGTAGTTTGCTGGGTTCCCGTAGGCCGGCGCGCCATAGTTGTGGTAGGGCACAAAGCCCATCAGTGCGGAGGCACGGTGGCCCGACGTGCCGATGGGGTAGAACGACAGGTACATTTGGCTGCACAAAGGGGGTCCGGCGGCGGGCGTGTGTGGGTGTGTGGGGCCCAAGGGTACAAACGGACGCCGGGGCGTTTTTCTGACGAAAAGACCGTTTTTGTGTCTTTGTTGTCTTTTTCCCTGGAGGTCCGATACTAGTGAAAGCACCGAGGTCAGGGAGAGACAAAAGGGAGAGCCGAGAGCTGGGGCGACTCGGGTTCTCGGGCAGCACAGGACGAAGTCTTAATGAAAAGCTCGATTCCGTGTGGCTGGCAAGGGTCAAAGAAATGTGGTTTTTTACTGGGAGAAAAAAACGACACCCTTCTGAAAATTTTTGGGATCCGGCGCAAAAGGAAAAAGTGCGGTGTGTTCAGGCGAGGCTTCACTGAGACAGGAATCGGGGTTGCGAGGGCTGCGGCGCGGCTCGGGGCTAGGTGACTAGGCGCAATTTCAGTGTGATCCGGGGCTCTTGGGAAAAGAGCGGCAAAGAGCGGAAAAAAGCAAAAAACGAGCAAAAACGAGCAAGCCACTAAGAAGCAGAAAAAACGGGGGAAAGGGGCCGTTTTGTTGCCAGGTGGTAGGCCCTGGCCCGGGCCTTTTTAGTGTTTTCCACCACGCCGCCATGTGTCCCGCCAGCCGGGCGCGCGGGCCTGTGTGCAGGGCAGCGGCTCGTCGCTGGGTTTCCTGGGCCTGTTTCTGCAAGTAATTACGCCGGCGATGAGCAAGCGCAATAGTGAACGTGGTCATCGTTGCTTGGGCGTTCTCCGGAACTGCCCGCTTGCTGTGGGTCCGCGGCACGTGACGCCCTGGCAAGGCGGGGCCCGGGAGCGTTTGGCTGTTTTTTTTCTTTTCCTTCGTATTGGAATCTCTCTATGGACTGAGACCAATCGGGATGCGCCCCATCGGGTGGGGGCGCGGCCGGAATTGTCAGCAGTACTTTACTTGGAGACACTGGCTCGGCACTACGTTCCTGGAATTTGCGCTCTGATGGCCTCGTTTTTTTTTTTTGTCAAGATTTCGACTTTATCGCCCGCCACTTGAACACGGCGCCTGTCGGGCTTGTGTCTGATCTTGGGTGCCCAATTTGCAACGGTGTTTGATTGCCCGATGCTCACTGTTCTCGCTGGGCAGTGTGTGCATTCCACGGGTGCCGGAGTACTACTCTCCTCCACATTCCTCACCGGCCTCTATACAGACGGTCATTCAAACCCGCTTGCAGAATATGACGTCGCCAAGCAGCACCGTTTGCCCCGCTCCAAGCCGGTGAAACAAAGGAGAATGGAAACAAACAAAGAACACACGAAAAAGAAACGGGCCCCCCGAGCCCTGGTCTTGTGGATGAGCCTCGATATGCCACCGTCATCCTTTGTTTTGCCAGGGCTCTCTGGGCGCAGGCACGCGGGCTGAAAAAAAAGAAAAGACGCAAGTTGTGTTTTGCGATGACTCATGGAAATGCGCCTGGGGGCCCGACACCCAGTAGCGCAAGTCTGTGGTGGAGCCTCCATATTCTGGCGTGTCTTCGTGGGGCCAAGGGCCCGTGAATCAAAAAAAAATCTCGCTGGGCCACAAGTCGGCTAATCCCCGGCTACGGCCAAATAAAACCGCAGGCTTAAATTAGCACTGCGCGCACTCGCTGGAGCTTATTAACGAGGGAATTAACGGACGATGATTCCAAGCCCTTTCAAATTACAGACCATGAGGTCACTCTGGGACGGCGCTCATGAGCATGCCACAGCAACAGGGGCTCAGCATCCGGCCATTCATTTCATCGTCTGATCCATACCAAAATGGTGCATGGCTTTAGTCGCCCAATAGCACCGCACAGTTGTTTTACGAACCACACCTGCTTACGTTGTGCGATGAGATATCATGGCGCATGTCGAAGGACCCTCAGTTCAATATGAGCTGCAAAATCCAATCGGGGCTTTGTAGAATATAATCACCAAGTTTCGAGTGATGATCTACATCTTGCGTAAACAAGACAGCGGACCCCAACGTAGCCGTAGTTCGGACCATCATCTCGCAACACGATGGATGTCTTGCTTCTCAACCAAGCGCCGTCAGACATCGTTGCAATAATCTGTAGATTGGGAAACGGTGAACTCAGCTCCAATGGGAGTGATGTACGCGGCTGGGAGAACCCAATTAAATATATTAAAAAATCTATCAGAACAATACCGAACCGTAAGAACCAGAAGAATCAACCCAAAGAAGCACGCGAGTATGCCCATGAAATCATGTCTTTCGCAGCCCTTGTAGGGGCCGCACGTCGCCTGCGTGGCCGAAACTGAACACGGACCGGATGGGCGGGAGCACCGTGCCGTTGACGGCGATGCTCTCATCCTGCTGCTCGAACTTGGACTTCTGCGTTTCGAGCTTGCTGATCAAGTGGAAGGAGTTGATTTCCTTATCGCAGGCTGCCTGCGGAGCCAACGACGGCGATTGCGAGGGCGTCTGTAACGGCGTTTCATTTGGCGAGATGATGAACAGCGCGGCCTCGCGGCTAAGCGGCGGGGCAAGCGGCGCCACGCCCACGTGGTCCCTGTCTCTTGCCACTGCCGCCTGCAAGTTGGTCATGGACTGGGTGGGGGAGTTGGGACGCGACTTCTTGAGCGGCTGGGCAAACTCCAAGTTGAGCTGCGTCAGCGACGCCTGGCGCGGCACGGGCATTTGCAGGGCGGCCGTTTTGAGCGGCGTCATGCGCTGCAACTGCGACAACGAGTGGAGCAGCGTGAGCGAGCCGCTGGACTGGCTGGGCTTGAGCTTGTGCACGGAGCCTGCGGACGGCACGCGTTTCTGGAAGTACTCGTGGAGATTGGAGAACAGCGGGGCCACGGTCCGCGCGGCGTGCGACTCGGGCGAGCTGGCGAGCAGCTGTGTCAGCGAGTGGTCCGTCGAGGGCCCGTTCAGCTGCGAGAACACCTGGCTGTGTGCGGAGTTGAGCGACGTCTGGCTCTGCGACCTGTGAAGCAGTCTGTCGTCGGCAGCGGCGGCGGCTTGGTGCGGCGTGTATCCCAACAGAGCCGCCTGGTGGCCGTGGTGGGTCTGATGAGGCGGGTGAGGGTGCGCGCCCTGCACCGGCGTGGGCGACGTCGGGAGCGAGAACACCGCGGGCATGTGCAGCCGCTGGAACGACGCGGCGGGCGGGTGCTGGCCGCCCTGCATGGCCGAGAAGCTGGGCACGCTCTGCACGGGCTGGAGCGGCGGGCCCTGCTGCTGGAAGTTCGGCACGCTTTGCGCGCTCGGGATGCCGGCGGGCAACGGCTGGCCGCGGCCCGGGCGGCCGGGCTGCACCGGGATGGCGAGCGCCTGGCCGGCGACCTGCTGGACCACGTAGACCGGGTAGCCCAGGCCCGTGTAGTAGTGGGGCGCGCCGGCGCCGTCGAACGCCACGGGGAACGCGGCCACGGGCACCGTGTGGCCGCCGGCTTCCGTGTACATCTGGTACTGGGCCTCGAGCTTGCTGACGTCCTCGTAGCGGCTGCCGCGCTTGCGTGCGGAGGAGTTGTTGTGGATGCGCAAGTGGCGGGTCAACTCGTCCAGGCGCGAGAAGCGTTTCTGGCAGCCCGGGAACGTGCAGCGGTGGGGCTTTTCGCCGGTGTGCGTGCGGGTGTGGCGGGTCTGGTGCTCGAGGCGGTGGAACGCCTTGTCGCACATTGTGCATTTGTAGGGGCGGTCGTCCCGCGCCTTGCGGTCGGGGTCGGCGGACAGGGTCATTTCAGGGGTCAAGGCGAGGGGGCCTGAGGGGGGAGGCGAGCTGGGAGAATCGCGTAGACGCTGTGCGGAGTGCTGGATTGCTGGCCCTTGTATGAAGGGTGGTTTGGTTTTGTGTTTTTTTTTTTTTCGTGGCGATCGTCTGGGGCGTTCCTGGGCGGGACGGTCTTGTGATTTGCTTCCGTCGTGTGGACTCTCTTGGTATGGGGACACGTTTTGTAGGGGGGCTCTCTTTGTATGGAGCTCTCTGTCCTCTATATCTCCTCTGTCCGGTGTGGATATATGTTCCTCTCTGTAGTCTCCGTCCTGTGGATCTATTTTCCTCTTTCCTTTTTCTGTCCTCTTTCTTTTCTCTTTCCTTTCTTTCCAAATCTCCTTTAATGTCTCTGTCTTCTGTTTGTGTATTGCCGGCGCACTTCAGCGGGTGTCGAGACTGGGTTTGTCGGCGGGTAAGATTGGCCGTCTGCCGTCAAAAAGACCAGAAGTAGCAAGGCCAGATCCAAGGCTCAGCAAATGCAACGTCGATTTGCGTCGGTTTTTTACGGGCCTCCAGGCGGTGGCGGGGGCGGGGCGTGGGAATCAAGGGGCCTTTTAAGGACTTTTAAGGAGGAGGGCTTGAAGAAAGGTTGTCAACGGAAGGAAGAAATGAGGTGTTCCGCGGCGGATGTCTGGGTGTGGAAGGGCGCCTGGTGGTTCGGGCGCCCGCTGCGCAGGATACCCGATTTTAATTGATTGGCTCGAATTGTAGATATCTGCCACGCATCCATCGAGCAGGGCGGATCCCGCTTTTTTTTCCGCTGGGAGGAGCCAGGGCGTGCCGGGGGATTTCTTGTTTTTGGCCCGACTCTCCAGATATGGCCCAGTGGAACTACTGCAACAGCCCCACCAAAAGTAGCTCAGGGCCGCTTTAGGGCCTAGCACGACTTTTGGGGGGGGGGGGGGGGGGGG